CGGTCAAACAATTGGCCCACTAAATATTGTCTACATCGGATTACTAATCAACGATTTCTTAACTATTCAGAGCATAAAGTTTTTTTTATCAACAAGATCTTTGCTTTAATTATTAATTACGATCGAGATTATTAAATATTTTAATAATCCTTTTGTGTGAATTTATAATACATTGTCTACTAAATACTATCGCAAAATTATATGAAAAAAATTTTTGTTAAACAAAATCAAAAATCGTTAAAATGGTACATAGATATAATCCAAAGACTGTTTATGTGGTTGTTGACTTGATCTTATATGTAAAAAAATTGAATCATCGAATTCAGTTCATTTTTTTTTTTGAGGTTTTTATTGTTTCACAGATTAAAACAAATATTAAATAATGATTATAATTTAATTATCGGCGTACTCGATAGTCACAGTCGGTGATTTCGCGTGTAAATAGGGTTTTCCCATATTTAAACTAGTATAATATTATTATAATTATTTCATATTTTGCATACTATTATTTTCACGCGGTAGGAAATCAACAACAATGGTATCCTTCAATTCACGGTTGAGTGTGGTTAGTGTGCACTTTATTAGACTATGATTAAAAATAATTGCCTATTGGAATATAATGTACACTTCTTTCTTTGTCAAAAACAACGTTTTTTTATACTCAAAAATAAATTGCTACCAAATTTGAATGAAAAATTGTTAAATCATATAATCGCCAAATCAACCTTTAGCTTTCAACAAAAATAAAACTTTCCCAACCTTTCCCAACACTGTAGTATGAAATAGATAAAACGATCCCTGTATAGATTGAAATTAATTTCGTGTACTCGTGTGGGTAACAATCAGTGTAGAAACATCAGATAAAGAGACACTAGTTGATTACAGAGGCGTATTCAGGGGGTGGGGCTGAGAGGGCGGCAACTTACCCCGATATGTCAGCAAGTATAAATATCAGAAAATTGTAACAGATCAAAGGGAAAATCTATTTTGGAAAAAAATCTAAAACGTCACCGCACCCTTTTGGTACAACCGTGGGCGTTAGCAGTTATAACTGTTGTGTTTCACCAACGCGGTTTGTCGAGCCATTGATAAAAAAAAAGTAAAAACCGTCGACATTGAAAACGGGGCTAGAGCACAATACAAATTTCTCGACAACATAATAATAATTAAAACCAATTCTTTACGGATGACACCGGCCAAGACAGACGGACAGAGAGACAGAGAGAGAGAGAGAAACGAGAAACGAACGTCCGGAAGAAAGTAACAGTAACCGTCTTCATATTTTCTTTTCGTACTCGCAGGTACATATTTTTCAATACTTAAAAAAATGTTTACGTAAAAGTAGGCTTTGTTTTATCAAAAATAATTTTCGAAATATATAACCGGTATGATATATATATATATATATAATATATATACCGGTATGGTATATTATAGTGTACATGTAAATTAAACATCACATCCGATTACATACACCAGAGTCGGTTGTGTGTACTGGATGTCGATTCGTCTCAGGTGGTGAAGTGAAAAATGCAAACTTCACCGACGAGGAACGCGCGCAAGACGTGTGAACGCGTGCGTGCGTGCTTGCTCTGATTAATGTTACAATAGTGTTGGTCGTTTACAGAAGGATGTTACGTTTTGTTGTTTTCCTTAGATTGAACTAGTTCGGCTATTTTCGACGAAAAAAAAGTTACAAAGCGCCGTGATTTCAAGTCGGAAAAACATTATGCAAGTTGATTTTCAATAGGGGAAGGTGTGCCGTTTTAAACCCGGTCTAATAAAGTACCTAGCCGGGGGGGGGGGGCGGTGAAGGGAGGAAACCCCGTTGGCGGGTGAGTACGTCACAGTTTTGGCGGTCTGATCGATGTTGTTTTTTCGCAATAACCGACATAATACTATTTAAAAAAAAAAAAAAAAAAACGGTACGAAACGGGTTATTAAAACGGTGTAATAATAATATCATATTATGTAGGTATGTAAAAATCAAAATCAAAACGTTTAGCGGCGTATCGGACGAACGTCACACGGTTATCCCGCAGAGAGGGTTTGCGCAAAACGGTGTGTCGAAATGTCATTGTTTTGTTTGTCGATAATAAAATAATACATAATAATTTATGACCGTGGCATATTTATCGTTATTCGGTGACTTGTAGCTTGTATACATAACTGCTGCAAACCGGAACGATATGGCCGGCCTTTGAAACGGAAACGCTGCGGATGCTAAACAGGCGGAAAGGTCCACGCGGTCCACCACCCGGATGTCCGAGAGATATTTCCAAAGGTATAAAGGTCTTATATTATAGTACAACTCCGGAAAGACCTGGATTCGAATAAAAACGCCATCTAAATACGTCCAGAGGTAGAGGCACGTTTCGACGGTTCTCAATGCATCGAATCACACTAAATGTATAATAATAGTCAACTAAAAAAAAAGAAAAACAACAGATTTTTTTTCGCCCGGACAAAGTATTTTTTATATGGGCTTACTGGAAGCCAATAAAAAATTTTCAAAAAGAGTTAACAAACAAAACAAAGTTAAAATTAATTCCAAAAAAAACTAATATCAACAAAACACTTAAGTAAAATATATCTAATACATCTAATAAAGTAACTATATCGAATTTTTTTTAATGTTTTCAAGTGTAATAATTGTTATAAATTTAACCTGTTTTAACATTTTCTTTTGCCAATTCGTTGAAAACATTAATATTCGTTTGCTGCGTGGAATAGTTTTTTTTTTAAATAGTGTTTTTAGAGTTATAAGAAAACAATTTTACTAGGTATAATAATAATATGTTGTCAAATCATTTTTCTATATTATATCGGTGAAATAAATTCAGTAATGCTCTGGTGTGAAACAATGGTTTGGCACTATTTCTTCTTCTTAGGTAACCTGCCACTAGGACCAGCGGTTACTCATACAGGCTTTATATTAGGAAAACAGATGGCTCACTCGGCCGAAAACATAGGACATTTTTTAAAAAGACTGATATATTTTACAATAATATTGTACAAACTTCTTATCAATCATATTATTTAAACGATAACCGACACACACTGATCACAGGTTAGATAATTTCTTTCCATCTGTGGTGTTACCGTGAAACTGATTTCACAAATTTCCCGGTTAGGAAATCAACAGTGTCGCCTGAAATAAGAGAAAAATAATCTTCATACCGCCTACCGGGATTCTCCCGGTAAGGTGTATGAGAACCCATAAGTAATTCTTGAACATAGTCTTTCCTGATTATCCTGTGGTTTTAGATTGTTTGCAATCTGGTTTTATCCAATATCCGTGCTCCTAACCTATCGCAGAATAACCAGAAGGAAACCTTTTTTTTTTAATCTTATTTTCATTGTATTTAGAATCTCTTTAGGGGTGTCGAGGTTAGTTAGTTTTAAAATCTACTTTTTAAGGACCCCACCCTAGTGTAGATACAACATCGTGTACTAAATAAAGACTTTACCAAATGGCCATCACTTTATTGTTTACACTGAAAGGGGGACCCTTCTGCTTTCAACCTTTTCTGTGTAGATACACTTTTTTTCGGATCCTGGTTCGAAACGACAACAGTCGCCGTACGTGTGCGCCAGTCTGTACTATCATTGTATGTACCCAATATGCAAACACAACACACCACGATTGTCTAAAGAAATCACCGGTAATTTTCCGGTTATAATAATATTCTGATTGTTACCGTGTGTTGTTGTCAAGACCGGGTTCGGCGATTTCCTTTGTGGACGACGTCGTGGAAGTGCGAATCTCGAGTAGTGGATATAGACAAAAAAAAAAAAAAAACACCACACTAAAGACTGGTGGTAAACAATAATAATAATATATATCCGAAGAAAGCGTGTATTTTTTTTTTCTTCTTATAAAACCCGGAACGTGACTGAGACCGGAACAATAGACAGGATCGCGTTTGTTGTTTTAATCGATGTGCAAACTGATTTCGGTTAAACGTTTCCGGCACGGACGCGAGTGAAAGGCTTATACATATTTTTTTTTTATCGCGTTGACGTAGTATTGAAAAAATATAACAGAAAATATGTCGCACCCTTGGACGACCACAAGAAATGCCACAACTCGAAAATTTGAGTCTAAAGCTGCAATTGTTATCTACAAAACGGTCTACCGCCGTATGTACGTCTTACATATGGCCCAACCGACGTTTTTTGTGTGTGTTTTCCTTCCTTTTCGCGATTGACAAAATTGAGATTTAACTGAGTAGCTTAAAATTAAAAAAAAAAAAAACGAGAATTGGGCAACATAAATAATTGCAAAGCATTGAAATTGAATTTTATATTAACAAGTTCAAAATTAATTTTCCATTAAAATCGTCGTAACTTCCAAACATGTAAATATTCTTTAAATTTTGAAAAACATTCCGAAATTTGAAACTTTTGCCTTCAAGTCGCTTTGCTATACATTTGATCTTGTAAATTGTTGTCGATAATAAAAACGTAATTAAATTAGAAACGGTTTCAAGATACATTTTTGGTCGTTGTAATAATATAGTCGATTGTATAACTAACATGACTAAGTTTAGTGTCGTTGTAACTAAAATACAAATACAAATGCAAGTATTGCAAAGGTACAGCTTTCAGAATCTTTGTTTTAAATTTAAAAAATATTTTATTGAAGTTTTAGTCATGGCGATTAATGAAGAAATTACATTTTTGCGTCGTGTTAATTAAAGGATGAAAATATGGCTCTACAGTAACAACTTAGAATTATTGCTCTAGAAGGCTGAAATGTTTGACATTTCTTCTTTTCGCCAAAACAAAAAATATTCGGGCAGGGGTGGGGGTTTGCGAACAAAATTGGTGTTTATTTCAAGGACAGTCTAATATATTGTTATATATAAGTACAGAGTTGTGCATCATTCAAATACAACTTTATCTAAACAATTTGCACAACTCTGATAATGTCTAACGTATGTTATACCTGACCCAGGGGCATGAGATAATTTCACATGTAGGTAAAACAAACAAAGTATAAAAAAAAATTAAGTGTATTTAAAAAATAAATAATAAAAAAAGAAAACAGTTAGAGTCACGCGTTTCATCTCAACGACCTGGGACCGAATTCGTCCATCATGGGATTCCAACCGCTGCTGGCGGCCTGGAATTCGTTGGGAGCCATCAGGTCGGCTTTGCGCTGCACCACGTCCTGGGCCCGGACTTCCGGCGGTGTGGGCTGAGGGGAAACAAAGTATTCCATGATTGGGTGGTAGTTGTAATTGGTCCTGGTGGTCGGTTGCATCCCTGGAGGTTCGGTCATCACAATTTGGGTGGTGGTGGTCGACCTGTGGACAAGACAAATGAAAATTAATGAATTATTTACATTATCTCATTGGTTCCCGTCTGTAATCTCCTTGATTTGGCATTTCCAATCCCATTTTTTAAATTACATTTTCCCATCAAAATGTACCCCCATTGACTGTTGTATAATTTTTGTTAGGCATTATTTGGTATTTAAGTAGTATTATTGTAGAATATTATTAATTGTGAATTTACCTGGTAAATAAAAAAAAAACATCCGATAGATAGCAATTTATTTCTTTAAAAACTATAGGGCGCTGCCGCCTACATTAAATTATTTTTTTCTATCAACAAATATAGACGTGTAACTGATTTATAAAATTCCGAATTAACGCACCAACATCAGCTAAGCTTACTTAGGATCAACAATAGCAAAGGCAGAGTTGTGTATTCAAATAAAACGTTATCTAAATAATCGTCTAGATAACACATTATTCGAATGAAACGTTATTAAAAAAATTATTTCACAATTTATCCAAATAAAAATGTAATCGAATAAAACATTATTTGAATAATTTGTTTACAATTTATTCAAATAAAAAGTTATTTAAATAAACACATTTCTTCCTATATGTACTGTCTTTAAACATTTTCTAAACATAGTAAATAATAGATTTACGAAGTAATGTTTTAAAATATATCTACTTGAAAAAAAACACTTTAAATAATATTTTTAAAAATTATTCGAATAAGAATTTGCATAACTCTGAACACAGGACATTGACTTCATGGTTAATATTGCATGTAAAGACTAAAAAGTGGAACCCGTCGGTCGTCATACAATGAAAAGAAGTTACTGAGAATAGACCATAAAATGATGACTACTTGGAAACTAGCTTATAATAATTTATTTGGTACCTAAATTAATTTTATAACAAGTTGTATATATTTATATTTTTCTTTACTAAACGAGTGTTCTAAAAAAAAAAACTAAAAAACAAGTTTGAGTGTACAGCGATATAATCTAGTGTAAAAATCGATTAAAAATAAAAAAACTAGAAAATAATTACTCACTCAAAATATTGTTAACTCACCTAATCGTTATTAAATAATTAAAATCGTGAACTAAGCTGTTAAACTATATCAAATATATTTTTATGTTATTAATTTTATAGCCATGATCACTCGATCATTAGTCGACCAATTATAATTATTAGATAATAATAGCAATAGCACGAGAAAATATTATGTAATTCAATATTATTCATATTATACTTATAAGTAATTTTGTAAATAATATTATATTTTGTTTTTTTATAAATTAAATACCAGTTGGTCTGGCCCTGTCTTCCTTTTTATATTTCAATTAACTCTTTGAAGGGCGGTGGTTAATATATTAACCACTTTTGTTATGGTCCCTCCTATAGGGGTGGTTGTTGGAGTAGATAGAACCACATTTTGCCAAAAAAAAAAAAAATGTGGTTATCTACCACTTTTTTTTTTTTTTGGCATCGGTTTAAAGTAAATGCTCGCAATAGTCAGCTAAACACACCTTCTTAGAGCATTGCGGTTTACTTGTCATTTTGATTTCTCACTTGTAAAGTTGTTTCTTGTATACAACCCTCGAGAGTGTGGTTTTGGTGACATTTGTTGCCCCTCAAAGAGGTTTAATGCAACTATGAAATTCGATTTTTTTTTTTTAGTTTTATTTGTCTAATATAGTTTATACTCGATTCCGTCGCTTCGAGTGGCAGTTACCTATTTCGATTTTTCTTGTAAGGCCTTCTCGTGACCGGCGGGTACTTGGCAGGAAGGGTTTCGTGGACTGCATACTGGACAGGACCAGACGGCGGTATGGGCAGCCGTTTGACCGACAGCAACTTCTTTGGATTGGTGTTCGAAGACTGCGTGTGTAAGTCTTCCGACACGGAGTTGTGCGAATCCAAACTTTCCGAAGTCAACGGATTCAACTCTTGAAGGTGACACGAGCAACACGTGGGCACCTGTATAAAAGTGAGTGTACACGTTTTTAGTGTAAATAAGGTAAAGATGCGAACTAACACAGCGCGTACTAGCTTGTAAACAGAAGGACTCAAAACCGACATGACCGGAAATAAAAAAAATCGCCTTCATCGCCCACAACCGAGATGGCGGAAAATTTACTTCGCTAAACATTTATTGCCAACACGTTTCATCTAGTTTATATTGTCTTTGCCACCTCGCTGTACTCACTTTGAATATGTCCATGGTAAGTCCGGAGAAATGATCCCAGGTGAGCAGCCTATGATAGTTGTACACCTGACGGCACGTCGACTTGAACTTGGTGGAAACGTGCGAACACCGAGTGTCGGGTTTTCTAAGACAAGTCGGGGTCGATAATTAATCAACGGTTAACGATGTAACGGTTCGTCTCGAAGTCGAATAACTTACAAGCATTTCTCGAGCCGCAACGTCTGAACGTACTCGTCTGTGTTTACCACATATTTCCACTGGCCGTTGGTGGATCTGGCTTTTTTCGGTCTTGCGATAGTCACGTGGCTCTGGCAGATAGCATCTTCCGGGGTATCGTCGGCACGCCTGCAAAAATTAAGAAAAAAAAACCTATTTTAATAAATTATTTGTAAAAAAAAAAATGTGATCTAAAAATATTCACACTTAATTCATATTCCATCGGAGCACACACTAGTTATGTCACAACGTGACAGTTAAAACTAGTATAAGTGTTGGCTTTGAATAAAAAAACAATTATAAAAATAAATTTAATAACTCATAACCTTATCCCTCTCACTACTCGAACGCGGAGTAATTAAAATTTACAATTTAAATTCTAATTAAAAACTACATAATTAGTTTTTCAGATAATTTTCTACTCAACTACCGTTAAGTTAGGTTTACATTCTATTTCGGTTAAAACTTAATCACATTCTATTTAACTGATGTTAATTTTTAAACGGTTTAGTAGTCTGTACTAGTTGCTCAGAAAATGCACAAATGTACAAGTAAGGTCGAGTTTTGACTCTGGGAACAAAACTAAATAACTTAAAATTAATGTACCCGTTACAACTTACCTTTCGGCTATGTTAGCATCAAATGCACTAGTCAAATTAAATTTAGGATCTTTGGTCAGAGCTTGAAACGCCGTTTTGCTATTGGCTGTGTCTTCAATGCTTTCGATGATTTCAAGACTGTAACGGTCGTAAGACATTAATTATTGCTAATACACAAGTAATATATATTTTTATTTAAATATTTATAACAAAATTTAGAGGTGGGGGTTAAATATTTTCCAACTGGTAAGTCGATTTTTTATGTATAGTCATTTAGAGTAAAATTCATCAAAATTGTATAGTAGACTGTATAAAAAATAATTACATTACACTGTGGCGGTGTTGTGTTTTTTTTTTAACGGTGTTTATTAGAAACCCTTCACTCTGAATAAAGTTACTTACAGAAATAGTATAGTTAATCACTTGAAAAAATTGTTTTTTTTTTTTAAATACATTAGAGTAAAATCATGTAAATTATTTTTGTTTTCCTTAAATTAAAAAAAAAATCGATAAATTAAAAAACTGTACTGTTATCCACCAACGTATAAAGTATACATAAAAATACAATACAATTTCTATTATTCGATTCAAATTAAGATGAAATTTAACTAGAACTTTCTTATCCGTTAGGATTTAGGTTAAGGCGGTAAACCAAACCTTGACATTAAAATACCAAATTGTTGACCTCGTACTATGACGACAACAACAACAACTGGAGTGTTAGTACAAACCGGTTCGTTACCGTTAGGTTTCAGTTGTTTTTGAACATGTATTTTTACAATAACATTGTGGATAAAGGATCCTGTGGGAGATTTCCAATTTAATCCTTGTGGGAATTCCCGTCAGAAATCTTCTAGGAGAGGACATTCGGAGATAAGATAATAAATGACAGATATAAATGATAACAGATCATAATTAATGACACAAAGTGGCACATCGGTAGTAAAAAAAATTATACGACCACCGTATTGGAGTCGGAGTAGTCCCGAGACTCACAAGAAGTGTTAACGACTGAAAGTGATAAAATCATTTTCAAATAAAACCGTCTAAACGTTTGATTTCACTGTAGGTTTTTTATAACTGTAATTGAGAGTCATTTTCTATTAATAATACATAGGTAGTGTTTTTTTCATGTCTGAGGTCTAAACAATATACTTTTCAGATTTTCAATTATAAAATATTGTGACCCAATACCGTGTATGTGTCAAGAGTGATGACTCTTGACTCATCACATCATAAACTACACGTCTTTGTCAACAGGACGGTCCATCCGACCAATTACCTCAGTGAAAACATCAACTTGACTTCAAAAGTATTCAAGTATGAATTGGGTTAGGACGCAAGGGTGCAAGTAGTAGTAGATCTAGGATGAATGCTGCTGGGATTGTACGGATTTTGAGATAAGGTCGTCAAACAATTTAGATAGATGAGAAACAAGGATATTAGGAGAATATAGCTGCTTTTAACATGGACAAGATCACCAGAGTTGAGGATGTCAATCAATCTTAAGAACGGGTGGAAAGACGCCAGTGTCTTTAGGATCGCTCGAACAGAAGCCAGGCAGGCCAAACAAGAACTTCTTCCAAGTCCAAAAATAGAGACTACTTTGAATACTGACAGTATACTCACTCGGGATAGGATTGCACGCTTATGCAAATGTTGTCGCCGAACAATTCGCAGTCGTCCAACGGGCTTTCTGGCGTGGCAATCACGTGCTCGGTTATTTTAGCCGGACGTCTGGGCACGGATATGGGCAAGTATGGTCTTTTCTTGGCTGTTAAAAAAATAAATAATAATGTGATTATTATTTAGGTCATCGACCTTGAGATAGCTGTATAAATAATAAAAACCAGTTACCCGGTGGCTCAGGAATCCGTTGCGGATACCGGCGGATCAACGAGTTTGGCAGGCGCAAACGATTAGACGGGTAAGGTGAGCCCGGCAGATGATACGACTGCATGCAAAAAAAAAAAAAAAATATTAAAAAATTATAATAATAAATTAAAAAACAGCCAGTGAACTTTTCAAATGTTTGGGCCAAGAAAGTATTTTGCAGATACTATTTATATAGATCTGATACATGATGAAATAGGTTCGGTCGTTCAAGAAATGACAAGGGGTAGAAAGGAATAACCCAAAAAAAAGACATTGGATCATGAATATGATCAACTGATTTTCCATCTCGTATTAATCATCTCTTTTAAGCCGATTCTCTTATCAATCTTCTGTTTTTTGTGTCGATAATTTCTTATCAGTTATCCAGCTATTACCAATTTTTCCTTATCACCATCCACATCATTCACGCTTACCTATCACTATTCCATACCCTTATCTTTGCGTCACTAAAGCGGCCATTAGACGTAAAGTTCATGAAGCATCGTTACGAAACTTACCCCGTAACTAGACGCCCTGGCCGACGAGTCGTCGCCGTTGTTGCCGCCGGCGTTCGCGGTCCTAAGCATGGACGCTATGTCCGAACTTATGGGAAGCAACAGCTGAGCGTTCATCGCTTTGTCGCGGAGGTTGTGCATTTGACCTTTGCCCATGACCATGCCGGCTAGCGCCAACCTTTGCGCGGGCGTCATGGCCTTGATGATGGGCACCACTTGGGCCAGTCTCTCCTTCATGCCGGGCACGCGCATCGCCGACTGCACCAGCTTCTGCATCACGTCCGCCTTGCGGTCGGCCATGTTCCTGTATCGTTGTAAAGGTTATGGTTAAAATTGAAATATGTATATATATATTTGTATCTCAAAAGCGTCGGGACAACTATAAAAAACAGGAAGGGGATGGTATTTAGCACACCCTAAGTTAAACATTATATTCATATATGCAGAGATGAGCGAAAAGAGTGGATTTATTTAAGTATCGATAAGTTTAAATTACATTAAATTAATGGATTATGCAAATAACTCATAGATAATGGTCGGGAGTTAATGAAAAAGAAAAAATATTAAAAAACCAAAACAGTGGACTTAGGCCATAGTGGGGACGGGGAGGTCATAGGTCTACAAGAATTATTAAAACTGAAAGTGATAAAATCACTTTTGAATAAACGCTTCGATGCGAATCTGTGAATAGTATGTTCAACCCAGTACAGTCTTCATTTTTAATATTAGGGTGTATACGATTAGGGTTAATTGTCAGTCTATAAAATTGTATCACCATAGTTACCCACACATAACAACCTAAAAACTGACTACGGTCAAAGTGTAATTATCAAGTGAAAACAACATTAAAAATATATTGTGTTAACTACTTTTAATACATTTTTTTCATTCATTTAATGATGAATACTTTTTAGCATTTATTCTATATTTGTAATTTAAATAAATTTCTGCTTACAAATAATCAAAAATATAACAGGTTCGTTTCGGAAATAATATCCCATTTGCCGATTATTCGTTATGCTTTTGTTAGATTATTATCACCACGTCCCGTTTTAATATAAAAACATACCCAAGTAGACCAGGACCTATAGGACATAAACGTTTGCGTCTTGACCGTTTCTTTATATATTTTTTTTTTACAACCGCAGAACTATTGCTTGGGCAATAAAATAAAATAAATACATTAACTCTAAACGACGCGATCGGATCATGTATACCATCCATTATAGTGTGTTATAATATTATGGCAATACATATTTTGTCGCTTTCGAATCCAATCCGCGCGCCATACACTTAACGGTTTTCTTATTTTGCAGACATGGATTTTATTTTTTTTATTGTTTATACCGTGTACTTTTTTTTTTTTTTTATCCTATAAGTATCCGTTTACGCTGGCGTGTAGGTGTCTGCCGGCAATAACCATCGACGGAGAAAGCGGGTCGCCGAAAGCCGGCGCTTTTTTTAACGACCCGGCGATGACGGGTTTATTTTTCTTGAGACGTTTATCTTATTTTTATTTTTCTAGGGACCTCGATACACTTACACGGAACCATCCGGTGCCGCATCGCTGTCTGGCTCGACGCTGTTCGGATCGATGGTCGCCCCGACGCCGTCCGCCGCTGTTGTGTTTGGCAAGTCGCCGTTTTCGTTGTTGACCGAACCACCACCGTCGTCCAACGGGAAGTCTTCTAGTAAGTCATCGCAAGCGACGGCCGTAAACGCCTGGAAAAACCAAAAAAAATACAATAAGTTGAGCAAACCCACTGAATTTTTCGGTCACCTCTTTCTCTGTTAAGTCGCAGACTATATTATGAAAACGGTTAACGGCATACAACAATTCCATAACAACATCACGGTTTAGATGAAATGAAAATATGATCTAATCTGCGATAATATAGTCAGTTATCGTTTAAACCTCATGATTGATAAGGAGTTTGTGCAATAATATTGCAAAATATGTGCACAACGATTTATACTAATCAGTCTTTTTGAAATTTTCCTTTGTTTTCGGCCGAGTGAGCATGTGTTTTCATTAAAGTCTGTAGTAAGGTGAGAAACTCGATCCGTTTATTAATTTGATCGTTTAATATGGATATGTTTTTTGGTTGGCGGTTAGATTTCCGATGGTGATAAGAAATGACTGATAAGTGATAAAGGATTCGTGATAAGAAAAAAATGATAAGGGACATAATATCCCTTACCATATTATGATAAGAGATCATTTAGATTTAGGTTAGATTTGCATTAAGTAAGTAAGGCTAGGAGAACATGTTTTTCTGTAGACTAAAAAAAGCGAATTTCCTCGTTTTGTTCCTTGTTTCTATCAAATGTGCATTTCCGATTTAAATGCAACTAAAGCGTTTCAGTAGTTAGAGAACCAATAAAGACAAATATTTTCATTACCCGTGTAATATTGCTACTATTAAATGAAGGTAATAAGTTACCTCTAACGACTAAATACAAACAAACTAGAAAGAATAAACACATAACATTCACATTATTTTCTTGCAAATTTTCACCAAACTTTGTGAAAAATAACTTACTACAATCAATATTATAACATTTATTATAAAGTGATCAGTGATCACAACGAGATTTGTTTTAATTAACACTTTTGAACATAAAGTGAGAATACATCACAACAAGCATACCAATTGCTAACGAACGTCCAGGAAAATAAATAAAATGTGTATATGCGAAGAAACCCTTTCGTCTATTTGTCTTCTTTACTGCATCAGCTAATTAACGGTAATTAAGGTACAAAGTATATTTATTTTAGTATTCACACAACGATGTTTTTTTTTACTATCGATTGGAATTTGTTGTTAACATTAGCCTAACGCCGTATTTTTAAGTTAATTTACTATGCAAATCTTATACAAAGGTATATAGGCACTAAATAACACTGAATAAAAGATAACTACATTTGCAATCACTTCGTTACAATTATAGGCTTTGGTTTTAATTGAAAAAATTACCAATTGGTGATTTAAAAAAAGTGTGTTGATTTAATAACACAACTCGTTCAATACTTTTTCTAACAAAGGTGTGTAAATGCATATATCCTTAGTAAAGTATGTCAATTGAAACTATTACACTTTATAGTAAATAGTAATAATTAAAGCTGTTGTACTCCAAAAACATTAACTCACTTTGCGTTTACATAGTCGACACACTTTACACAACCGAGCTGTAGGTGTTACTAATCTATTATAATATGTAACATGGTCCGAGGACGGTCCATAGCATGACTTTTGAAATTTGCTAACGTTCTCTATTTTGGCCACTAATTGTTGGCAATTTCGAGAAAACTACGGCCAAAACGTGGACTAAAAAACCAGACCATGAACAGGCTTGATTAATCACACCGAAAACCACTGAATGACATGAACAAAATATTTCCAATTATTATACCAAGCTGTTCAATAATAAAAAAAAATAATAATAAAAATAGAACGCTAAGTTTCGTTGAACTTTTAAAATTAAGTCCTGTGTAATATTATAAGATAAAACTGATTTTAAAATAAATTGAAATTATCATTAAATATTAAATACATTTTAATAATAAATTAACGTTATTTTAGCGTTGTAAAAAATATTATTTTAAACGGAGACATATTCAAGCTTCTTCAGAAAATGCCCAAGAGGTTTGTAGAAATATAATTTGTTTAAAAAAGCCCCAACTTTGGTTTACTGTTAGAATATTCGATCTGGTTTAATGCGTACAGGATTTCTACTATAGACCAAGTGTTATTTACCTAGGACCTGTTTGAGTTGACTGCGCACGCTTTTGTCCAGAGGCTTAAGACGATTAGCATGAACCGCAAAAATACCGACGAATAATTGACGAAGAGCTCGTGAACACGTGTACTGTACCTACTAATCGTGTGTGGTCGATTACAAATCGTTCAATAAAATAACTCAAAGTAGGCACTTTGAATCTCGCTCGCACAGTTGAGTGTAATTAGCGTGGATTACACAGCAACGCTACATTACTTCTTGTACGTCTAATAGTTCTCATCTTATTGCCGGCTAGTTGTGAAACTGACGGTGTACAAAAATTAGGCACCTTCCTTAACCGAGTTCAATATTCGATTACAGAAGTGAGCAAACCGTAGCAATATACATCAGCTGTTATATGGTTAATAGATGTTTGTTGTGGATTGTGTATGAGATTTCAATACTCATGACTTGTGAGTTTCAACCTTAAGGCAGTGACTTTGCTACAATGGTCAGTCGATACACTAAACCGTGTTACCACTCGGCTAAGAAAATTAAATCCGCAGCTCAACATTTTTTCGCTTGAACCGGCTACCGTGTTAAACCGTGAAAAAAAATAACATTTACCAATGTTGAACGATTAGTGTCCATAGACAAAATGATACTCTTCCACAATATGTCTTAGCATATTTTAATAGAAACTCTACAACATTGGTATACCGTTTGAAATACCAAAAATGAATTATCGGTAAGCAAATAAATACCTATGCATAAATTGAACCAGTAACAAAGATGTATGTTTTGTCAGATTGTTTTGTCATAAGTAATAACTATGACTGTTGCAGTATCAGTCTTAGTTACATTACTTAGCGCATCAACATAATACTTTGCTACGGTTTGGTGGTCAGTCAATATGCTAAACCGTGTTACCCACACAGTCAGTTCAACAAAACCGTAAAATTATCAAATACCATTATTGAAACATTAGTGTTTATAGAGAAACGCTACACCACGTCATGACTTGGCATATTTAACCTCTTTTAAATATGATTAGGCGACTGACTAGCACGGTACCACACAAACGTGAAGTACAAACAAATGTAATTAAATCCATTTTTCCCAAAAATAATTTTTTTTTTTAGAAAATTAAAATAATATAATTGGTACGTACCGGTTTTATTATTTTGATACATGATGTTTTTTTCACTTATCTGATTTAATTATTTTTATATTATAAATAGATTTGTAATTGAAAACAGAAAGCCAAGTACCAGTAAAATATGATGTAATATGACGAATGTTTTTTTTTTACATTGTAAATATAACATTTGTTTGTAATTATTAAATTTTAACTAATTTTAATGATATTTTGAACTCGATTGGATGGAAACTTATTTAAAAGTTTCATACTTGAAATTATTTTTATTTTATAAAAAACAAGCTTATTATTTACATTTTAACAGCTAATAAATGTTTATTAGCGATTATAGCGGATTATAATATGTAATTAATTTTATTAATAATTGAAATTAAAACATACTATAACAGTAACTTTTCATATGATCTTCGCAGGTACAATATAAGTAGTATTACAATTTATAAAAAGTATACCACTACATGAGTAACATTTTATGTAACATACTCCCAGCTTAACTCGTATGTTTTTTTTTTTAAGAAAAAAAATTGTTTTCCCAGTGAATCTCCTTATTATCTAGGGAATTGTTTAGTATATTAATACCGCTTTAACTGAGTATGATACTGCAACAGTCATAGTTATTACTTATGACATTATTTATGACAAAACATACATCTTTGTTACTGGTTCAATTTATGCATAGGTATTTATTTGCTTACCAATAATTCATTTTTGGTATTTCAAACGGTATACCAATGTTGTAGAGTTTCTATTAAAATATGCTAAGACATACCGTGGAAGAGTATCATTTTGTCTATGGACACTAGTCGTTCAACATTGGTACTTGTTATTTTTTTTACGGTTTAACATGGTAGCCGGTTCAAGCGAAAAAATGTTGAACTGTTAATTAAACTTTCTTAGCCGAGTGGTAACACGGTTTAGTACATCGACTGACCATTGTAGCAAAGTCACTGCCTTAAGGTTGAAACTCACAAATCATGAATATTGAAATCTCATACACAGTCCACAACAAATATCTATTTAACCTATAACAGCTGATGTATATTGCTACTGTTTGCTCACTTCTGTAATTGAATATAGAACTCGGTTAAGGAAGGTCATTATTTTTTTGTTTTTTACACCGTCACAATGAACAAACGTCAGACTAACTCAACAACTAACTAACCGACAGCCAGATGAGAACTATTTGACGGCAGTAACGTTGCGGTGTGATCTGCACTAATTACGCGCTCTATATAGTTAGCCACGCTAATGCCATACTCTTTCTTATGATATTCTTATAAATTAATTGTTGTATGACTTGATTAACTGATAGAAACTGGAAATTCAACAGTAATTTATTTTTGGCCGCATTTTCATTAGGTCTAAAAAAAAAAAATGTTTAATTTGTATTTAAGTGAAAATCTTAAGGAATAACCATCATCGAGAACCATTAAAGTATGGAAGTGGATTTAGTAAATACCTACTTATAAAAATATAAAATTCCGGCTGAAGGAAAGAACTGAATTTACAAATAGAGTTTAAGTGCGATCACACAAATGGACAATATTTAAATTTTTTTTCTTATAAAAAAATAAAAACCAAACCCTTTTAAACAAATACAAAAAAAAACAAAACAATATGGAAAGTTATATTGAGCGTGACATGTATTTTTTTTACGGATAACATGTTTTATACTTTACATAGGGATTTCTACTTAGGTAGGTTTCAAAAACGACTAAGTTAATCTTTATTTTACCGTTACAGAGAGAGAGAGAGAGAGAAGTAGCCTATAACGTTAATCTCGGGTGTCGTGTATTTCTGTCGAATAAGAGAACATGATTGACACTTTGTAGTAGATTGGTAATGTATGTCTATAAAAAAGTTATGTTGGTAGACGTTTTTAAGCAGGCGTCAATAATCAATCATAAACCATTTGAAATATTTTAAAGGTCTTGTTTAGTTTTATTTAAAAAGCTTTTAGCATTTTCAATGTATGACAAAGGAAATCTTAATGGGAATTGGAAGTTAATTTTGATTTGAATTTGGCCTTTTCTACTTAATATACAGCAAAAAATACTGGTTGTTGTTTTTGCTTATTTTTTTTTGAAATTTTTAATACCAAAATTTTAATATTTTATTCTTGTTCGTGTTTTAAATAATTCCTGCTATGTTTAATGCACCGAATTCTTCGTTTAATGAATATTAAACGGATATTATGTTTTTAAGAAGAAACGAGCGATCATAGCTTAAACAAAAAAGAGAGTGTATAATTTGTTTTATGTTTATAAATGTTGAATAGCAAAAAGTTGAAACAATATATACACACGACGTAATTTAATTGTTTTTACCAACCGAAAAAAAATCCCAGTACATCAATGTCGAGAATTGTAAGAAACGAGCGGTTAGTCTAGGTTAAGACAATAGTCTTGTGAAAAACACAGAAATGTTTGTTTTAATAGTACGTTGTTGTGATGGAGGAATTGTGTGCATTATACTAAAACAAAAATTGGCTTTTTGAGATGTTCAAAAAAAAAAATAACTTCAACGCAAACGGCCGATTGTATATTATAAATACATCACATAGGTACCACTAATATGAGATGGACAGTGTAAATACACTCATAATATTGTATTCGACAGGCGTTTGTCAAACTGTTGTGTGTCCCTTATTTGGAATGTCTTCAATTGGTTTCACTGTCAGTCGAACCAGACGATTATTTTTTTTTTTACCTTCACTACCGTTGAAGTGTATAGATTTATTTTTTTTTAGCGGACAATTCATAAAATAGCAACAGTTTTTCACTTTCACAAGACGTACGGCCAATAGACCGTGGTAAACAATAATATGACTATAAATAAACATAAACTCCAAGTCGCTTTACCGATCAATGTCAATATAAAAAAGATATAGTTTTTTTTTTTGTAGAAATAACTATCGCATTGGTTCAATAATTTTTTAGTTACACTAATACCGGAAGTTATACTATTTTTTTCTTCTTTTATTGAAACATACAAACTGTGAACATTTTCTTACAATACGTTTGTTTCAGTAAAGTTATACCTACTTATAAAATAAAGAAAATTGGGGTCTCACTCGGTCCATTAAATTTTATTAAAGTCACTAAATGTTTACATATTTTTGTGCAACCAAACCTAACATCAACCAATTTAATGGTAACTGTCTGATGTTTAAGACTTAAGGAACTCCTATTTATATATATCCCACCCAAAATAGCATCAGTAATACATTCTAAAGTATGTAAAAATGAGTCACTTCTATTTCTTTTAATCTAAATAAAAACGTTTATCTATATATATATATATATATATATATCAAAAAATAAGTCAATTATTTTTACCAGTTAAATAATTTGTAGAAAAAAATTCGTTTTCTTATGAAGTGTTCATCTAGATAAAAGAAACGTGTCATCTACAGTTTTAGTCATTATCTAGATACTTATAAGTTTATTTTTTTTGTCTAACTAACCATTATTTTATTATGCCTTTATTCAAAAAGTTCATAATATACAGAAATACCTAAATTTGGAAACTTTCTGTTTTCAATGTTTTTGTGGTATTATTCAATTTTGGAAAATTCTTTTTAAAAATGAATGCATTCCCATTCAGCATTCCTTTTTCACTATCATAAATAATTTAAAGCATACCTTTTAAAAAATATAATGTTTAATATTTCCTCTTGTAATAGGTATTAAAAAATGTAGATTAAAGACAGGCGTCAAAGGCAAACACCATTATAAAAAATCGTTTTTGTTTTTAAACGGAAAATCATTTTTTTTAAATTTAATGTATTGACATTCATATTTCTACATAAAACAAATGCATTCCCATTCCTCACCTTAAAATGAAATGTAATGCATTTAAGTAAGAATTTGCACAACTCTGATAGCACTATGAACGTATAGCAATTTTCCCATACCTAATACTCGACAACCCAAATACATTTTTTTTTTAAATAGAATTGTTTTAAATTTAATTGTTCGAATAAAAGTTTTACAAATAATCTCAAATTCAGTATTTCGAATAAAAAGTAATTTGAATAATTGTTAAGCGTATTATTTAAATAGTTTACAAGTGTTTTTTAATATATTTTTTATTAATTATTTCGTACACATAATATAATGTATACTACATTCACAAAATCTATACGAAAACCAGTATATATTATGAAAAAAATCGTTTTTATTCAAATTAACTGTGAAATAATTATTCGGCCAACGTTTTGAATAAGAATAAGAATTTACACCACTCCGGACATTTTTTTGTACGACACGGACATGAATAATAATTGTATTCCTTGGTTATTTACTTGTGGCATACTTAAAAGGGTTGGGTACTTACCGAGGCCGCCAACAAGGAAAATATCCAAAATGTGTGCATGTCAAGACGGCTGTGTTGCGGCGGTCGTCATTTCCACGATAACAGTGCAACAAGTGCAACAAGTGAGCGCGCGCGGATAGACCTTTTCGATTTGAATACGACCATTCGACTTAAGACGTCGCGAGGACGACCCGGCGGACAGACAAACAGATAAGTCACTGTGTAGTGTGTGTGTGTGTGTGTCTTGCAGATGTCGGCAGATGGAATGCCCCGGACCGGTCCGTTTGGTGGGGCGCACGCGCGCCGTTCACGGGCACCGAATAAGTTGGTCATCGCCAAGTTTAAGGTCAGTTACGTCGGCGAGGCGCCGCGACGCCTCCGGTGTACACATTATAATAATTGTAATTACACGGCAATCGTTTAAGTGTATGTGTACATTAAATAGGCACGAATAAAACAACAAAGCGGTTATAAAAAAAACACACACTCACTCACAACAACCGCATACTCGGCGGATTTAATTGCAGGTGCAAGCGGTACTTATCCAAGTGCATATCGAATGCTGCAGTTGTCGCCAAAGTTTTTCCATCAGCGTGACGTAGGATGCCAATTGGGTCAGTCTGTCCGAAAATGTCGAGATTTGACGTTCGATTAATTGTTCTTTTTAATCTGGTGACAACAATAAGAAAAAATGACGTTATTTCTTCCTACACGCCTTGTCCGAGACAACAATCGGGTCAAAAAAAAAAAATTCCTTCGCACAAGTTCACAGTTTGCAAGACAATGATAATGATGTGTAATATTTGGCCTGTGCTCGGGTTGGTTGTGTTCGATTGCGATGAAATGTTAAACATGGAAAAAAAAATTAATGTAAAACATTAAATTTCTCTAGTATATATATTTTTAATTTATTTCACTACTGCAACCATGTCATAAAAAACATATGACTTATCGGTTATAATAATATCACATTATCATATGAAATTCTAATTTATCTATTGGTCTGTACAGATGATAAGGATTATTCTGTGCAGCGTTTAACGACCTATAAGAACAGTGTTTATTTTTATTTAAAGTGGTCACACTGTTGCTCGCCTTCTTGCTAACTTCGTTGCTGAATACAGGGCATTCTAGGATGTTACAGCTCAATATATTTTTACTCTATGATACATACAAATACGTTTAAGGTTAATTTTGAAGTTACAGTAGATAGTGTCCTTTATAATTTAGTTTATTCTGACAATAGTATTGTCACAATGTAATAAATGTTAGCATTGATTAAGAATACAATACATGTATTCTTAATCAATGATGGCAGAAATAAACAGCCCCCTCTGTGACATAATCACTTGATTATTTAATTATGTAAACGTTTTCGTTGATAATTTGATTGATAATATTGTTGTTGTAGGATTTTCTTATTGCCGAGGAGTACAAAATATATAGCCCTGATAATGATGAAAATATAATGATTTGATACCTCTCAACAATTCACAAGCATTGCTTACAGGGATTAGGTATCAACATTTGCACTAGTATATTAATTATGATGTTGTATATAATTGTATAATATTTATATTAAATGTTTTGATGATTAAAAAATAAAATGATAAATAAAACTGATTCCAAATTCATATGAAAACGCACAAATCTATTATCCAGATAGTTGTTCCCAATAGTTTTGATCTAGATAATTTATTTTGATAATTTTTACCAAGACAATGCACAAGACTTGACTTACTCTAACTTTACTGATTTAGACTGTTTACTTGGTATATTTAGGTACTGTGCCGACTTGTGCTCGATAAGACTTCGCTGGTTTCGATTGTTTTGGTGCCGATTTTTTTTATTTACTACTTAAGAAATTGAATTTAAAATATTATTTTTCATCCGTATCTTCGTTGATCTATAATTGTATTTTTTATCTTTTCCCCTATTTAACGTAGCTCGTATTATGTTGTGACAGGCGACAGCAATGTAGGTACCTACTGCAGTACACGAACAAAACTCGACCCATCTATCTGACTACACTAACGTTCGGTTTATTGTGTCTGTACATTTTGATATAGTACATATTATTATTATTATTATTATTACTATAATTTTGTACGGAAAGAGTTATCTGGTACTTGCGGCGACTCGATCAATCATAAAATATCGTGCATATCAACAGCGGGTTATTTTTCCCAGACACTTTGCATGTGGACAGGTACATATATAGGTACACAACATAATAGTGTATAAAAATAATATTATACCTATGTAAATCAATCTTGTTTTTAAGTAGCACCGAAAAACGTTACCCGGCGTCAGTTAAACGTACCACGTGAAATCGTTACACCGGACAAGAGCAAATCGATTCGAATTGTGCTATTACTAATGTGCTTCCACGATGATGGCCACCATTACATACATTCTATATGCTAACGTTATTAGCATATGAGCATATTATCATTATTATTATTATTATTGTACATAATATAGGCCAACGTCCTGGGAAACAACACTGCACGGTCGACTCTCAGTTGTAAGTATAGCTCTTCTTGACTCGTTAAAGCGAATGTGTTTGCCCATTATTGGCCGCAGTATTCAGTCAACAGTATATACTTATCTTTGTTGGTCTTGAAACGCCAACACACATTCGTATTGGTATTATTATTATTATTAAAAGCAAATAAGAAAACCTGACAATGATTTTTATTTATAATAATATAGGTCTCTCGTTCGACAGTGCAAACGTTTCACTGGTGTGTACCAGACAATGCACACCTACGTCGTTAACCTAAAGTCCTAGATAAGAAAAAAGTAATAATATAATAATAAACATGTCAATCGGCCATAATATTATTTATATTATACTATATTTTTGTATTTAATGGGTGTTTTCTTTTTTTTTTAGTATCGTTTTATAAGTATAATTTTAAAAAAAACAATGCCAGTGACTTGTATAGTATTTTGCATAGACTATGACTTGGCGAATGTACCAACACTGATTAGAATCTTAAATCACCACCGTTTAGGGTCGAATGGAATTAAGTCTAAAATAATCATCTTGGGGCTAAAAATAAATTCCCACTCGGCAAAAATATATTTCAAAATTATAACATTTTAAGAAAGTTGCCACACTATTGTAAAGTATTAATTAAAATTGATATTTTGTTTGGAATTCAAACGTTAAGTAACTCTTTAACTCTCTATTAAACGTTTTAAATATTTAAAAATTATCATTGAAGCGTTCGTGTCGGTTTTGTATTTGATTTTCTGTCAATTTAAAAATATTTTACAATATAAAAATATATTTTAACGATGGCCATTATTACTTATTTAAAATATTACATTTTTTAAATATGTTATGGTTGCTGTATGGGTATATTATGTTTTGGCAAAACTAAGTAAGCTTACTTTATTTTTTAATAATATTTTCAAAATTATTGTTTTCAAAACCACAAACAATTCACTAAACATCAACCGAACACTTGGAAATTGCTGTGTAGCATTAAGCCATAGATAATACAGCGGTTAAAAAATATTATACATGTGAAAATGTTTTGCTAAAAAATAAAATACGTTTGAAATCTTAATTTTTTGTTTGATTGATTTTTTAATAGTTTTATTAATTTAATGTGTTGTCCCTACTCGTTTTTCAACATAACAAAATTAAACTAACAAAAATTTAAACAAGAAAGTGACGTTTATATTTTCAAATAAAAAATTTATCTTTTATGGGTCGTAAATGCGTTTTTTAGTATATTTGTTATGGCATTTTAATCCGTGTCCTAATTATGCGAACAATCAATCTGTAGAAAAATAGAGTAAAATTAGCAATGGTGCATGTAGGACGATCAGTAAGAAACAAATGTGAAACCCCAATATCGGCGCAGTAGTCAAATGAAAATTCTAAAAAAAAATAACATAACTAATATTTGGACAGCTGTTGTTAAATTATATTCATAAATTTATATTGTATTAATCGATTGATTTATTTTCTTTTTAAAAATATGTTATTCAAATAAAATATACTCGCTGTTTTGGTTTTTAAGGGGGGAAAACATACAGCTCTAATGGTAATAGGACATACTCGATTAATTCACACTTCCTATTTACAGACGCCTGTAGATCAGTAGAATGCGGACAATACCAACCAAAACGAATGGACCTCAAAAGTCTTAGCGGTATTATCTATTCTAAATAGTTAAATACCTAGTTTCAAAACTAGGAATCACTTTACAGCCTTATTCTGTTTCAGTAATAACATTAATAATATTGTCTTCATCCTTTACACAGAAAAACAAGCAATTTGTTGACAATTATTATTCCTTGGATTCGATTAAGATTTTTGTATAAAGTTTCCCTCTGATTTTTCGCATCCACATTTGATACGTTTTGTTATACTGAAAAATATAGTAAATTTTCCATCTTTAAGTTTTTTTTATTTGCTCACAATACATCAAAATATAGGTATTATGTTTAGCTCTGATGTGCCGTTTATTTTTTCTGTTTATTGTAACTGTGTGAATTTTTATTGGGTATGTTGAACTATATATATTTTTTATATTCAAATTTTATTTGTTTATTTTATTGTTTTTAGTTGTGTACGGCTTATGGGGTTTGTGTGATTTACAATGTAATTTCTTTTGTGCGTTACAACAAGGTCTATGCTAAACGAGGGCACGGTGCACGGCGCAGTGAATTTGGACATGCATCCGTAACTCGAGTAAAGCATGAATTAATCCGATTTCTTTGTAAACGCACTATATAATTGTTATATCCGACATAGAACTCGGATTCAAATATTTTACAAGTGTGTTTTTATGTACAACATGCGGTACACGCAAGTACACATAAATACACCATATAATAATAATTATAGTAGGATATAATATTATTATACTGTGGCGTTGTATAGAACAAAAAAAAAAAAAAATGAAAACCTAAAAATAAAAACGACATTCTCACGATGATATGCAAACTATACAAATAAGATAACTTATGTTATTATTATTATCATTATTTTTTTTTTGTGTAACACCAATACAACCACTACAGCTTTAACGTCAATCAATTTTTAATATAATATATGCTTAGAGACGTCTTTACTCTTCGTGGACAATGTGAACATGCGTTTATGATCAAATCTGCTGATATACATTGATTGTACAAAGCTATATACAATAAAAATGAACAAAACCCAATATTTTCTGAGGTTTCAAGCAATACAACGACTGTTGACAATACTGTTTAGGCTAAACAGGCTTCACAAAAATTCTTCCCTAATTTTTAAGACATCAAAGTTATCGTAAAACATTTATTAGTATAATAATTGTATTGTATTAATAAAAAAAACATTGATGTCAACATATTTCAACAATTTTGATTTTTATTACATTTAATAAATCGTGAAAATCGTTAAATTCAATAATTGTTTTTTCAATTATAAAAAATATATACACTTATATTAGTTTATTACAATTATAAGCTGGTTACAAAATCTATATGTATATATAAAAAAAAATTGCAGTTACATAAAAATGCTACATTGCTATTGTACGCCAACATTAAACGCTAACTATTGTGTTTTTGCAAGATTGTATTAACTGTTTGATTAAGATCAAAGGTAATATGATCACTGGTGACGTCGTAATGAAAACCAAGTTGTACCAAGTGACCGTAGATTATGCCGATGTAAGTTTTTAACTTGGCTACATACAAAGAGTAGATGCCATTCGGGTCACCGTTATACTCACTTTTTATTTCCTGCACATTGAATATTTTGCGCTTTGGAGAACATGTGAAGAACACAAATTCTCTCAGTGATTCAGCAACTTCTTTCAACAATTGGATAACGAATAGACCTCTTGGTGTTATGCCAGAAAACTCTACGGGAACTTGTCCCGTCACAAAATCATACAGTGGCAACAGAACGTTGAAAAACCGATTTTTATCAATATTTTTACTGCCTTCGGGATCGACTAATATCAAAGTGTGCATCAATTTCAATATAACATACTTGCCTCTTTCGACGACTTCTTGGAGTTTGACTTCACAATCGTCGGCGTTTTCTTTGTCAGTTTTTTGCAATGCATTGCACTCACCGATCGTTTCAAGTGTCAACAAAAGAAACCGATTCAAGTTCACTCCGTAACGGCAGCCCATCATCGAAGAGACCAACGCCAACCTATCCAGCACCAAGAATTTAGGATTGGAAATACCTATCCTGTCGAAAGGCATCCATTTCCCGTCATATTTGTACTCATTGAACCACGTGTCTTCCCAATGTCGACCTTGTTTAATGTGAGCAAATATGCGGCTTTGAAGTTTCGTCGGGTTTGCACATACTTCATACTGTGAGTGTAACAAAACAAACGAAATTAAAAACTGTGTGAATGTTATTTCTTCCATATTTCCAGCTCGGACGAACCACTTCACTTGATCGAAGACAACGACAGAAATCAGACTGATTCGTGCCACATAGTGCATAACCGTCAACCGTATTCTCCCAAATCCAAGAGCTTAACACTGTGTAATATACATATTTTGTCGAATCAAATAATAAATCGTCTACGTTACATATGTCAAATTCAAATTATAAAAAAACAATTGTGAAACTAAAAACCGCTATGCGTACTTCGACTTTTATGGTTTGTTTTTTCTCGGTAAATATAAAGCGTTCGGTAAAGTTAACCAAATCACAAAATACAAACACCGAACAAATATAGACAATCCTAGAAACAAGTACCGGAGAAGATTTTCACTAGGTTTAACCGTTTTTTAACTATTAATAATTATTATAACGTATTTGGGAGCTAATGGTTTTAATAAATATTTATGGAAAAAACAGTGAGATATTGAATGGCCCATGGTAAAAAAATTCACTAAAAATCACCTGTATATTAAAACCATTGGTTCCCAAAACATATGTTATTATTGATGTAGTGTTTAAATTGAAGAGGCCCAAAACGGTGTATTGATCGGATGTATACCTTATAATATAACATCGTATTAACTATTATAATTATAATTTTATATTCTTTGTCTATAACGTTGCGTAACACACGTTTTCCTTGGACAGATTACGTTCGGCTCAGTTTTTTAGCTAATAAAATGGATAAAACCACTTTTTAAGAAACATTTTAACTTTTTTTTTTTTTTTCTAAATTTCGTGAAATCGTCAAAGACTACTTTGACCGAACTTCGCCTAACGCTAACTCTGTACTGACTTGAAAATCATACATATCAACAATGTCTGTTGTGTGAAACATTTTGTGTAAGTGCGTAGGTGGTATTAGGTTACTCGGTGTAGCATAGGGTTTCACGGCCGGCCACTACTACCGCAGTGGTGTAATATTTTGTTGCATAACCGGGATCGTGTGTCATACCTGATGAGGGAACTACCGGGGGAGAGACTCGTGTTCAGTGTGCCAACAATGTTGACCGCGTGAACGACTTACATCGCGTTATTTACTTACATCTCTCATCTCTCATCTCGTATAGAATAAAAAAATATAATAGCCATGAACGTGAACTCTGCCGGTTTGACCGTGCCGTTTGCGATTATGTGCATTGTCGATTTGTTCGGTGTGTTCCCCATCGTGGTGTTGCCCGGCCCCATAATAAAATGCGGTGAGTCCAATAGAGTCAGTATGCACCTAATGTTATTACAAATTTAAATAAAAATATAATGTATACACGTTGCCGGTATAATAATAATAATTATTGCGGTGTCGCACCTTTCGGTCGGGTTTAAATAGGAAGAAAAAAACAAACGATAATCATAATAATTACTATGTGCCTCCCGCAGGATGGTCAGGAATACCGTTGGCCGTTTGCGTTTTTGTGGTTCAAGTGTACACGGCCGTGTTGTTGGGCAAGTGCTGGATCATCGCCGAGCAAATCGACCCCGACATCGTGAACAAAAACCGGTGATTATTAACCACCACCCGGTAGTTTCCTACCAGCTACACAACAATATTATAACAGTAGACACACTGAACTCTCAATAAAATATTATGGAACGCAAAATTAAGTTAAAACGTTAGGTTAGCTAATGATAACACCGTCATATCACAGACAAGTTAGGTGACGATTAAATAAATTTGATAAATCATAAAAAAAAAATAACAAATTTCACGGACAAAACAATAACTGTTCACAAAATGGCAGTGCTAGTGGACATTTTCATAAGCAGCAGACTATAGGCCATACTCTTTCCGTATATTGAGTGCAGTGGTAGACAATGGTAATTTTCAATAGGACAAGTAATCCATTATTATCCGTTAAAACATCATTAATTACAGATGGAAATACTGATTAAAAGTACCTAATCCCAGTATTTAAGCTTGTTAAAAATTTCGATTTACATTTTACACGTGCCGTTGGAACTGCCAGTGATGGAAATCCGAGAATCCGGATTTTTACAAAAAAAAAACCTATTTAAGCCACTTAAAAATCGTATAAAATATATTAAATGTTAATACAATATAAAGCTGTGTAACAAAGTAAAATGTTTTGACGAAAATTGTTTTAAAAAACGCTTACCTTTGACTATAAATTGCTTTTGGATTCAACAAATCCGAAATCCAAAAGCCACTTATCTTTTTGGTGTTGTGTTTTTACATTTTAATCAAAAACATTTTACTTAGGTACACAGCTTTTTATTGTAAAAATATTCAACACTTATTCGATTTTTAGGTGGCTTAAATAGCATATTTTTTTTTGTGAAAATCCGGATTCTTCCGGACATCCGGAACATCCTGGTCGACACAAAATCCAATTTTTCTTAAAAAAAATAATTCTTCAAACTAAATAATCGTTTTCAAACGAATGAGGAAATCATTCATAATATTGTAACATCCTGTGAATGTTTTTTTTTTTTTAATTTATCATACATATAGTAACGGTATATATATTAAAAATAGGTTCTAAAATGTCATTAAATTCATTTTTTTTTTTATATTTCATTGATCGTAATCCATTCCGTCTATCTCTGTCCGTGTGGATCTCATCATGTTCTTAACAGCTGTTATTGTTTCTTAAACGAATAGGTATCCGTACGCGGCCCTCGCCGAGCTCGTGTTCGGCCACCACGTCAAACGTCTGGTGTCGGTCATGTTGGACGTGACCGTGTTCGGTGCTTCCATACCGAACTTGATAATCGGTAAGTTTCCTTGATTGCATTTACTCGGACTCTGGCCGTATCTAAAACAGTGTTGTTTAAGCCGCGTACAACCTCCACGTGCTGGGAACGAAGGCGTCCGACGGCAATACCGACATATCCTTGTGCATATGGCTGGTCATCATCGGACTGGTGCTGTGCCCGCCGCTCTGGCTCGGCAGCCCGAAAGACATGAAGTAAGTCTTAAAATACAAAAATTTGCATCGACTAAAGTCTGACAAGTCAAGTACACCTTTGTGGTTCCACCGTTTCCGATTGTATTCCTTTGGTTTTACTCCAAATGTCTGCAGTCCGGGTCAGTTCGAGATCCCACAGGACTTCAATGCAAATATAACTTCTGGGTGTTACACCAGTTTTGTTTGTTAACCAAGCTCCTCGAGCTCCACCCAAGCGCTCCTCTCTATTTGTCCCCAACGATCGCAGCGCTCCCTCTAACTTTGCTATGAAAAATTACACAAAAATTGCATTAGCCAGGTTGACCACGTGAAATTTTCTTTTAAAAAAAAGTATTGTGGTGTATAGAATTGGTTTTGATATTTCGTAATTCAGTCACAATTATTGTGTTAAGAGAGAGGTGAGATTTCTAGTTTAAATACATTCCATTTTAATCTCGCTTGACTGGTTATTCATCTAATTCCTCTATCTTTTTGTCAAACAGACCCAAACTATATTCTTTCTTACTTTTCCTGTTACTGGCTTACCCAAAAACCAAATACAACATTCCTAATACAACTATAGTCACTTCACACGTCTACAAGTCATTTCTCTCCCAACACTAATGTACTTATCTACTCAAAATTTTGCATTTTCCCCACCCAAAGGTATATATATATTTTTTTTGTCAAAACGTTTTTATGTTAGGTGGCTTGCTTCGATTTCAGTATTCACTGTCAGTTCAGTGTGTGTGCTAACCTGGATAGCAATGTTGAACACGGAGAGTGAAATGTACGTTCCGGTACCCGACCCGACGTGGGACGCTGTGGCTTTGGCTTATGGAATATTAGCTTTCCAGGTCACTTGAGATCCCCCATTTAAAGGCCTGCGTCGAGTATACATTTTTTGTTTATAATTTCAGTTTGACGTACACCCTTTGGTGCTCACCGTGCAAATGGACATGGTCAATAAGCAAAAGCTACCGACCGTAGTCGTCAGTGCATTTTTCAGTAAGGCGTCATTGATAATAACGATTTGCCGATTGACGACAGTAACAAATGATTATTTTACTGTAATAAATTCGTTCTAAATTTACAGTCACGTGCACGCTGTTCGTGGTCACCACGGTTATTGGATATATGCAATTCGGAGGAAAATTGAGTTCGAATTTGCTCGATGAACTCCCCGAGAGTCGAGTGCTGAACGCGGACATAATGTTGGTTACTCTACAGATATGCATGTCCACGGTGGTCAGCACCACTGCTTTGTTTCAGAATATCGAACACTATTTCAACCTATCCAGAGGTTTTATTAAGTTTGATATTGTTTAGCATAGAATAATAATACGTTTAACCCCACAAAAAGCGTTACGAAAAATCCAAATACTAGTAAATAATAAAATATTAAGTTATTATTAAAACCTTAACCTCAAAACACATGCATACACTTTAGCGTTTACTGACTGAGACTGATTATGAGCAAACAACTACCGTTTATACGTCTATAATATAGCAACATCATACTGGTAGTGATGACTCATCGTCGACATTTGTTTTTAGGAATTTTAATCTTGGAACTTAAGACCCAGCTCAATAAATTGTTCTTGTTTTTCACTTCACTTCTATTGCCTCTCTAATGTTAAGTTATTTAGAGTTATTTACATTTATTATTTGGATTAGTATCCAATAAAATATGTTCTGCAACAAGAGAATTGTACACTTCTTGATTTTGTATGTTCCTTATATATGTTCTTTGAACTTAACCCTAATATTTCGTGTCTGGCCAACATAACATTTATCACATTCTTCCCGTTGTATTTTATAAATCCCCGGTTTTTCCTCTCTACCTCTATTTTAACTTTGGTGCTACCTAATAAAGATTTTAAATTATTACTTTTTGACGCAACCAGAGTTGTACTGTATATTTAAACGTTATCGTTAAACCCCTTAAGATACCTGGAAAATAAACACAATAAACGATCTTATATTTTTTTCTTCGTCCCTTCTCATCTACTAAATCGGCTGTCTTAACTTACCTCGACAATTTATGTTTATCTAACCCTAAAGTGTGTTATTTTTGTGGTTAAAGGGAACGGAGAGCGTCAAATCATGTACAAATAAAGACTAAAACAAGAAGTCATATTTTGAAGTGTCTACCGAACCGATTTCAAATATATTTTTGTTGTTATAAAATATGAGTGTAATTTTGTATAACATCTTTTCTATAGAGGCTACAAGTCCGATTTTTAAATTTCTATTTTCAAAATTTGTATTACAAGCCTTAATATTTTTATTTTTTATGGTATTTAATCTAATAAATCTAACAAATTGTTTGATAGCTAAATCAAAAATCAGACTTTTAGTCCTCATAGAGCAAATAGTAAATGAAAAAATAAAAATTGTATTCTGTCCACCAATAAGTACGCCGGAAAATGACTTCTACGAAAGTAATTTTTTATTAAACTTTCGCCATAACTCGGAGAAAAATAACTTAAAAAGTTTTATAACTGAAAAAACTTTTCACATTCAAATTAGTCGGCATACTTAAAATAGTTACTAGATAAATTTTTGTCAAATATTGCCTATCTTTTGTCCCTTAATAAATAGCGCTTTCCGTTCCCCTTGAGAGTTTTCCAAATATTGTACTCTTTACTATAACTTTATTTTAATATACTTACTATAACTTTACTATACTTATACTTTACTAATAAAAAGCCCCAACTAGAAGAAAATTCAAAATTTAGTACGAAACGTGACTGTAATTTGTAAATTTTAAATAACTCATATTATTTTGTTTTAAAAACTATAAATAATACTCTTTTTGGCCACCAATAAAATAAGCATAATATATACAGGTGTCCCACGACGAATCTGTTCTCTACCGGTTTACACGCGATTGCATTGGCTCAAGAACAGCATTATTTGTTTCGACAACAGAAAAACCCTATACTCAACGACGCAAAATACGATATTCTACCTAATTTTTATTTATTTTTTATTTGTTTTGTTTAATCTAGAGTTCAGTTGGAAGAGATGCGCGCTCAGGTCGTCCGTCATGATGGCGGCCGTGTTGATAGGAGAGGCCGTGCCCAGGTTCGACCTGGTAATGGGCTTGGTCGGCACTCTGCTGACGGGTCCGCTGATGTTCATACTGCCGCCAATACTGTACGCCAGGATACGGTCGCTTAGCCGGTCGAAGGCCACGTCATCTCCCCGCGCCGGAGTGTGCTGTTACCGTACGTTTCCCGGCCACGCCAAGTCGTCGTCGACCGCCACCGAAGTCCGGCACTTGATCTTGCCGACACTGTTGGTGCTGGCCGGCGTGCTCGCCACGGTTTTGGCAACGCTATCGGCCGTCCGCGAAGCAATCGTTTATGCTAGCTTCACGCCCTCGTGTCTGATGCAAATGTTGGGAAGTGATGAAAAAAAATTAAAATAACCGCGCGACGACGTAACACCGCCGCTCTCTCGACATTGATCTCGATCGTAAAGTGATCTCTCCATATTGATTACAATTATAATTTTTACAACCTACGGTCGTCGAGCACCTACCGCGTTTCACAGCTAGGAGTATATTATGACGCGATGACCCTAAAGGCGGTCAAACCCAGTTGTTGTACTACTTAGTTGAAAAAAAAAAACATACGTTAAGAACATAATTATTTGTCTTTTCCTAGAGCTGCCCTTCTGTTTGTTAACTCAAGTTGCGCACCAGAAGAACGCCAATGTACCAGACTGCCAAAATGGGTCATGTCCATGTTTTTTTTTTTGTAATTTTAGTTTATGTAAAGAGAATATTGATATACTGCAAAAAAAAATTCAAATCTAAGATAAACACCTAAAAGCGACGCACGGTCGTTACTATGTACTTGGGAAAGTCTTGTTTATTATTTTTTTAAACTTAAGTTATAGCGGTAATGTTTAATGTAATTTAATCGACAAAATCAAATAAATGTACAATAATGAATGAAATATGACAGTTTTTAGTAGAATATTAAATGTTTACTAACGATAACAACATACTTAATGTAAAAATTGTAATAATAAAATAAACTAAATTTTGCTTCAGATTTTGATTGCAATTTTCGCTATTAACTAACTTGAAATTATTAGTACAATAATACACTTTGCTTGCACATACTATTTCAAACGCAAATGCCATAATGCTATTTTACATTGTGATCATTTGTATTGTCCATGATATTATTTGAATGCAGGTTTTGTACATCATGGTCGTTGATTGCTTTATTGTGTTTACTGCGATTTGTGTACTTTATGACCGGTGTAGATTTTTCTCCAAACTAATAATTGCTACATTTGTGGGCACCGCGCAAGTATGTTATACTAATGTATACCCGCGTAGGTACATAAAGTAGATCCGGGAAAGCTACTGGATAACATGACACAGCACAAACAAATAATATATAGGTATGTAATGATATTGTGCCAAACCAGTGCACACAGTCTCATTCCACGACAAAACTAATGTTTAGGTATATTAAGCTGTCAAATGTTAACGTAGGCGGCCTAAATTAACTATAGTAAAAAGTAGTTCGAGTTTACTATATATTTTAATGATAATACCACATTATGTGGGTAAACATTACTGTTATTATTTTTGTTGCGCTTGTACTTCTAAACGGCAAGACGGTTTCGGATATCCGAAATTAAGATCTCCAAACGATTAAGGCAGCATAGTCTACTCGAATGTGGTTGCTAAAAGACAAACGACTTTGCGGCGGAGCAATATTAATGGAAGCCAACGCGGAATTCATCAATTGTATCTAGTAGAGAATAGAAGACAGATGTCAAAACGACTTGGCACCCGTTGACATTCGGAAAGCGATCATTAGTTCCAACTGTAACAACTCTCGCAATAGAGGTTTATCAAGAGAGTTTATTTAGAGGTTTTGTTTAAGCCGGACTCCCTCGGATATTATTTCAATAACATAAAGTGCAATTTGCTGCCGATATAAGTATAATCTGTTTGGAAATCAAGTTTATTTGAATAGTTTTGCGTTTGACAGGTTTCGGATTTAATAGTTTCATCTAACGCCTGATTTATATTCTTACAAAATAATTGCTCGGTTTAATATTATTTAACATGCGCATTTACGGTTTGGTAATTTTATTAATGTAAATCATTCAGCTTGGCGGATACATGCTAGACAACTATTTAATTACTTTACTTAACGACGGTTTATACTTTTAATACCTAATGATGTCCACTATGTTTTACAGACTTGACATTTTTAATGAACTCCAAGAGTATGTAAACGTACAGTAACGCTTCGCTGCAGTTCATAAAATCTACATCAAAGACAATAATATAATTAAAATTATTTTAAATAAATAGTACCCAACGATATCTTTTTCGTATTCGCCTTAAATAATTTATATTAGTCAACCCAAACGACACTGTTAACTCACATGTTGCCAACCGTTGTACTTGTATTGCCAAAAAACGAATAGGGCGATTATTATACTAATATGCAAATCGTAAAACCATTATAGACCATTTAAAATTAGTACCTCAATAATTGTTTAAAAATCTACTATTAAAAACTATTTGATATTATTGTGAAATAGAAATTTGAATTGTAATTTTATTATAACAAAACTAGAGTTTTCCTGAAATTTATACATCTTATGGGTAATCATTAATATTATATCATTAGTGCCGAATTACTTATGGAAAACCACAGCCTTGATTTTTTGTGCTTTTTCGGTAGTGTCAACGTCTGTTTGAAATGTGTTTTTTTTTTTCGCAGCAACTAAACAGGTAATGTCGTTCAACTCTTCAAAGTTCCATGTAGTTCTCTAAGCATGATCTGCATGAATAAATGCACTCTCAACGAGATTTTAATAAATAGTCAAAACGAACGTTAACCCGGCACGAAAATACCATAATTATTCCATCGGTTTTATTGTCAATGAAACAAAGGTTGAGTCATTTGGCTCAGGCTATTGGGTGAATGTCAAGACCTTTGATCCCAACACATGCACGCCAGTACCATTGCCCGGAACAGATGGCGTTCCAACCACACCCGGTGTTATTATTTTTAATTTCTCTCCATAGGCTCGTCTCGTTTTAGTGTAGTAATAATAATAAGATGACGACGGCGGTGATAACCTATGCGGTCATCGTTTGGTAACATCCGTCGTTCTTGTCGTCCCTAGCAGTTGCCTAAATGCAGCCAAGCCATCAAATTTCATTCCTGTTTTCATTTCAATTTGTAGGTACTTAAGAAATCTCGTCATAGTATCAAACAAATATTGATCAATTATTTGGCCAACCGATTAATCTAATAAAGAGTTTGAGTTAACGATACTTGCATCAATGTTCATACTTATTGCCCAGCTTTGGCCTGCAACTTGCAACCTTACTGTGATGGCTATTTGGTATTTTAACGGGTTCAAAATATACTTAATTTTAAAATTATATTATGAACAGTATAAATTTGACTTATTAGCCTTCCCATATCCGAGTATCTTCTCTGGTTTCAAACGTTTCGGCGCCGCCACCACTTGATGTACATAACATAGTAGTTCTGTATTATACAGAGCGATCAATTGTTTGTAAATAATAACAATTTTTTTAATTTATCTTTTTGGAGTTCATGTTATTTAAAAATATTAGACAATTTTCGTTTTGTTTAGGACAGGAAAAAGAGTGGAATGAAGTATTACTGTCCTAACTTGTTAAACTTTTAAAATAACTAATCAAAATTGGTTATTGACCAGTCAAAAATTTCAGCGAATTAATCTCATTTTAAAAAGTTAAATTAATTTATAATATTTCCATTTCAATTGCACTGTTCATTTCAAAAACTGCATAAGTCATTGTTTTTACAAAAATGACTTTTTGTCAAATTTTATACTTACAACAAAACGTAAAATTATAAAACTAAATATTTTGGTTAACACCCTCCAAATCCTTCAGACTAACCACTGATTGTCTGCTGCTTACAATTGTTAATAATTCAATTAAAAAATGTTCTTTGTGTATAAAAATTTAATTTTGTTCATAACCGATTCAGAAAGCATGCAGTGTCTCAAGTTAAATTGATCACCCCGTATAGTACGCGCAACGTGTGCGGTGCACGAGGGACGACGGGCACGCACAGCAATGTGTGCGTCTGGCGGCCGTCGTCGCGGATGGGCATTATTTTCACTGTGCTGCGTGGGTGGGGGGAAAGCGAACAACAACGTGTGCCGCATACAGGGCCCCCGGTTGCATAGCCGCCGCCGTATTGTTACAGTCCGTGTTACGCGTCCGCCTCCGGTCGTGTGCCGCGCATGATAACCATTGAGACGATCCTGTGCCCAGACGCGCATCACGGCAGACAAACCGACCCACAGTAGCGGCCATGCGCTGCCGTCGCCGCTCCTGTTCCCGCTCTTGCTCCTGCTCGCGTGTCCCTCTGGACATGCCGTGCCGGACATCACCATGTCCATACGCGGAGCCGGATGGCCGGCGACCACCGGTGGTGACCGCGGCCAGACGTCGTACACGGAAAACCAGGTGCGTTGACGCTAAACTAGAATTGGTGAGCAATACCGAAGCGTTGGGATGGGGATGGGGGGGGGAGGGTCAGACAAGAGCATCCAAACCAGGGATACATGCATACACTTATAACGGCCATCTTTTCGTTTATCAAACGGTTTAATCACTTTGATGTTTTTTCTATACATTGGTTGTGTATAGATATAACATTTCAAGATAAATGAGAAGATGCCGGTATCTATCCGAAGATATTTGTTTACATTAAAGCCCCCTTAAAGTGTCCTCTCAGATATAATCTTCTCTGTGTCCAAACAGTGCCGGAGCCTTAACATTCCCATTGCAATGACGTTTGTAGGTTATCATAGATTCAACCGAAAGTTTAAATAGTCGTTGGTTTTTGCACGCGGTAGCACAAATTGATCCAATGATAATTAAGCCGATTACACTGATTTATACAAACTTAATTTGCTGTTAACGTTTCATGAGTCTTGAATCTTCAGGGCTGTGTTATTGGTACGACCTAACGACAATCTTGCCAATCATGACTGATTTTTAATGGTCGACGAATTTCAGCCAAGGTGGTTGCCACTTATGAGGTCATGCTCATAGATAATAAAATACTGGGTAGGCCATACTAATAACATACAGGATCGCGGTCTGGAATGGGGAAGAGAGAAAGACAGTTCTTTTTCCATATGGATATCTATAATATGTTCTTTTTCTGGCACGGGGTATGATCTTATGGTATTGTGACTCCTTGTAACCTCAAAATGTTTGATTTTCATTCATGTAAAATAACCTACTTCAACTTATCCAAATTTTATCTATGGTCATGATCCTCTGTGCATGTTATTGATTGACATGCATACCATTGACTGTGTAGAATATATCTCGATGAGCAAGCCAAAACATCAGTCGGCAATCAAATAGACAATCCAGAGTATTATGATTCTTTGATTAATCGGGAATGGTGTGCTTTAAATTAGCATAAACGTAACTCACCTTGACACGGACAAACTGGTTTAACAATTTGTTGACACTGTTGGTCGTAGATGACATACACTGGAAATTAAGTTGTTGATTTGTTTGTTATCATCATATTGTCAACGATTTGATGCTTTCGGTCCATTAATTTGCCAATCGTCAGCAAGCTGACAAGCATTACCTAAAAAAATCATTAATTAATCTTTCAGTCTGTCAAGTGTCAACAAATCTATAGTCTCGTGTATGGAAAGCTTAAACTAGGTTACACGTTTCACTTTCAACTGCGATAATAGCTTAAAGTGAATGACAAACAATGAACCAGACTAAACTTAGTTCATCATTTACTTCTCAATTAAAATGATTGGTTCGAAGTGATTATCGAAAGTGACTCTTGCAATATAGACTTCATAGTCTTCGAGTTGTTTCCAAAGATGTATGAGTCATACAAATCTGTATACGTTTGTACGAACAAGTATGACGTTTTTAGATGGTTCTGGTGACATATTATATGTATACTTGCTGTATACAGTTTAAATATGGATAAATGCAAATAAAGGATAGTTTGTATATTATCTTTTATATCCAGAGCACCCGAACACTAGCTGTTAGTATAATATATAGCACGTTTCTTAGATTATTTTCATAAATCTGTATAGACATTATATGCACACACTTTGTCAAGACCAATTGGAAACGTGATCCATAAGTATATACTTTGACTAGTGTTCAACCATAAGGGACAATATCAAACATTTCTCTTGTCCCTACATAAAACAATGTTTGAGCAGCAGCCATGTGTTTACTAACCCGACGGATGAGTGTATGGATTTCAATAATCGCCCAAAATGCTTTTGACTTGCTCGATTTATCACAGGTTGAGTTTGGTTATTTTACTATCTAGCTATTTTTTGTTTACAACAAGAAAAAGTAGCACGATATGAAATCCAAACCTTAAATGACAGGCAGTGCTTCTAACATTTAAATCCAATACACAATTGATTCCAATATTAACTTTGTTGTTAGTTCAATCAATGTGCTACAATGACAACTGTATATAATGTTTGTTTCAGATTCACACTCTGCTGAGCAATATCGAATTTAGGATTAGGGATCTATCGAATGCGGCAAGACGTGATCAACAAACTGAAAGAATAAACTCCAGAATTGACATGATTTACAACAAACTCGGACACTTAGAAGTGTCTAATGGTTTATGGTTTGATAAATTTCAACAGGTAAACAAGTACAAGAATTATCTATTTTATATTTAATTTGATTAACACTATTATCTTTAATTATTTAGAATGTGTTAAGTAATATTTCAATAATACTAAACAACTGTATGGATAAACAAGACCTACATTTAACTGATATTGATTATGGTTTAAGACAATAATATTCATCTTTTCTTTATTATAAATCATAATAAAATATGCATTAATATTATAAAACCATATATAGAAATTTGAAATTTTCGACGAAGATGCGAATTGTGCTAATATTACAACAGCTATTTAGTCAAGAGAATTGGAATATTAATTTTATACTAAATAAAGTTTAATGTATTATTGTAAATGTTTGACAAAGTATTACAACGATTAACGATATTGGGTTTTAATACAATTTATTAATGAAAATTATTATCACTCGATTTACAAAGAAACAATGTTTAAACGTATACAAAATATAATTATTTAATATATTTTAATTTGACCTAACCTAACTTAACAACACAAACATAAGCAATATTTTCATTACAATTTTTTTTATTATTACTTAATAACATTTTAAGGAGGCTTTTTAAAAGTATATATATATATATATATATATACATTTTATTTTATGGTAGGTTTTTTAATAACAATTTGGTCATTAAAAAAAAAAATACATTTTTTATCATCTTATATCTTTTTAATATTTTTGGGAAATCCTCATTTCTCTAACAATAAAAGTAACTTTTTTTAAAAAAAAGATTGAGATCTACCATATTGAGAATGTTGATAGTATAAACCGTCTAAAATGTTTAAATGCGCTCGTTTTATAGTAAATATAAAAATATGTATTATGTATGTGTACTTAAATGACTTGGTTTTAGTCGGTCTCAGAGGAATGCGGCTCGAACCTCGTGACCAGACGTATAGACAAGACTCAGCAACAACTGGAGATTACCTTGGAACACATGGAGACCACACTCCAAACAGTACAGAATCATCAGGTAAACCATATTAATTAATTTGAATAATAGCTATAATCATTCATGTTTTTTTTATCGCCAACAATATTACAATATTGCTCATCAATCCGCGCAACAGTAGTTAATTAAGTGCGATTAATAATAACCTTCGGCCAATATAGGTACAAAGTATTATGTAAATATAAAAACAACACGATTAGTCATCTACAAAGTGCTTATTTTAGAGTATTTTCTTGGGAATTATAATGAATGGAAAACCCATTAATTTTAATCGTACGGAAGGAACAAAACAATTCATCGTATAAACAAAAACTGCAAAGTTGGAAAAATGTATAATATGATATGATTGTCAAGTAATTAACTTTCAAAAAAAAAAATGTTTACTATTTTCATAACATATTGTTATCATATCAATGGCAAACATGTTATCAACGAATAGTTCAATATTTTGTGCATAGTTCATTGCAAGAGGTCCGTATAAGTAAATCACTCTTACATAGTGTAGGAAACGTTTAAGTATTTGCAAGCAGGCGTTCAGTTTTAGTTTGGTAAAGCGGATGTGATGAGCCCAAGTATTTTTTTGGTCGAAATGAACCCCTAGATATCTGATAGTTAAAAAAATTAATTAAAAATTGTAACAATTTACTTCTAATGTTGTAAAATATCACTCATTCGTTATTTATTATAATACATTGGACTCGTTTGAATAATATATGAAACACAAAAACAAAATAATCGTCTCAGGTCAAGCACGAAATCAACATTGACCTGATATTATTATCATCATATCGATGTCATTAATATCTATACAATTTTAAGCTTGAATGGTAATAAATTGAGACAACTGTTGATAAGATTTTCCTATTTGAAGTATTGGTCAAAATTAATTTTTTTTAACATCAGTCATTATGATGAATATGAGACTGAATAATTGAATAAGATGAAAAAAATTTTCTAGACTTGACAGTTAAATAGAATATCTTGTATAATTGTTAATTAAGTCTTATCTTTGTCTTTGTATTATCCAAGATAGTCTTAGATGAAAATTTCAGAGGATATATTATTAAAAAAGACTGTGAAAGATGTTGAGAGTTTTGATCTTATTTATTTTAAAAATACCTAATGCTAATCTCTCAATTTGAAGTAATTGTATTGGCTGTCGTGCGTCGCATAATATTTAATTTGGCTATTAACGTTTTGAATATCACACAAGTCTTAATAATAACCTTGGTAGCAATAAAAATAATTTACCCTACTTGTTATATAAACCGTTTCAGTCACGGTGGTACTCTTTGGTGTTCTCAAAGTATTTCGATAAAATAATATCTATAGTTTTCAATCAATTAAGACTCCTGCTTAAACTACAGTTTTTAGCTTTTAAAATCCTACCATACATTAGTTCTTTAATAATTTAATGAATTCTATAACCGAGATCCCAAGGATTTTTATGTTAAGTCTGAGTTTTGTTTAACAGATAAGCGTTTACATGTGGACACTTATTTTTATAGCCAGAAGTATTGGCACCACCAGTGTGTTCACTGAAGGGTAAACGACTGGTCATATGGTGGACAATTATTAGTATTTTGGCGTAGCAAAACAAAAAAAGAATAATTATAATAAGGATTTTTAGAAAAACTCTTTCGCTAGAAACGATTGCGATTGTGTGTAACATAATTTAATTTGTCGACGGTATTCCGTTAGCAGGCAAATGGCCAAAGATGAAACGATTTAACGAAACGTCGTCTCGGTTTTCTGTTATAGAAAGACCTAGAAAAGGAAATTAGAAAAATGGCCGACAGACAGACCGAACTCGGCGCAGAAATCCAATCCATGAGAAAAGAGATGGGCTCCGGGTTCGACAGACTCAACTCTAGTCAAAACGCTTTCAACAAACAGTTGCAGGTATATAATATTACATACAAAAAACAGTTAACCTGGAACATAATATCTAGATGGAACAATATGGTGAAAAAGTCCATCGCATGCCTTTCGACTGCCTTTGCAAAAAGCATTAAAGCGTTTGGTATTGATTCCACTCGATTTCTTCTATTTTTACAGCATACAATCTAATTTTATCTAATTAGGCTGTGTTGGTTTTTCTCCCATTTTCAGTGTTCTGAAACTGAATTAATTAAATCATGCAAAGATATGCGTTTTGTTATATTATCATTGTGTAATGTGTTCAATATTAATAATTCCAATAAGATTAATACTATAAAAATACCTTTTAAAGGATACTAATTTGTAATTTTTATAATATAGGATTATTATTTTAACTTAGGAGATGAGATCAGAGAAATAGTAGCTATTAGATACGTTTTAAGTGTAGATAAAAATTATTCAAAGTAAGACTAACAACCGTTAGACATCAAATCGTTAGATACAATATTTTTACAGTAAATACCCAAAATTAATAAAACTAAAATTGTGGTTAGTAACATTTGTTGTTGTGCTCATGATTGTAATATGGGATTCATGGACTTAAGGACTATTTACTATATTTTCACAATGTTTACAGGTGTTCCGTTATAATAGTCTTGCACTGACATTTTGCGGTCAAATTATACAGTCAGCTTTCAGACTAATTCAGAGATTAATTGTAGGTACTGTTGTGAAACTGCGCTGTTAAGTTTAGCAGACAACCCGTGAATTCTGAAGACAGAGTTTGCTCTTAGTTTATAAAATACGGTCCAATGCTGAACACCCTCATATAAATATTGTAAATTCGTAAAACATTAAATCGTTTAAGTAGGCATATATAAACATATTGACTGGTTTGTGATTATCTTACCTATGATGAATTGAATTGATGGCACTCAGAGAGCATGTATGATGAACGATGATTTATCCATTGAAGAGTTGCATAAAGTTTAAAAAGAGTTATTTTTTAGTATCTTTGTTATCTTTGGCCATTCCTACCTTGACGACACGATTCGTAGAGTTAATGGCAAAAGTCCCAACGAAAATAATACCTATTATATTGTGTGTATGTATGTACATAGTATGTAAACAACTTTTTGCAATGCAATACTGATTTGTTAATAACAACGATGGGAATAATGATACTAAAATGTATTATTTAACTAAAGGATACCGTGGCCAATCTTACACAGCAGCCGAAAAACACAGATAAATCTTTGAGCACATGCCAGTGCAATCAAAATGACGATCCCATTCAAGGCACCGAAACTACGTCCAGCAGTAAACTCATATCGACGGTAATATTACTACAAACGCTTTATGGATTCTGTTAGACACTTAGAAGTATTTTTTTTTTACAACTCTGTGTAATCATAATAATTTACGCATAATTTTACAGCCTAGAGTAATAATAAGTGTTCTTGAAAAGTTGCACAAAGCACATTGCACAGTTATATTAAAACATTTTTAAAAAACTAATATTTTTTTTTAAATAGATGAACAATATGTATAACGGGCTCAAAGACCGATCGGACGATATACACATGTTACTTAAAGAGTTGACTGAAAGCACCGACAAGTACAGAAGAAAATTGGATTCTGATCGTCAGGACGTGATTAATGAACTCTTAGACAGTAAAAAAAAAAAATTGATTTTTCGATTTATATTAATTAAATTTAGATTATTTTGCTGTTGTCAAAGAAAGCAATATTATAATGTAAAACTTTAAAAGTTCCATATAACTTAAAACCACTTAAGATCTCTAAAAATTGTGTAACACAAACTCAACAAAGTGCCTTTCTAGGTTTTCTGGAAACTGTCATTAGCGAAATGGTGGCGATACAAAAAAAGGCCGACAACGAGTTAGAAGGAAAACTCAAAGAACAGTTGAAACTTTTGGTGGAGGGACAAAACTTATTCATAAACAGCTGCCGTAGAATACAACTGAACGAACATCAAATCGAAGAAGACATGATTCGCATTCTTGAACAGATTTTTGCCCACATCGATAACAAGTAAATTTTTGATAAAATCGGCCTAATCATAATAGTTATCTACCTAATCCATTCAGTCTCTGAACATTCATTTATCAACCTTACACAGATTCATGTCTTTATTTATAACACCCACTAACTTCTTACACATCCTCCTTCTTCCCTTCTCGCATATATACTCATTTACTTAATACATTATTTCTTAGGTAAATAAAGTTTTTCGAATTCAATTTATTTATATACATTTAATCTATTTTTTTTTAATTTAAAATAGTTTGTTCCATAAAAATTAACTATTCAATAAAAATAGCTAGTTAATATTTAAGTATATTATATCTGACTAAATTTTATTTTATTTTGAGTTGCATTGTTGATTAAAAATTGTTTTTATTAACTTAAATGTTTATACCATTGAAAAATCTCTCTGAAAAGACAGTTAAAATTCACGTATTTTCAAAAACCTGAGAAACTATTTTCTATCCGAATTTTGGATAAAACTGTACTCGTAGAAAGCGTTAGAAAAACGTTATTAATAAAGACTGTAATAAAAAAAAAAGCCTATACGAAATCATCATTTATTTATTATTATTTTTAAATACATTTTTGCACACTTTTCAGAAGTTCTTTCGACAACACGACTCTCGAGGAGATATTCAAAACGTTAAGAAGTCAAAACAAATGGGAAGAAAAACGATTCGAAGAACTGTCTGAACTCAGCAAAACCCAGTCCGACCAATTAGTTAGGACGGTGGCGTATTCGACCAATCAAATCATGAAACTTCACCATGACATGTTGAACATGACCAATTTACTAGCGACAGCCAATAACGGGTCCACTTCTGCTCTGCTCCAAGTGGTCAGTGTTTGACTCTAATCAATTTAATATTTTTAAAAAAAAGGAACGGTTGCCAATTTCTTTTTTGACTTCTGGCAGAGTTAAAATATAACTATGCTATCTCCTCTTTTGACTTGAGCGCTTAAAACGTATGCTTTTTACCTAGTCAGCTGACTCTATATTTAACCATTACTGATCAGTAAAATCGACATAATCAATGATCAACTTGAAATTTCAGGGAATGACCAAAAATAACGCCACTCGAGCAACAGAATCGAAAGACGATCATGAAAAAACAACAACAAACAAAAAAATAGCGTCGCAGCCAATCAAAACGGACACAACTGTCCAAGACAACACTAATTCCAGCACTGCAAAATTCAACGATACCATCGTTTACGATTAGCTTTTAATGATAATTTGATTTTTTACATAATAATTAATATTAAAGTATTATTAACCGCTTCGAAAATATATTGTAATTATATTTTGTATACACACATTGTGAGACATTTTTAAGTGTTTCACAATTTAAACTATGCAATCATAAATACTTACTATTAGGCATGCATTTAGAATTCTTACTAAAATTTCTAAAGTATTCTTGACAACACAATATTTTTTTTAAGCTAATATATAATATAATATAGAGTTATTATATTATGAAGGTTAGGTATAAATAAAAGTAACGCCTACCGGCTGTCACTAAGAAAATAAGAAAATATAATATTTACAATATTTTAAAGAATTATTAAACATTTACATAATAAAAAATTTAAGTAGGTACCTACTTTTGAAGTAGGGAGAATATTTTTTCTTCTTCTGATTTGGTAACCAAATAATATGCTTTTACATTCACCAAATATTTTAAATGGCTTAGATAAAGTTTGGAAAATAATATCAAAAAAATCCATATCCATGTGAATAAGTAGATAAAGTGTGAAAGACCTTTTTGTTTTGTACGAAAATAATGTAGAAATATTAAATTTCCCTAGAACGTGCATTGCTCAGGGGATCTTTCGGACGGTGCTGTTTTGAAAATGTCGTTTCATCAAAATATACAACATAAATGATAATAATAAACTATAAAGTTTTTTAAGAAGTTTTCGTTGTAAAACATACTTTTTTAAAAATATATATACTTAAATTTTACTGGCTACAGTGCGATAGCCAAAAGGGACGCCATCTTTTTTTATGTTATCCAAAGAGCCAATTTTTAAAAATTAAATTAACAAAAAAAAAATACAGAAGTATTTTCTTTGAGGAAACTATTATGTATAGTAAAATAAAAAAAAGATACTCATAGTAAAATATTATTATAAAGACACATTTGTCCTTTGTTCGCTTGTGTTCAGTTCAATGATTTTGGTGACTTGTATGATGAACCTTCCCTACAAGATAATACACACACAATCACAAAATGATTTATGTACAAATTGAAACAGGTTAATCCGTTACATTTACACGCGGTTGCACATAGTTCATACCTTGATAATATTGGTTCAAGCAAAAAGAGTTGTTTGTATGATTTATTGTTATAAATCGCTGCAATGTTTACAGGGGTTGTCTTGCGACGATAATCTGGTTAAATACAAAATAAGAATGCACAAAATTACCAAGAAATATATTATACTTTTGTATAGTTAATAGTTTGATAAGTTTAACAATAAAAAGAACTGTCACCGACCAGTAAAATGTTTGTACAAAACTGTCTTCTTAATGCGAGAATACAGTTGTAACAACTTACCAGTTACCAAACATACACAAGTGGTTACTAATTGTTTACTATGACCTGTATCCGGAGAACTTTTGTACATATTTTAAGATATTATGCATTAAAAAATTTACTTCCTTTGCACTTTTTAATTTTTTATTGATAAATAATGTATTGATGTATTTTATTTGAAGACAAAGGGTAACCAATTACTATTGAAATATGCCCATTCATTTAAATCACGAGTATTGCATTGTTTTGGAATTTATTTTTCGCCAATATTTATTACCAAACTAATTTTTACCAGCTGGAAATCGAGAAAAACACACTACAAAAAAATATTGCTTGGTCGTCAACGTAAAAAGCGTACTGTAACTTTTCACAAAATAAGAGATTCAGAAACTTTCTATTTGAATATTGGTATCTAGTTTGGACATGAACAAAACCTGAAAATTTGGACAGAAGGTAGATTTTAAGCGTATTAAATTTGAAAAAATGTTTATAGTCGTTAGTTGCCTCAATATTTTATTTATACGATATTTACTAATTAATATTTTACAGTTACACTCAAAAGGGTTCTTTGATAACGATTTTATTACTTTTATTGACGTTTTCGGCAGTTTAGCTTAAAAATAATGAATAATTTTGAAATTATTGGATAAACTGGTAAAAACTGTCATTAGTCATATTAACGACCATGTAGGTTAGGTTAGGTTCAAAGTTTTTTTTAATTACCAAAGTACAAAATTATTAATATCAAATTACAGTGCTAAATTGTAAAAAAAACAACATTGGTGACCTGTAATGATCAAAAAGGCTACAGAGGCAAAAAATATTAAGACTTAGTTGCACAGTCCACAGTAAGATAAAAAATAATTAATGGATTAAGCTAGAAATATCTGAAAATGCAATCTGACAAGGCTGATAAGCATTGCCTTACCTCTAAAATATGATTTTATTTAACATAACTTATAAGACAAACCGGTATAGATTCTTGATGTAGAAATGTAAATCAGTTGACTTGGGCAATTTTTTATAATACTCCGTGTTTAATGTGACATTAAACATTTTTATCACACTATTATTTGTTAAGTTTGAAAATCAATATCTCTCTAACCCTAACCTGTTAGTTAAGTACCATTAAATTTTATAGATGACTTTGGTTTTAGGTACCTAACAGATATTATACTCTTAGGTCATAAGTGTTTTTTTTAGGTTACATATCGTTAAGAAAAATAAATGTCATTTGTTTAATTTTACTGATCTAATTTTTTTTTTTTTATAATTTCAAAATTTGAACGCAAATAAATTTTTAAAATTAGTTTAATATAAAAAATAATTGGTAACAGACGATGACACTAGTTAACGTAACATTAAATCAAAATCAGTTATCAGAATCTTTATCATATTACAAAAACAAAAAGGATGTCGGAATGAAAATTACATTTTACACACTTCTATGACAACAGTGCAAGCAAAGCCAAATAAAGAAAAATAGTCACGCTAGAATTATATTCTGATTCATAATTATACACTTCCAATCTTCTTAAGCACAACAGCCAGTCCATAAGTTTGTAGTACATTAAATTGAAAAATAAATAATTAACAAAATGGTAAATATTAAAAAATAAACAGTCCATTTATTTCAAATCTAAAGATAAAGGTATTCTTAAGACTTACATTTCTAAAAAAAAAATTTTAAAGTAAAATAGAAGATACATAAAAAAAAAGATATTTTAAAATTAAAAAAAAAACGAGGTTCGCCCCTAATTTAAAATCAAAACCCAAGTTATAAAAATTATTTAAGATGAATAATTTGTACAAATACAAATATTTCAAATGCATTTTGGCACTATTACCTTGTAAGTACATATTATTACAAATTGTAAGAATACTAAAAAAAAAAAATAATAATACAAGTACAGAATAGATATAAGAAATTGGACGCGGAAATAAATTTCATCAACAGACATGAGGATGGCAAGTCTTTTTGATTTACAGATTTATAATTATTGGTATATGTATATTATATATATATATATATAATTTATGTATATAAGAATCGTTGAGCAATATCGAAATTTCATCTCAATAGAAAATGGTATTCGGTTGTTATATATTGAGATCCGAGGTGGGGGTTCAAAATATGACGAGAGGAGATCTAATATTGATTGCGCGATAAACAAATATTTACCTATATTATTGTTATTCTTTTTTTGGTAACTGTTTTAACATTATACACTACATATTAAATGGTTAACCGTACCAGCACTTATATCGGTAATGTTTAATTAGGAATGTTTTTTTTTTTTGCTTCTTTTTTATTTAGTGACTTGCAAATACTGTTTATTATAACTTATTCGTTGTCTTGGACTTGATTCATGCGAAAAGCATTTGTATGTAACAAAACTCACTTCTGAAAAAAAAAAAAAATTAAAATGTTTATTAAATAAAGGTTAAGCATATATTGTTTTGTTGGTCGACTATTAAATTTCTTATGAGTATTAACAACGTGTGACTGCAAATAGACCATAGACTATGCTACCGATTTTTGTATTCTATTACAAAATTAATATTGAAAGATACAAAAACTGTTCTCTAATATTACTGTTTGTGAAGCCTAAGAATTTAAAGTAATCTCAAACAATTTTTTTTCTTTCAAAATAAAGTGATTTTAATTTATTTGTTAAGTACGCTTAAAAGGGTATTCAGTTTTTCCTCTGAACCAAATTTTACAATTATTATGTCATAGTAAATCTAACCCAATTTATACTCTATTTATAATAACATAATATGTATTACTTACAATAATAGTCATCAAACACAGTCAATTTTGAGGTTATTCGTTGAAATACGGATGTTTCAGAGCGTCCCTAGCCGAAATTCGTTTAGAACTATCAAACTTTAACATTTCCTGGAAAAAATGTTTTGCATTTAATAAGCTAATAGCTAAATTACAAAAAAATTAGTTCTAGTATTTAGAGTGAATTCAAATCTTACCATTAGTAAATCAGCTCCCCGAGAACATATTTCAGGGATGGCAGTCTTTAAACAAGTTTGTGGATATGATTCGAAGGAACTCCTCATTAAAGATACATTTTTAGGCCAATTCAAAGCGGAAGGCAATCCGATCAACCTTTAAAAAATAAACAATATGAAACAACATTTTTTTTTTCAAATTCTTTTAACATTAGAATTTACCTGAATATTCGATCCAGTTGTTCCGCCTCAGATTCGCCGTTGAATAGGGGAGACAGTTTGTACATCTCTCCCATGATACATCCGCAAGCCCATACGTCTACCGCTGTAGCGTACGGCAACCCTAGTAACACTTCGGGTGCACGATACCACAATGTAACCACCTAAAACAATTTCAATGACCTCATTAAGTAAAACGGTATGAAAATATTTAAATAAAATTGTAAAATTGTTTTAGATATTTCTTACCACTGAAGTAAGCTTCATATCAAAATCGTAGATCTTGGCTAAACCGAAATCTGCTATTTTGAGTCTGAGATCGCTCGATATAAGCACATTCTGTGGTTTTAAATCTCGATGAACAACTCGGTTACAATGGAGGAAATCTACACCAGACAGTATTTGTCGCATAATGCTCTGGAACAGAAGTATTATTTTGCACATAGTATTACACGCAATGGGATGAAATGTACAAGTTTTAAAACGTTTGAATGTGTTAACAGTAATGCAACATAAACATTGACAAAACATTCAAAATACTCTATCGGTTTATCAAGGTACCTTAACAATTTCCGAAGACATTCCTGGCTTAGGACATCTCGCCATGTAAGTAGCTAAATCCTGTTCGATATGTTCAAACACAAGATACAGAGTCATGTATTTCTCATTACATAATCGTGGACCGTGGACGACATCCAATAACCTATAGAGAGATAATATAATATGTATTGTTTTGAATAGGTATGACATGAGGAGTGTTTGATAGTTACTTGACGATGTTTGGGTGGTCTTGTTGGTCGAGCTGCTTGAGCAAAGCGATTTCTCGAAGCGTCGACATGGGCACCCCGTCTTGAGCCAACGGAATTTTGATCTTCTTCATGGCGACAAACTTGCCTTTGTTTACAAGATCTCTGCCCTTGTACACAGTTCCGTAGGCTCCTGTTCGGGGTAAAACAACGTAAAATGATCAATGTGTCGATCGATCGATCCAGCCGATAGTATTACCGTTGCCGATCTGGTTGAGCTCTTCGTAGTTCTCTTTTTCTTGCAGCAAGGACATCATGCCCGGGAAACCCTTGGTCTGCATTCGGGACAGCGGAGACACCATCGTAGACAGCAGCAGAGTACGATACGGTAGAGACGAGCGACGGTAGTTCTGTGGGCCCTACGAGACAACACGACATAAGATTAAGTACAACAAACGCGTCCTTGACACGTATAGGACACGGACGAGGCGCGTTATCCTTTCGACGCGACCACCTGTCGATCGGCACGACCGACAACCACCGGCCGGTCGTCCGCACGTTTTTCAAACGATATCCTAGTACGTTATTATCCCACACAACAGGGTGGCATGCATGTTATTCATTAGAACATTCTATCAGTAGAAAAAAATAATAAAAACGGTCGGTACTCACCGGGGTCCTGGCGTTGCTGGACAATATGCGAGTGTATGGCCGTCGCACGACTCACTTCCGGCGGATTCCTGTGCACACTGAGGGTCGACGGGACGGTCGTAGGGGAAGACTGCGAAGCCCGTTGGCCGTGAAAACACCTGGCGTTTGGGTGCTGAACAAAGGAAATGCCGCAAAAAAACCGTTTTGTTTATTATTTTAAAGGTTACCTATTCCATTTCCAGGGGTTCGCAAACGCACAACCAGTTTAGCCGCGGGCCAGTTTCGTTTACCACCCGGTCGGCGGTCACAGGAAAAATGAGAAGGGAAAAAAAACAGTCCCGACCAGCCGCCGAAAAGCCTAGAAATTAAACGTAAGTCCGGTACGCGACAACGGTTGCAGTCCAAAAAAGAAAATAGTGTATATTTTTCTAAAAAAAAAAACACACCTTTTCGATACTTTATTAAATTATATTATTATACATTGTCGAATTATAGTACAAAACCGGTTTCCTCGATTGTTGTTACCATGGTTACCGGTATTGCGGTCCGTGCGTTAAATAAAAACATTGAACAGCTGACTGATATTTACATTTTACATATTCTGAAAAAATGCACCGGTAGTCTTATATTTTTTTTCATTTTCAATAATAAAACAAGGCAAAGCCGAAGGACTAAGACCTACCCTTACACGTGCGATATGGAGATGTAAATAAAATCGCTAGTAATAACATTAGTTACCGATTTTCCATTCAGAATATTGCTTAGGTAGTGATTTTCAATGATGGAACATGATTGAATAAATGAAAATAGGTATAAGATAATTAATGTATGCGAAACCGAGTCGTTAAAGTTCCTGCAGAAATTACAGTCGTACTACCAGCTTTGTTATGGTTTAGACATCAGTCGTTTTTTATCTAACTCAATATGACTAGAGTTATGTTAAAATTTCATCACCGATCGGTTAATTTTTATATAAAAATACAAATTCGTTTCAAAGCTGACAAATACGTACTGGGTAGTTATCAAAACAATATGACAGGCGCTAATCCAGATGGACTTAAATCAGCACTAGACCAAATATTTTTATATTGAAAGCTTAGTAATTTAAAAACAAATTTAGGCGGCATGTATCAGAAGACAACCAGTCCACATGCAACTTGATCCGAGTACATTTTTGTCCAAGTCGAATCGTCACTGTAAATCTAAATGCCATCAAATAATTTTCGTTCCTTTTTACAGAAACTTAATTTTATTTTGCTTATTTTCCATGCTAAAATGTATAATGGCTATTGTCCTATTTAGAACTGGTCTAAACTCATAAGACATAACTCTGTAATCCAGCTCCCTTTTGATAAATGCCGACCATTTCAAGTCCACACTTTTGAAGTTAACTTTAAAAACACCTCAACAGTATTTTTGACATTAGTACCTACCTACAGAAGTTTTTCAATTAGTGCTCGAAAAATGCGTTCATTGCGGCTTGGAACTATAATTTTTATATGGGTATACAAAAATAAAAATATAGGTACCAAGATATTAGTTTGAAACTGATATCATAAAATATAGTTAACATAAACTTTCCAAATACGATTGATACCAATACAATGGTCAATTAAAATATAAATTTTGAACAAGGGATGCTATTTTACAATTTAAAAATCTTGATACAAGCAAATTTTATAAAATAGATTTTGACCCCCTACATAAAGGGCTAGGGCTCATAAAAGTGATTTTGGTTTAGGTAGTGTATTTTTATTTAAATCCTAAATAAACGGAATTTGTTCCTTATAGTTTTTTAACATATGGCAAGTAGTGGCTTATTAATAGTAAGGAGGTAGAGAACTAATTAAATTATTCAAACCTAGAACTAAAATTAAACAAATTCCTTATTTGTAAGGCGAACATGAACTATTTCTTTTCGAAGCCTGTTTTTTTATGCTAAAAAATAGTCAGTTATCAAGTTTTATTAGAAAAACTACCCTCTCTAATTGGGTTTGTAGTCAGGAATGAATTTAAACAATGGACTAGCCTTTAGAATGTCTAAAATAAACTATATGAATCGGTCAGACCGTTTTCAGGTATTGAACAAAAAGAGAGACTTTTGCTCCTCTATGATCGGTTGTATATTATTATTTAATTAACAGAAAATTGACTCGGGTCCTGTTGGGAAGGTACACAGTGTATTTTTTCTTCTTGAATTCTTGAGCAGTTTGGGCTACACTCCTTGGTTTGGCAGATGGCAGGGCCACGACAGGTGTTTTCTTCATACAAAAACTAAGTACTACCCTACAGAAAAAAAACATTTTTTTTGGAAATATTTCTTTTATGCTGCATGTAAACCTAGGTATACTAACATTCCTTCAGATCAACTTACCAACTTAAATTTTTCTCTGTAGGTACACTAAAGAGGGGTACTTTTATGGTCGTTTGATCTAATAGCAATTGCAATGATAAAAATGTTCTAAAAAAATCGACGAAATTACATTATTTTTTAGCGTCGTTTCATGTCATGTAACCATTAACTTTTTAATTATAAAAAATAACTAAAATAATAGTTCTTTTTAGGTTGGTCGTGAAAATTTAGATATAAAAATAAAATGTATGTATCTTAAAAGATACAATGCCAAGTTAAGAGTTAAAACGCTCGAATGTTTATGCACCAGAACAGACCTAATATAAAATATAGACAAATAGGTATGCACTTTTATCTGAAAAAATAAACAAAATAACTCTGAAAATAACTAATATAAAATAAGTTACCGTTTGTTTTAACAACGATTGTATGTAAAATAGACTTGATATTATACGATTCAGCAAATCATTAATTGTAAATAAAGGTAGCTTACCTATTAAATTATTAAATTTACTAACGTTGTATTTTCATAAAAATCCTATCTCTATTTTTATATTTGTCTATATTTATACCTAAAGATCAAAGGGTTACAAAAATAGTTTCTAGCACATTACAAATATAAAAGTATTTAAATAAAAATAGTTTCAAACACATTACAAATATAAAGGTATTTAAAAATCATAATGTTTGTTATCTTGACGGACTCACTTAGGCCCAAAACTACCACCCGTCTAAGGGGAGATTTCTGAACTATTTTTATGCACACAGTACACAATTAAAAAAACCATATTCCATAAAGTTATTGTGATTAATGGTTTCGCCTCTACTCAAACACACATCCCAAAAAAATATTCAGTATAATATTTAATTTTTTACAACACTGCACATATATTTTTAGTAAAAATAAATAAACATAATAAAACAGGTTTGGTTGTGGCGATACCCCCAATTTCAGCATATGTACAGAGAAATGAGAACAGGTGGTTTCAGGTTTACAAATTGCATCCCTCGCCTATATAAAACAATATAATTAAATAGTACTCACTCTTGTTCTTTAGAATCAATGATTTTTCGGAGATAGGGCCAACGGGGGGGGGGGGGGGGCTCATTGCTTTTCTTAACTCGTGTAATCAATACTCACATAATATTTTTCAAAAATATTTACTTCTTTGTTATTGTTTAAAATACTACACAATACCTTAATTATATTTTGGTATTTGAAATAAATGAAAATATAAATGTAAAATATTAACTTTATTTTTAAAGCCAGCAAACAATAAAATATCAAAAACAACAATTTTGAAATAACATTTCCTTATTATTTTGAAACAATAACTAAAACCAAATAACATCTATTAAAAAAAAAAAAAATAGCTTCTAAATTTATAAAGAACACCCTTTTATTGAATTTCTAGCGTGGGTTGTACATTTGAATATAATCGAATAGAGTTTTTACCTTTTTAACAAAAACCTATTTTTGAGTTTTTTGAATGTTTTATCTTAAACCGTTCACGAGATATGAATTTGAAAATATGATTTTTTTTTTAAATAAATACTTTTTTATAGCTACTCTGCGGTTGATAACAAAAAAAAATGGCTCAACTTATTTGAAATAATTTTTAGTCATGTTATCGAACATTTATATCTCGTAAACATCTTGAGACATACATTTTTGTATAATATTTTTGATAGGTAATACGATTTATGAAAAGTAAAAAAAAATCCAGCCAAATAAACATCAACCAATCACCAATAATTCAAATGGTGTACGATTTTTTGTTGAACACAAAAATAGTAATGAGCCGAAAATAAATAAATAGTACCCTTTAGAATATTTACCGGAATTTCGTTAGAATCTTAGACAAAAAAAAAAAGTTTTCCATCGTTTCAAAAATTATATTGTATGTAATAAGTCTAAGTAGTTATTATGAAGATTTGACATTGCATTTATTTATTTTAATAGGTATATTAACTGCCGTTACCACGCAAGAAAAACTAGTATCTATAATTGGTAGATCAAAATTTGATAGAATTTATTTATATAATTAGCGAATGAAATATAATTACATATAAATATATAAAAATTGTATAATAGGTACGTTATTCTTTTTGTTTTAGATGTTATTCATTATTTAATTAAATATTGCCCAGCTTTGCTTGTATTCTAATGTTGAATCTCAAAATAAAAAAAATAACAGACCATTATTATTTAACTTTAAGCGTTTTGATAGATGGGACAAAATAAAATCGCACTAAAGAATAATGGCAATAATGCCAGTAAATGGCCGAGTAAGAGTTATTGGAAGCAAAAAAAAACATAATTTGTACCTAAATGTTCCAATTTTAATAAATTAATAATTTTGGGACGTCACACACATTCTTTTTTAATATATTAAGCCGAATATAAGGTACTTAATGTGTTGAAAATTAGATATGAGTATATGACATTCCCTTCAAAATACTATTTTTAAATTTCTGCAAGTACCTTAGGTTTTTGCTATATCAGGGGCTGAGTGAAACACCGATTCAAAACATAATCTGAGTAATATAATATATATTTTGGAAAGTAAGTTAAATGATAATAAATAATGTTTAATACCTACTTAGTTATAAAAGTACACAAACATGTAGTTTTACTTAAATTCAAGACTTGTTCAGACAATTATTTATACTTAACCAACTTGAGTTAAAATATGTTTACTACCGTGAACACTTAAATAAAAAACCAAACATTGTTACGATTGTCTATGAAAGATAATTGCATTTACATTTAATACACCTATTTATTATTTTCCCACCAGATTCATGGATGTAGTTAGTACAAGTGAAAAAATGTGAAAGTAATAAATACAGTGACTAAATTATACAAAAAGATACAAAATCAGTGTACAAACAATTAATAAGCAAATTTTTATAACAAAAAATTTAGCACCAAAACTTTACCATTTAGTTATGAAATACTAATGTCTTAAAATTATTGCTTAAAAAATATTTAAAAAAATTCTGTTTGTGGCTAAAAAATGATAAAATATTAAAAATTGACGATTTTTAAATAGTAAATTAGACAAACTAAAGTGTAAAAATTTTGAATTTACAAAATTTGAAATTTATTAAGTGATTTGATATTGATTAAATTTGACTAATTTTAATAACAAAAATTTGGTATAAAGATTTTTTTTCTACCATGCTAGCAAATATAGCCAGTGCGCTAAAATATTATTTAAATGAATTTATATTCATTTAGTTTTTATTACACAGCTGTTTACCATAACAATGCAAAATATCAATACAATGTTCATACCTATTTTCGACATCAAATCAAGTCTAATAATAATTACAGCTACTGTGTTCATTTTTTTTCACTGTGATAAACTCTGAAAAAAGCAAACTACCGATTTAGGTGTCGACCCTCATCATACTGTTTAAAGCACAATTTGTATCAAATTGAAATAAGTTTTCAAAGTAAACATGAAACAACAACAAAGAATTTGTATTAATAATTTTTTTTAATATATATTATAAATAAATGTTTTTTTTTTTTTTTTACAAAAACCATAAAATAATTCTTCCAAATTTTGAAGGAACCATAATTATTTGAAACTAAGTCCTTTTGTCCATTAAGGTTCATCTTAAGTAATAACAATAATATTAATACAAGTTAGAAAAGTTATTCATATTCAAAAAGTACTCTATGAACATAATCAATTTAGAGGTACGCACGAGAATTTAACAACAATAATAAATCTATTACATTTATTTTCTGCGTGATATAATAAAACAAAAATTTGGTAGATATTATCGTTTGTTTTATTGTTTTTAATCTTTTACGGCGTGTACTATGATAGGCAAATACGTTTTTGTAGTCATTTTGCTAATGGGACATATAGTTACCAATTGTTCTTCGCAGATTTTACTCTTGACGTGCAACGTGTACTTGTCGTGCAAATGTGACGGCAACACATTATACATAACGTCCACAGCTTTCACAGCATCTAAAAAAAAAATGTCCCAAGTTATATAACCTACTTGTTTAGATGTAAAAATTTGATTTCAAGTATAAGGATTTGATCGACAATGTAGTTTTTTTTAAAAACACAATATACAAATTTTAAACAAGATTAAAAATGGGCCACTCAAATCAATTTTTCTGTGACACACTTCACTTCATCTTCACTTGTAATGTATTTTATACATAATATGATCCAATTAAATTGAATAGCGCTATTATTATATGTCGAGTACCTTGAATTGTGATAATCAGAAATAATTAGAACATTAGAAATTAAAACATTTACTCAAAACGGAAGACAAATCTTGGAACGTATACGTTTTAATGTTTGATTCAATTTCAATAATTCTGAATCCAGCATTGACGAAAAGAGCTTCCACTTCTTCTTTTGAATACGTTGAGGACAAATGTTTGATGTCCTAAAAAAATTAGTTTTTGGAATTACACAGAGGAACAAAGTAAGTAAGATAAGGTCGCAAGTCTTGGGAAAATTCAAAATATTGTAACAAAACTAACAAATATATTTTCAAACAAAAATTGTATTAAATATTTTATATTATATTTATTTAATTAAACTAAATTTCCCTAATTAAACTAAAGACCTATTTCTTCGTTTACTAAGTCTATAGTCACTGTAAATATTTTTTAAAAAGTTATTTTTATTACTTCTATATGATATATGATAATGCCTAAAGACTTATAGCTACCTGACCCAACTATTTATTGTAAGTACATGTATTAATTAATTATGTATTCTTGATTAAGAAAAACATGTTCTACTATTGTTTACACATAAAAGGGTTGTGTATTTTTTTTAAACCGCTTGTTTGTTATAAGGTGATCAAATTTTGGTTATTGAATACAATAAATATAGTACATTAATAGCTTTAGAAATAGAGCGATTAGATATTATAAATAGATTTGGAAAACAAAACTTACTTTGACATATTTTTGCCATTCGACGTCCAAACATTTATACAAATGAACCATAGGATTTACCAGCATAAACAAAATTAATACTTCCCCGCCACTTTTCAACATTGAATACAAATTCAGCAAAGTTCTCTCTTTGTTTTGTATCCAATGAAAACAAAAGAATGAAAATATTTTGTCAAAGTGTTGCGTGTGATAGGCACAACTAATGGAATTTTCAATATCCAGAATTTGAAATTCCATTTTGGCTTTACCGTAAGTCGATTTAGCATAATCGATCATGACGTTTGATTTGTCGACGGCGATCTAAAAAACAAATTTAATACATTTGTTACTATTACTGTTTTTAAAAGATAAAAAAAAAAATCATAAGAACAAACCAATTTTTCAATTTTGTCTTGTAATACAGGGAACAGAATATCTGAAGTCACATCGCCAGGACCACAACCTACATCTAAAACTACCTCTCTCGGTTTCCAAACCATGCGTGATAAATAGTTATTTAAGGCATCACTAGCATCTCTACGTTGCATGCCATTTTCTTCGGCGTACAGCTCTGGACGATCCATCACAACAAACTGAGAAACGTTAAATTCAATGTTTTTCTTAGGTCTCAATATTTCTTTGCGACACTCATAGAGTTGTATATTAAGAATTGTTTGTTGGAATTATTATTTATACCTATATACTTTGTAGTAGACCTGCTAAGATAACTGATTACCATAACAAACCCTTTTTGTCAGGCAAATGAATACTTAATCACTATGTTACAGAAAAAAAATATACCCATACACAGGTTCACCTCTTATTTTAATCTGATTGAAAACTATTTTAAAAGGATGAGATCATAAATAATATGTTAAGTTCATCTAGATAGTATTCTACACCACATTATGTAAATTTGTTGTCGTGCAGGACCTCAACGATTTTAATATTATGCGACTTATTATAAACTTAGGTCTATTTTTAAATTTTGTCTTCTGTTGTAATAAATAAATAAGTATCCATATTTAATAAAATAGATTTATCATCATAAGAAATTAAGTTAACAAAATAATATAATAGTGTCAAAGTTTGTGTATCGGTTTAATTTTATATCAACTTAATATTGTACTCGATATTAACAATTAATTGTAATAGATGTTTTGTTTGTTATATTTCAAATCTAGACTTTATTAAAATAATTTTTCATTCGAATAATTATAAAAACCAAAAATACATTCAAATTATAAATAAAATTATATTTTTATTTTAACTTATATCAAAATAAAGTTTTTTTTTTAAGAGTTTAGACTACAAGAAACAAATAATATTATGTTATTTAAATATATGAAACAAGGTGATTAAAATATTTGGTAGATATGCACTTTGCTTAATTATTAATTATTCTTTTATAATTCAACAATACTTTAAGACAAAATGTTACAGACAAACAATTTTACCTACATTTTTCATAATTAACTATGTTAATTAAAAAAAAACATAAAAATTTTCTTTTTATTGTAAATTGTATTATACAAAATTGCAGTTTTAAAAAAATATTACTGTTTTATTAGAAAAAAAAACTTTACAACTTACTCTATTACAAATACACTTTAATTCTTTATAGCTTCACATGTGGCAATTCTATAACAAACCTGGAAATTCCCGCCAGACAGCGCATCAAGTATATTTTTATACTATATTATATAACTATATTATTTTTATTTTTTTAACTTAAACCAATTCCTTTTCAAAATTATTTTTAATTTATACCACCTTGGGCTACAAAGGGTTGATAAAATTGTTTCATAATTAAATTAACCCATTAACACCAAATTTTTTTGTTATTATTGTCACAAGAATTCATATTTTATTTACAAAAAATTCTAAAAATATTTTAGAAAAGGTCGCTAATGGGTTTAATTAAGTAGAGTCTTGACTTACACAAAGTGAACAACAGTTTCCTTTAAAAATTATAGGAAAAAACTAGTATGTTAATAGGAAATACCTAATCTTATATACAATAAATCAAATAAATACTTGCATAACTTTTGATAATGTTTCTAATAATATAAAAAATTAAAAAACACTAACAAATTTCAATATAATAACACACTTGTTTAAATATGTTTTCTCAATAAGACATTTAAAATATATGGTTTTTGCTGAATGTGTGTATTAATATAATATGTGATGACAAATTCACAACGTCAGCACCTTTTAATTTTATGTAATAATTAGTGTGTTTAACCAAAAGTAGATGTATGGCACACAACACATAAAATATAAAAAAAACTAAAATAAAATTTCCTCATTGGTAGTGACGAAACTGTATAATAATTATCACTGAAGTACATCAATCGTAATTGTGTTTAATCATTGGAAATTATAATGACCGAGTAATGTATATTTTTATTTAGTTTTTCATGAACATTGCAATTAATAGTTTTAAGCATCATCAATAAGTTTATTTAACTGAACACTAATAGTATTGATAGATCTAAATTTAATTTAAAAAGTTGATGATTTTGAAATATGTTTCATTACTTGAATCATACTGATGATTACTTCATAGGTAGTGACGAAAAAGGTGAATAAAATCACTTTAAATTCATTAACAAATAACTATTAATCATAAGTGATCACATATTAATAGTTATAAATTAAAATTAAAAAAACTTATAACTAAAATACCGTCTTTTAAAAAATTTGTACCATTAGCTATTATGTATGTAAAATCACTTCATAGGTAGTGACGAAAAAGGTGAATAAAATCACTTTAAATTCATAAGAAAATAACTTTTAATCATGAGTGAACACATAATAATAATTATAAATTCAAATATATTTTTTTAAAACATTTTTCTTAAGACTTACAAAAAAATATAACACATGATTAATTACTTAAATAGTATCGTTAGCTATTATGTATGTAAATCACTTCATAGGTAGTGACGAAAAAGGAGAATAAAATCACTTGTATTTCATAAACGAATAGCTTTTAATCATAAGTGATCACAACTAAGTAAATAAATAAAACAGTTAAAAAAAAAAAAACTTGAAACTAAAATACCTTTTTTGTTTATATTTTAATTCTTACAAACCATAAAAAAATGTCACATAACACAATGAAAAACTTAAAGTATCAAATTTTGTTTAAAATAGAACAAAAAATGTATATTGTTGTATACTACTATACACATTATACTGTGTTCTCATAATCATATTGTGAAGCTATAAATTATAAAATTATAAGGAACTTCTATCATATAAAAGATGAAAAAACTTTGAACCGACCGAGCAAATGAGTAAAATGACACCTTTGAACAACCCTAATGCTCAGACAAAAAAAAAAAAAAATTATTACATTTCAAGAGATATTTGTTTTTTATCTATCCAACTAGAAAGATTATTTTATTTTTAAACATTTCCCCAAAAGTATTAAAATCAATTTTCATTAAATCACTTACATGAAACATTGCATTGTACCGTTAGGAGCTATTATTTAAAAACTGGTTTGTTATCTGTGTCCTACTGGGAAAAGAGGCACCTACATTCCTTTTAGGCCGTTTGTATTTTATAACACCTCTAAAATCATAAACACAGGTACGTCTTGTTAACTAACAATAGCTATACCTATAGTTAGTGACAAAGGTCAGAGAATTATTACCAATTGGAAAACAAGTACACAGATCATTAAATTTTAAATGACTACATTATACAGATATCGGATCAACAATCGTAAAGCAAACATTTGACTTTGATGTTGGTTCTAGTAATAGCTAAAAAATAGCTGAGATGGAGTATTCTACACATAAACAATAGATTGGTTTATACTGTGATGAAGGCGAGTAATTATTTATTTTTATTTTACGCTTACTTAAAAGATGTTTCCATTGAATTATCCTTTTTCGGTATACTGTATAAAATAACTGTTGAAATTTTTATCACTTGATAGGTTTTGAGAAATTCTAAAAATTTCCATTAGCAATAAAATATGCGCTGCGGAAACAATTTCATATGGGAATCCTTTAACACATCAAATAAAAATAATATATTAAAATAATGTTTTACCAAAAATCAATTTAAGTTTGGAGTCAATTTCAAGTGTTTCTATCCATTCTATTAACCACGATCATTCTAACAAACCAAAAATAAGTCAAGAATCAGACAAATTATTGTCAGATTAATGAAAATGCTACAATTGCAAAATGCAAAGAAGTTGATAAAGAAGCTGCTTGCTTTTGTCTAAAAAAACTTGATTGTTGGAGCTATGAATGTCATTCTGAACAAGTTATGTAAATATAAGTTATGTTAAAAACTAAATTTCTACTTAGCCAAAATAAAAAATGTTACTAATTTAACTGTTAGCCTTATTTTCATACATTAGATGAACAAGATAAATATAACATGTTGATAATATTTCTAGTCCAATTTATTATATAAAGAAGTTTGAGAGTTGCGCCGAAACCAGAAAAACAAAAGATATCAAATAAAAATTATTTTATTGTTTTGAAATACATGTGTTTAAACAAAATTAATTAGTAAACCAGACAAGGACACTTTGGTAGTGGATAGGCTGGTTTGATAGGTAAATGTAATTGTTATTGCAGAAAAATGTTGTTACAAACATTTTTGATAAATGTTACTCACACCCTTTGACATCTTCAGGCTCGATAGACCTTGGTTGTATTTTGGGGAAAGTTATGAGAAAGAACTAATGCAGAAGGTTGGCTTTTTTTTATATGCAAGGGATATGCTTCGCATACTCTGTTGCTTGAGAAACAAGGCTCACAATTGTAAAAACTATCTGACGAGTCAGTTTTTATTTAGTGTTAAAATATTCATAAATGGCAATAAACCGGAATTTAAAAATCCCAACACTTTAGTTTTTTCGGTATGCCTACACTCAATAAAACATATTGGGTAAATGCTAAAATTTGCTGTACTTGAACAAAAAAAAACCCCATTGGCTGGGTTCGGTTAGATTTTTTTTACCAACTCTGTCGTTCATAGATAAGTCTTGACATAGACAAGAATACTTGATTAGTGGATGCTTTTAATGAAGACATGGGATGAAAAGACGTTTGCGGAAAAACAATTAATAGAAGAACGTGAACTGAACGTTGGGATGGTCGACCAAAACTTAACACCAAACCGACCGTCTTTAAAGCGCCTATTTTAATTACAATATATGTACTCACCAATCATCATGTAAATGCCAAACTTAAAAATTGAGTGTGAACTATGAAGTACAAACAAGTTAATTTTAACAGAGACCGTGCCAATAGAAAAAGACGGCTCAATAAATGCAGTGCACACTTGACACTACTCGAACAATTTGTCACGTGGGTTATACACAGAATAACCAGAAGGGAAACCTAGTCCGGGACTGATAAGCGTCCGACATTTTGTTTTTGCAGATTACGCACAAATATCAAGTCTTTTTTTCTGGAATTATCTGTAGGCAATCTAATATAGTTTGGTTCCCAGCCGCAAAAACAATATGGCTGTCGGCCTATTTTAGCGGCTCATAGGAATCCGTGTAAATTTTTTAAAGTTTCCTTTCTGGTTATTGTGTTGTTATACGTTATGACGTGATAAAAGATAACAGAGCACGTGTTTGATAACGATGAAAAATATTAATATTGTGAGGTTATGTAAGATTTGTATTTTATAATATGTGATAAAATATAAACAAGAGAAGCCATGCTGCATGTTGTTGTTTTGAAATTTCAAGCAAGACCGAATAATTACTGGATATAATTATATTATAGTTAGAATTATTTAAATTTTATTTGTTGTTGATTTTGTTTGGTGCAACCTTGCCATTATGAAGCACACTACAGAGAAATGTTCTGAAATATTAGACAACTATTTAATATTTGGAAATTTGCATTCCCAAGAATTCAATGAAAAAATCTCTGAAGGTATAATATTTAATTATCTTTTGATAATAATAATTCTACTTTAAAAGCGAAGAGCTATTGAAAAATTAATTAAGAAAGACCAATTAAAATATTAAGACCGAAATTTTCCTTTAAAAAAACCTAGTATTATTTATTTCATTAATATTTAGATTACAAGTAAAAAACATAAATGAAATTTAAAAAACTCAAGTCAAATTAGTAATTGTTATAATCAGTTTTAAATTGTTTTACGTTAAAAATATTTACGTACAAATAATAATTACCTAGTTTATGTTTAATGTTTTACAATTGTTTTTAGACAACAATGTATCGGGTCTTGTGAAGAATGTTATAAAAGGCGATTACATTACAATTTTACAAGACGAATTGTTTTTATCTTTGTATAAAGAGTTCGGACAGTTTGAAAAGTTAAATTTCAATTTGTCTATTGTAGAACATGTAAACAAATTAATTTTTAATGACCTTATTGAGTAAGTGAAGTTGTAATAGATTTGGTAGTCTGGTAATGATGTTTTAAAATATAATTTATGTTTTAGACCTGATGCAATGTTAGCCATTGGTGTTGGCAGTTATCAACTGTTTTTACAACTAAATTGGACAGGACCCTTAATACCAAGCTTGTATGTATTTGAGAAACTAATATTAGCAATGAAATATTCGTCATACTTAGGGTTTTTATAGAGAATTGGATAGTTGGGGACCAAGTACAGAAGTAGTTGAAAATTTAGTCAACGATTTGGATTGCGTCTCGAGAAAAGTTCTATATCCTGAACTGTTGGTTGTAGCGTATGCAATTTTAAACTGTGAAAAAATCAATATACATGTAAGTATAAAAAAAACTAAAAAAAATGTGTAATTAATGTTGTCTAATCGGAATATCGATTTTTAGACACGACTTTGGTGGAAAGTACGAATGCTATCAACTCTTCAGTCGTTGTTAACCGATCTGTCCAGTGATATTAAATCAACGTTGGGGAATTTGTTTGAAAATATTGAAAAACATAATTGGACAAATCATGAAGAAGAAGCTCTATATAGGTTGGAACAATGTAAAATTTACCTTTTTCATTATGGAAATATTTCAAAAGCCTCATCATCGTTAAACATAGCATTAGAACTATTAGGATTAGAACATTCTCTTATCGGTGAGTTATATGAATTATATTTTTAAAAAGTCTTTTACATTTTTTTAATCTATCGTTTCTAGGTGCGCTGGGAAAGCGAACTAAGTACCAAGTCAAAGAATTAGCACAGCTCACGCTTAATGTTAACTTAAAGACATCGGAAGATAGCGCAGCCCAATTTACTATAAACCACGAAGGCACTGCTTTGCCTACAGTAATTTCAATCTAACTTATCGAAAATGTATTAGAATAATTAAAATTGTTTTGTTGTTATAGGATTGTTTGTTGGACGATGAAAACCGAATGCACGATATTAAGTTTTCGAGTGAAAACTCTGGTCAGTTTCCCAAACTTAATAGTCTTCAACAAGCAGCCATATTGAACTCGCTGTAAAATTATTTTATTTATAATAATTTAGTTCTATGGGTAATTATAATTTTGGAGGCAGAAAAATAAGGCAGTGGACGAAGTTGTTACGTTTGAGTATTAAGTATAATGTTGATTGAAAAGTAATTGAAATGGAAAGAAGTGTCTGACGATTTGTATGGCCTTTAAGGAGGAGGCAAGCATTGAAAATTTCTGAAATTGCATTTATTTCTACTCTGTTTATTACTAAATTAAGATATTTCGTCGTTAAATGATCGATTTCATTTGTATCGGATTAGGCAATGAGGCCAAAAGGAAATTATCATGCGAAGACGAAATTATAAGAAACTATGGAGGTGGTAAACGCAGTGATAAATATGACTGAGGATAATTAAGAGGTTTAAGAGGAGAGGTGGTGGTCGAGTACTTAAGTTACTGATAAAAAGTGAGATGAGAGAAAACACAAACTTCACTAATCACATGTAAATATTTACAGCATGTTGGAGCAAAAAAGCAAGCCGAAAGACGACTTGCAATTGGAAGAACTACAACCATATATAAGAGTAAATAACGTCTTATTTCATATTACCTATTAACGTTACTAAATAGCTGGGAGAAGTATTGTTATCAATTGCGATAAAGTCGTAATGACATTGAGTTGCTTAAGGCTCAGGTTCCAATTAATTCATTACTTATCCAAAAAAAAATTATTTTTCGTTTTCTTTTTAACAATAATATAATATAAGAATGTAATAAAATAATAAACTATTCTACGATATTTTCTACAAAATCCTCTTACAAATTAATGGGTCACTCAACATAAAAAAAATCAATTTATTTTTGAAAATTAAATGTTTTTAAATTTTGAGTGACATATTTTTTTAGTATTTAAAAGGTAACAACAAAAGAAAAATTATTTATTTGTATTGAGCAGTCTAAAAAAGAGTAAAATTTGGATTTTGACCTTTATAATGGGACATAAGTTACATTCTTATTTTTGTCTCCAGAATCATGTAAAATTATCTGGCTATACTCTAATTATCTTTTAAATACAAAATAAGGTCCACCTTTGTACCCACTTTCCATTTTTTTATTTTATGTATACTTGTAATCGTAACGAAAATTATGTATCTGCAAATAGTTAAATACACGAATCCCTTGAAATCGTTCCTAATTTTTCGACTACACTAATATTGTTTTACATTTATCTTTTAATTTAGTGTTTGTTGCAACAAAAATCTATATGGAGCATACACGTGTCGGCATTGCTTCAGCGATCTATTCTCGAGAAAGATAATCGAAGATCAGTCGAGCGATCTATGCAACAAATCGAGGTAAATTTTATTATATTTTCAACATTAATTTTCCTTTGCGGTTTATTAATTTGAATACTGTTTATATGTATATTTGTCTATTTTTGTTTTCCAGGCCCTAGTAACCAGTTTAAATAGTGCTAGTCCATTAAACGTAGATCGTTTGTATATGTTCCATTGTTCATTTGTTTCGCCATCCTGGCAACTGCAAGCCTACCTCGGTAACATAATGTTCTCAATTGGTGCCATTCAAAGCGCTTTGGACTGCTTTTTGGCATCGGACATGTGGGAAGAGTGCGTTGCTTGTTACAACAGACAAGGTCTACGACATAAAGTATGTACAGTTTTAAATTTAAAGATTTACATTATCTAACTAATGTAATTTTTACAACTGGTTATTACATTTTTTAGGCATCAGAGATACTTGAAAACGAGCTAAAGCAACCAAACCTCACACTGGCCAAGCATATTTTAATTCTGTGTCTACTCGGTGACGCAACCGATAATATATCGCTGTACGAAGAAGCTTGGAATATTTCCGAATGCCGTAGTAGTAGAGCCCAAAAGCATTGGGCATTTTATTATTACAACAGAAAAGAAGTAATGTAACTTTAATCTTAAGCCCCGTTTAAGTTTAAATTTAAAGTTATTATAATTATATTTAAATATTTTTTACCACAGCTAATACATAGTTTTAATGCCAATTTACATTAACGTGAATTTTGTTCAAAGTGAAATTTAAATTTTAAATGAAGTTTTATTTTCCAATGTTTGTCGATCATATCGATTGATATAATTCACTTGAATAAAAAACATATGTGCATTACAATGTAAATTGTATTACTAAAAAATATATTTGCTTTATCACACAAATTTTTCATCATTATACATTATAATAATTAGCCTAGTTAATTAATGAAAACATTTTTTTTTTCATTTTTTTTATAGTATGAAGAAAGTATTGACCATTTCCAAAAATCGTTGAAAATAAATTCCATACAAGAGCAACTGTGGTTTAGATTAGCTTTTGCGTTCATGGCCGTAGAAAGATGGACAGAAGCTGCGGAAGCGTACAGAAGATATTGTGATTTAGAAACTGATGTAAGTACATCGTGTAATTGACATAAGTATCTTTCATTATCTATATTCCTTACTTGAAGAAAGGGGTACATGTAAGGCAAATATATGTCTTGTGTTGTTCATTGTTTAAGAATAGAAAATATTATAATTTAGAAAATATTAACTGGCGTCGTTTGATGGTTATAGATTTTATAATTTTTGATTTTGTACTTAAGTGTGTTATAAAATAATACATACCATGTGTTGCAGCAAAACAGTTTTCAAGTTAAATCGTTTTGTGCTTAAAAGTGGTTACATTATATATTTACGGCATTTGGGGAAACTAATAACTTAAGTTTGTGTTGTTCAAGTTTTTGGTTGTCGTAGTACATTATAAAGGGTTGTATCAAATAGTCGATCACGATTTATAAATATGATATCGACTGCCTCAAGTCTAAAAAACTCAAGCAATATTTTATTAATTTAACAGGAAATGAGAAAAATAATTGTTTTCTTTTAAGATTTTCACCTAATGTGTTAAAAAATGTACGGTTTTGTACTATGAATACGCTATTGTGCTTTTAACTGTAAAATGTTTTTCAATATTAATTTTGTAATTATTTTGCGAATCATTTTTTCACAATTTTAGTGTTTCGAAGCGTGGAACAATTTAGCAAGGTGTTACATAAAGAGTGGTCAAAAATCAAGAGCTTATTATGCTCTCAAAGAGGCCGTGAAGTGTAACTACGAAAATTGGATGGTTTGGGACAATTTGATGGTTGTCAGCGTTGATTGCGGCTGTTTTGAAGAGGTTTGAGAAACATTAAAAATAGAAATATATTGTTTATTTTAATTATTAAATCAACTTTTTTTTTTAATGTATTTAGGCGATAAAATGCTATCACCGTTTATTGGATTTAAAAAATAAACATGTCGACACGGAAGTTTTGAAGATTTTGGTTCAAGCCGTGCAAACTAACGTTAAAGACGAAAACGACAGACCGGCGTCTGAACACAGAAAGTGCTTGTTACAACTTTTCGGTAGACTTACCTCCCAAGTTCAAAACGATGGAGAAATTTGGAAGTTATATGCTCATTTGGAGGCTGCCGTTCCATCTTTGAGTAAAGAAACGGTTGATAAAATTCTACATCATTTACAATGCGCTCATCGATTTACAACTCAGGGCAACAAATGGGAACAAAATAAAGACACGTGTATGAACGTTATACATTTGTCGTTGGAATTGACTGAAGGTGAAATTTAATTAAAATAATTTTTTAAACATGTTTTGAAATTAATTATATCAATCTATTTGCAGCGTACTTAAACTGTTGCGATAAAGCTGAAAACATAGAACAGAGACGAAGGTACCTGTCGTCGGCAAAACTGATGTTGGTTTCGGCGGTGTCGCAAATTGAGGTTTGTGTTTTATTAAAAAATAATTACAAACATTCTGTGACTATGTTTTTATTTTACAGAAAGAAAAAGATGTATTGGAAATGGTGAAAGGAGACTATGAAAAGGTTAAAAACAATTTGGATCAAATCAAACTTCGGCTCGCTGTTGAATCGTAAAATACTTATTATATCAATATCATAAGTATTAAAATTATATAAATCTTTATTAAAAATATTATATTATGTTAACAACAAGTAAACAGTTATGAACTTAGTTATTGTTTTAATTTATTAATAAACTTATCAAAGTCGGCAAAACACTGTTCTTGAAATTGGCAAACTACACTCGATTGTACCTGATGACGACTCGACGCTTTTTGTAAGTCTGATGTAATCTAAATACGATCAAATTATACACAGGACGGCAGCTTTAATGTGTTTAATTTAAAAACGTACTTCATTTATCTTGTGCTCTGTTTTAGTACCTATAAGTTTGTCCAACGAACTCTCAATCGACTTGACGTGATTGTCAAACTTATTTCTGTTAATGCCTTTATCGCGGGAAAACTTATCCAGTTCGGCGTTCATTTTTGTTTGATAAAAATGCTCTCTTATCCTTTTTCTGTCGTCTACTTGTTTCACATAATCTCTGTTCAAGCTCAAGTCTGAAAACGCCAACACTTTCTCCATGGCGTCTTCCGAAATTTTAACGTCACGTGTCATCGTCGGCTTTGGAGCTTTACTAGTGTTGTCTTCCATAACGGTAAATAAATAATTTTGAGTTGAAATTTCCAAAAACAAATAAATAAAACAATCTTGTTGCCTAAGTTACGTCACGATATTTCGTATCTTGTGTGTCCAAATTTTTTATTGTAATTTATATTTTAGTTTTTACTACATTGTTTTAAATAAAATATTAAAGTATATAATTATTAAATTATGTTTTAATCTAAATAAGTAATGTTACCATTTTTTCTAACATAAAATTAAAATTATTATTTAATCCGTTTTGAAGTTTTCAACAATTATTGAATTCTTTTGATTTAATGATTTTGGAATTTAATGTCTGCTGAGTTCTGACTGAACCAATACATTTATTAATTAAGAAACTCATTCGGATAGCGGTATTATTTTAATACTTCCATCTAAAAACTTCTTTTATAAGTAACAAAATTACTAAATTTATGCTTAAAAAATTTCTGTTCTCTAATATTATAATATGTAATGTTTGATGCTGAACCATAGTGAAGCCAGGTTTAGTCGGATATATTTTTTTTTTTGCTTAGTTATAAGTTATAAACTACTTTTTTAAAACTTACTAAAAAACAGAGAAGTTCGGCAAATTTTGAATTGAAAATAACATTTTATTTAGAAATAAAAAACCTGTTAACCAAAAACTTTTTTTTTTTAAGAACATAAAAATTATCATAATTAAAGTATAGCATAAAAAAAAAATATAAATTATATAATGTGTAAAATTAGTTAGTCGGGTAGAAATACTTGAAACTCGGCCGGAACTAGTTAGAAAACTTACTGTGGCAGTAAACAGTAGGTATGCCGTATGAGCTAGGAAGGTACTTTAAAATTATACAACTTAGGTAATATCAAATGTGAAGTGGTAGTCGACGATGCCATTAATCGCAGCTCGAGTGCAATAATGAAAAAAAAATAATCGCAGCACATTATTAATACCTAACCACTTAAATCGTTAATTTATTACTTTTATTTTTTTTTCCATTATTTATTAGAAAAATATCTTTGAAATCTTAAAAGGTCTATTGCCCTCGAATACAATGGTCTCTCAAAACGTTTACATGCGTTGACCTCGGGACCTTGATCAAATTATACGGTCAGAGTACATTGCATTTTTTTTCTGGATCATCATCGAATGAATTACTATAAATTATACAGGTACTCGGACTTATTGTCTTTTGTCTTTGAACCCGCACACAGAATAGTATTACTTATGTCCATGATTCGTTGATCACCGTTCAAGCTGATAATATATAGTTACCGTCTACGGGTACGCTGCACTGCTAATATTATATAGGTGTCGGGTAATTGGATTCGTTTCAATTGAATTAGTTTTTATAATATAGTTTAAAGTACTTAGGCTTTTTTTTTATTATTTAATTCTTGTTCACCCGATGCTTGCTACCGGACGTATTTCATTTAATTTCCCCCAAGGTCGCATTACGAAACGCGGACTTATACTTTCATATATAAAATTAAGTAAGTACCTACCATTAACGGACTGGGTTTTTTTTGATAGGTGTTTTTCAGACTAAAGTAATTTTATACTTAAATGAAAACTGTTAAGTCGGCGAGAAATAAGAGCGACAACTGTGAAGAAAATAATGTGAACACTTTTAGAAGTAAAAAATATATTAATCAAATTTAAATTTAACAATTGGAGTTTTGTTAAACCGAAAAATTGTGTGTGTTTAAAATTTAATTTAAGCAACAATTTTGTATATTATTTAAATTTGTATTGTGTTTTCGCCGAAATACAAAATACTTATAGAAAAATTATACAACACATTTAAAAAAAACGTGACATGATTTTAAATATTAGTGAAGTAGGTACTTAATACACTGTAATGATTATAAAGGTAAAAATAGTCGGAATATGCTTGATGAAAATTGGAAATTATGTTTTCTATTTCATAAAACCATTTTAATAATTAACGATATATTAATAAAATTAACTACTTATAATGAAGCTTTCAGAGAAGCTTTATAGTATGTAAAGTTTTTTTTTGTGAAAACATTAAATGCATTTACAGATAGGTAGTAGGTACTAATTAATTATATCAATCTAATAGGTAGTACAAGTCAACAAGTTCAAATTTAGATTCTACTTGGCTAAAGTCACTGACGAAATTCAAATAAGACAAGTACCTCATAATAAGTATAACTATACAATAATCGAAAACACCAAAGAGCCTAACAAATAAAAATAGGCATGAACATTGAACTCTTTGTATGGCTAATGATATTTAAATTGAAAATAAACCGTCTTCCACTTTATATCGGTAGGTAGTTGAGTATATTTTTAACGGGTAAATCAAAGCATGTATTTTAACATATATTATATATCAACGAGCTAAACATAATTATTAATCCAATGCTGCACTTTATGTATAAAATAATATGTCAACAGGCATAATAATGTCACACGTTAGATGATTTTATACTTTGTTATTCTGTCTTTTTAATTATTTTTGATAATAATAATAATAATATTTGTTCATATGGTTTAACCTTGAGTCATAGCATAGCTGGTGTCTATCTGTATATTGTTAAGACTTAATTATTGTGGTTACGTCAACTGTGTGACAAGATATTATTGATCTTTAATTTAAAATACATTATAGATAGGTATATCAGATAAGTGTAGCATAATATTTTCTATTTATAATTATTTTACGTTCAGGGCACACAATTAAACCAAACAGTAAAAAGTAGTGTGTATAATAGTTGGTACAATTATACAAAGAACTTGGAGGTGAAGGATTTAGGAATTCAGTAATAAGTGCCTTTTGTTGTCGAATGGCGAGTGGGTTTTATTGGGTGGTATTGCTTTACAAGTGCTGATACCATTTTGATTTGTACATGCAATGTAATTAGCCATTTTTTTTTTTAAATTGGACGAGAAGCTGAGAGATGTCGATTTAAAATCTTCCAGCTTCTTAATTGTATTAAGAAAAGAATTCGTAGCCTCCTCAACTCATTTTAAATTTAGGTACACTATACGCTTAAGGCAATATCAATTTATTATTACTCTTAGGATTTTGGAATTGAAATGTTTGAAAAATTATAAGAGCAAATTCGTTTTTTCTACACTGTCCACATAGGTTTGCTTCGGAGAGTGTATGAAAGTGATTGTATGGTTAATAGATTATTACATACAAAACCAGTAGCCATGGTTAGTACATGTTTATATAGCTAATGCACGTGTATTGACCGTGATTAGTAACTATTAGTCAGTACATATACCACCTTTTCCTCTTAACTGTGCTAACGCCTTTTAAAATAATAATACAACTTAAACAAACAAATAATGTGCAAACACATCAAATACCTACTGTTTTTAAAGTAATAGCAAACACACACTGCATCATATTAGTATATTACATAATAAAAAAATGTATGTACCTATACATTTTTTACAAGTACTTTAAAATAACTAACGTACTAATTATCTATATTTGATTTATCATCAACTTGATAAACTTTAATTTTAAATATATTCCATTTTTTTTTAAATTACCTAGCTTTTTAGTATTATTAATGCCAGTGTTGTTAGTTTACTTCTATTCATCAACAGTACCCGTGCACGCGGTCTATTGTTTTAAGTCGTTGAACAGGTATAACTAGTTGATTAATAAAAGGTAGGTATGCAATAATATATATATATATATACATTATATAGTATAAAAGTGTATCGAAGAAAACTGATCCGACCCGTGAAGTACAAATTACCTTTTTTAGATTTTAATGCCCGAGCACTTAGGGGTCAACTCAGAAGCGGATACTATTGTATACCCGGAAAATATTAAATAATATATCGAGCGATGCCCCGCGGGGATTAATATTGGATTTTGGATTAATTTTGGTGATGAAAAGTATATAAGAGCTCCGGTGAACTCCTGTGAGAACCCATATTATTGGTCCTATACATTTTCTAGGTCAACTCGTGTAAACACACTAAACATAATGCAGAGCACATAATGTACTTCGACTTGATGTACACTATACAGTCTATTAAATATTAAATATAGTAATAAAAACACTTTTTTTTAACTAAAAATTATGAAATAAATAAATAAAATATTGTTTTCAAATAATTGGTTTAGTCTTAAAATAAATTAAATTGAATTAAATATTATGTCTACAAAAACCGCATAGTGCTTTAACATTTTATGGGACATTTTTTTCATTTAGATTTGTAAAATAAAATAAAATGAGTATACCCGACGAAACCTTTAAATTTACATTATGGCTAACTAATTATAGACTAATGTTATATATTATACCTTTAGGGACTAATATTCTAAGTATTTCCAACAGAAAAGTTTTTTTTTTTTGGTTTGACAAAGCGAGTTATAAAATAGTAATTTTATATTGAATGTAATAGCCGTAAATACATTTTTAAAAATAAAGTTGTTAACATTTTTTTTTTAAATAGTAGTCTTTACATTATAATTTTTTAAAGACAATATTTAAACTAAGATTTTTTTGAAACATTATGCTTACTATTAGGCGTGTGAATACGGGCCAAATACTGTATAATAATTATACAGAAGATATACTAATAAGTAACTAATAAGTATTTGACACGACTGATAGCACCAGCTTGGCAAAGCTATACATTTTAATGAGGTATGTCGACAGCGTTAAAACGTGGTCGTTTTTGTGCACTTTTTTTGTTTACGGGTTTGCTTATTCCAAAATCAATAATAATATATAGGTTATTACTTACTACTAGGTTAATGTATAAAAAAAACAAAAATTATATCAGGAATTGGTTTATAAATATCAAAATCCGTCTTAGAAGTTAGAAAATCAAAAAACATTATATTTAATAATTAACATATTTGACTTACATTAAGTATCTAAAACTTGAATGTATTTTTCAACAATCATTTTTTATCTATAAGTATTACGGCGAAAACATACAACAAAATCAGTACCTAGATGTTAAGCATATACTTAATTTTAAGTGCCAACAAACTTTCGGGTAAAATAAATATTTTTTTACTTTAAATTTGTAATTTTTATTGAACGCCTACAACTGTATAATACTATTCTAGTACTACCATTTAACCAACCTACTGTTAATACCTACTGACATTTGCAACCCTACGGATAATAATAATATGTTCTTTTATAACCAATTATTTTATTGGTAATTCATCATGTCCAAGTCATATTTTGTTTTTATTGTTACATTATACTCGCTGTACACCAAGGGCAATGTATCTCGTATTATTGTTGTTATTATTATTTTATAAGCCACCCCGGCCACACGTCGTAACGGTTAATTGTCTTAAAGTATAAGTACCGCGATGGTGAATAGACAAAACGAAAGAAACAGAATTTGATCTCTTCTCATTATGTATTACCTTAGCCTTAGCCGTTGTAATACCATGTGAACCTATATAAGGAGCAACTGATGACAGGCGGCGTTTCAGACAGTTACGGCCTGTACAAGCATCAACATCTTCAACTCGATCCTACCACAATGATTTTTCCATCCGTAGCTGTTGTAGTAAGTAGACACAATGACCATTCTAAGTTTATACAGACAATATAATATTGGCTCATTAGAATTTGTTGAAAACAATATACATTTTATTATATTAATAAAACATAGCTACTACATTTTTTTATTTTCATCAGGGTTATTACTTCAGATATCTTAGGTATGTCTTTAGAGATTAGATTTTCTAAAGTTCAGTCAATAGATTTTTCAAAAATATTCTAAATTACTGGTATATTTATTTTTAATATTACCTATTAATATAAATTTTGTGCAATTAATTGAACTGTACAGCTAAAAAAAAAAAAAATAGCGCAGATTTATTAGGTACTCTTAAAGAGTTCTTAGGGAGAATTTAGGTAAATATGAAAAATCGGTAAAGTCAATATTTTATAAATACATTTTCATAGAAATCCAACAAGGCTGAATAAAAAATTATTTACACAAAATTATTTTTTTAATTTAATAAATCGTTTTTAGAAGCTTTTTAATTAATATACTTGACCATTTGTTTGGAACGTAAGAGAGTTTTTCAAGTTTTAAAACAATATCAAATAAATAAAACTAATTATTGTATGCAATTATATCATGTTATCCTTGAGATTTGATCTAGTTTGTACGATTCAATGTCACTAAAAACATCATACGAGTAAACTTGTTATTGAAATTAAGATATCGAACTCCAGAACTAAAAGTTATCTGTTTTCATTTCAATTTCGACTTCTTTGTCATTATTTAGTTAGAATTCTTTATTTTTATTGTCCACAATTATTTAGCTGTAGTTCGCTATATATACTTAAGAAAGTCAAAAAGTAGACAAAGATCAACTTTTTCGTAGTAAAATCAACAAGAAATCTTAAAAACCACATATTTAATAATTTTTTAATTCAACAGGCTATAACAATCTAAGGTACATCGTTTTTAATAACTGAGCGAAATTCATTTTACTTAGTAGTTCATTTTACTTTACTAGTTCAGAGATCATTCGCTCAAGATACTTAAGAGGGTTAAAATGTTAACCTTTCCCTAATATAATAGAAATAAACAGTCAAAAATAGTTATACAATTGTGTGGTATTTTTTTTAATATGAAACTCTTACAAACTCCAAGTAACCATCATTGCCACTCTTTTCTTCAAAAGGGTTGGAAACTTTTCCTAAATTTTTTTCTTTTCAGCTTAATATTGTGAACATTTTAACAAGATAGATTTAAAGTGTTAGTAAACAGGGTCGACATATTTGTCAAATAATATTGCCATCATATTGATATTCCATAAACTATAGATTTTTCACTTGAAAGTGATTGTATTGTTTTTAGCCAGGAGTTATTCGTGCAATCCAGTGCAATCGTCATGACTATATCATGTTCTGTTCTCGCTGAAATGGCATTTATTTATTTTTGTTTTAATTTGATTTGATTATGAGTTTTGCGCGGAACGTATATATATATATATATATTAACCGTACATCAATTTGTAAGTCCCTGTGGCGACGTGACTTTAAACTTCTAAGCAATGCAGAGGTACATCTATACCTGCTGCACTGTTGTGAACGGCCGAAAGCCTTTCTCAACCAGGTGGGAATTTATCCAGGGGGTAGTTCATTGAACTTAATCCGAATCTAATTACATTTATTGCTTCGACGATTGGCCGCCTTTTGTATGCATACACAATGTTTATTACCCAAAATAACGCGTCGTTAATGAAAGGATAATATTACCCATTGTTGTTTTCCACTAACCTTCAACAATACCTACGTAGTAATTCCTATGTCAATAGACATCAGCTTCAATCGAGACGCATGTTGAACGCCGAACAAACATTCTTCGCATATATATATATATATATACCTATAATAATAATAATAATATTTGACTATACTGGCTATATATCCATTAAACGGCCAAGTGGTCAACAGCTGATGTATTAATATTTGCATTACACAACACAATAAAGTTGTCATAATATTTTATTATAATATATAATATTCTGTTAGCGTTGGTTATTGTACAGTGCGGTTGCGGCAGGAAAACCTAAATGGTTTTGTATTAAAGCTGGAGAAAAATAAGTGTTCGTTATTATTATCACCGTTTGTGCATGTCAAGAAAAATCGAAAGATTGCCAATCGCTTAACTTTGATTTTATGGTTACACAACGTTTGAAATATATTTTTATAACTTCAAATATTTGTCATCATCCCTCTCCCCCATCCTATGTAAAAATTTTCAGGTGAACTGGTTTAGCGGTAGAAACCCATAGCGGAACAGCGGGGATGTTAATGGAAGAAGGGATAATAATAATTGTCAAAAACTTGGGTTATACATTTTTTTATGTTTACTTATTTCCAGGTTAATCTGTACGATTTTTTATGGTTACATTTATAAGCATTTTAATAGCAGACAATGGAATTCAACAACTCGTTGAATGGTCTGATTTTAATTTTTTTTTTAGTTGACTTTTTGTAATTAAAATTTTAAAGATACCTTTTTTTTAGGGTAAGATTTCTTTAGTTGCTATAAAGCGCAGTTGATTTAGATTTTCGTTTATACATTTTTTTAAAGAAAAGTATATACCATTAGTCAATCAAAAACGAATTTGAAAAGGGAAAGATGGGGTAAAATAAGTTTTTGCTTTAGATTAGCTCGTTACCTCATTAAATTAGTTTTATCTTAACTACAAATTTAAGTTATTCTTAACTCGCAACTTAATCAATATAAGTATATATTTTAACTTATCGAAGTTAATATAAATACTAGCCTTGTGTAAAAGTTAATCATTCTCACACTCGTATTATTGCGGTCAGAAATTACATGTTTAAAATCAAAGTCTATAGTGCTCTGTCGGAAGTTTTGGTTTTTTAAAAAAAATAATAAGGTGATCGAAATCAGACTCTACGAGGCGTAAGACTTTTTCTCGTTAGATATTTTAATGATGAATAACTTCATTATTTCATAAGATATGAAAACTAAAGTGGATCAAGTGACCATTTTTTTGTAAAACGAGTTTTTGATCATAAATTATTTGTCAACGATATGTTTTTTATCTGTGTTTGTCATAAAAGTTTTCTTCGATTTTTGAAATACATTTGAAAAAATAGTGTACGGACATCAGGCATCACCATTGATTGGTTAAATCATCAATAGTCATTCACCATAAAAACACATTGGAAATACAGTTTGTATTTTGCTGTCCTGTAGAATTTGATACGATACACTTTTATCCTATCCGTTCATTACAGCTGCATTCACGTTCTCGCCGTTGTGCGAAAACAAAGATTCAGACTTAGGATTCCCATTTCCTTTGCTGCCTACACTACTGATCGATGAAAACCCAGCACTCGCTCTTAATCCAGAATCACCGTTTGTGCGTTGACCGGTGTTCTTTGTCGGTTTACAGCTGATGTCGGCGTGTGTGTTCGACCCAGCCAACGGCCAGTATGGCATGCGGTCGCATCCAATTTACATGGGAAATCCCGGACCGGCGTCGGAGCCGATTCCCGGGCCTTTCCTACCGGTTTTGCCGATTGTGCCGAGGCTGTCTCCGTACACCGTGTTCCGAATGCCACCTGTCATCAACGCCAATCCCGTGCCCATTGTGTCCAACTCATTAGCACCGGCCAAGAACCACCGTCTGGCCGACCAGTCGGAGATGTCACAGTTCCAATCGCAGGATTCCGACGGCAGATTCGTGTTCGGATTCAACACGGCCGACCAGTCCCGAGTGGAAGCCAGAAGTGCCGACGGAACGGTCCGAGGGTCATACAGTTACACTGACCCCATGGGTAAACAAGTACAGGTGTGTGTGTGTGTGTGTGTGTGTAGAACCTTACTTAGGTCGACGATTAAGGAGTCGTTGTCGATGACGGTAAAATGGTAATATGTTTTGTGTGCAGGCACAATACTGGGACACGGGAGCTGGTTTTCATATCACCGGCAACAATGTAATGTCTTCGGATTCGGGACACATTCAAGACACTCCCGAAGTGGAACAGGCGAGGAACGAACACTTGCAGCTCTACCAGCAGACATTAGCGTCGATATTCAACAACAACAAGTGAGCGTTTGCTCTTTTATTATTATTATTTTTTTTTTTATTACAGGGTCTTTAACGGTAAACCTGTTTGTTTTTTTTTTTTATTATTCTTCTCTCCGAGCACAGGTTTAACGAACAGATAAACGAGGCGGATCAATTCGAAGACGATCAACGCGATGACGGATCGCCCCCGAAGGAAGAAAACGAGCAAGTCATCGTTTCCACTGCCGAACCGTCGTCGGCGGCGGCTTCCAGTGCAGCTATTGTTGCGGATGATGAGACCGCCCAGCAGATAACCGCCACGAACTCCTCCACTGCTAATGGTAATGCTACTGCTGCTGTTTCCACTGCTACCGTTACGGCTACAACCACGACCACGACCTCCACCGAAAGGTCGGCCGTACCCAGTCAGGACGCGGATTGGACGAATCAAGAATACGACGACGACACCGTCATCGTGGATAACCCTAATCTGATGCGGATAGCCTGGAGCACCGACGGAAGTTATAGGTACGCCAAGAGGGCCGATTCCAGGGATAAGAAATCGGTGAAGATGTTCGGCGACAGATTGGTCCCGCTCAAGTCGTACGTCAAAAGAGTGTAACCGTGTCGCACGCTCGCTAAAATTGATATTATTATTATTATTATTGATGCGTATTAGGACTGTATAGTTTATTTTGTACTCGTACTCCGTTTGCCGAGAGAATAGGGTTGCGCAGAAGCAAAACAGCGTTACTAACGAATGCGCCTGCGAGGACAGGAGTAAAGCGTTTTTGTTTCTGCGCAGCCATAGTGTTCTCTCGGCGAACATAGTATTAAGTCTAGCTAGATTGTGTGTGTGTGTGTGTGTGTGTTTTTTTTTGTGTAATCACGTTTAAGTATCAAACCTACACAATGTATTTAATCATCATAATAATATTGTTAAGGATTATTGCGCTTGCTCGCGTGAGCCTTTTTTCGAGCAAGTGGAATATTCAAAATTACAATTTTTGAGAGGACGCTACACTGTACACGTTACCTGTATTTGTACTGATAAGAAGGTTTCCGTAGAAAATAAATAGAAACTCATTTCTTGAACGGATTGGTATTAACTAAAATAGCGCGTCGTTAGTTCTATTGTTATTTTTTGCTTACCAAAAAGTATAGTAAACTTTGGTTGTATAGGTCTGCGATTAATTTCCATTTGCTACTTTTAAACAGCTTTTCATTTGATTTCATTAAATATATATTCAAGTATATTTTTTTGAAAAAAGACCAGGGCGTTTTTTCCGAATTGTAATTGGTTTGCTTCTTCCGGTATTAGACGTTTTAGTGCTAATATACCTTTGAAGTAAGTATGTAATAAAATACTTTGGAGGTTACAATATGTATAAATTATTGGAAAACAAATCCGTATAGCGTTCTCATTAAAAATGTACATGATATTTTCCTAAAATTGTATTTATAATATTTTATATTCGTGGATAAGAAAATCAATATTATATATTTATTTTTAATTTTTTAATAAGTTTGTCTATTTTATTTGAAAGAAAAATATGATTGTTTAAAAAGAAGAGTGAAATACCCATTTTGTATCTTGTAAGTAACTCAGATGACACTTTGGTAATTATACATAGAGCCAAGTTTGGTAACTGTAATCAAACGGGATGGGTGTGAATTTTAAATAAAATAATTGATAGTTTTTCCACTTTAATTAAACGTTTGAAATTATTAAATTATGCTATATAATGTGCTACAAAAATAGATAAAGCACAACAATTTTTGTTCACAATTACCTCGCTTGATCTTAATATACTTAAATAATATTAGTGTATTTACTCAAAAAATGTGCACTAATGTACATACTTGCTTGCTTGTAACACATCATTTCTTTCAAAATTGCTATTATTTGAAAATATATCTTCTAGTAACTAGTAAGTACATTTCAGTAGCATACCGTTGGTAAAAATATGGCAGCTAAAATTGACGGATTCTTCAATAGTCGTGATGAGTAAATATATATTATATAATTATTTAATTGAGATAACGTTAATTATTAGCATTATCACCTGATATCGTCTGCCATAGTATGTGCGGTTAGCAATGTTAACATATTGAACCATTTTTGTAAGCATATATACTTAGGTATACATATCCATTAACTTGGCTACTGTTTGAAGACCTGGTAAGTGACAATTCAAATTTTCAACTGACAAATTAAAAATAAATATTTTTTCTTTCCCATATATCAATATGGCCTTTGTGAGATTCTTTGTTTAATTGAAACAAATAGTTTACGATACAAAGTACAAGTATAATATTGTTAAGAGAACGATATAATATTGTTATCAAAATTAAGGAGTAAAATATAGGCAATTTGTTTGTAAAATTTGTATTGAAACGGTTAACCATAAAAACTATTGAGAATACTTTTCATGCAGTATTAATGATTATTACCTACTATTAAAACAGTGATGAGGGTTCTATATTGGTGGCTGTTTAGTTTGGGAGACCATAACAGCAAGTTTTATAAGAGAAATAAATAATTTTTTCCATAAAACGATTTGTTTTGTTTACAACAGTGATGTAGGATTACCTTTTAATCATTACTATTAATTTTTTTTTGGAAACCGATTGTCAAAAAATTAAACTATTTTTAAAATAAAGCTTTATAGTTTGCTAAAACTAAATTAGTTTAAGTTTTTAGTTTTTTAGTTTACATATATGATTAGGTATAATATTATAATTTATATGTTAGCAATAGTAATGCCTATCTTGATAAAGCTAATTAGTAATTAATCGTATTGTGTTGCGATTTTTTTTTTATGATTTAAAAAAAAATAATGAACCCTTAAGGCAAATATTCCAGTCATTATTCAGCGTTAGATACTTCATTAATATTGGAACAATAAGCTAAAATACCTTGATGGCTATTTCGTTGTATTCGTGTATGACGTTTGAGATAATATTTTATTGTCCCACAGATAAAGAAGTAATTAAAATAAGAATGCCATTTGTATTATATATACCTACTTTAATGAACTACAACGGAGGATAAAGATAAGTAATTGACATCTGAAAAAAAAGATTCAACATTTCACAGCATTATAATTCAGTATAATAGTAAAAGGATGTAATAAAATATGTCTTGGAACTTCAAATAATTATCTAGGCCCAACAAATGTTGTTTCTAAATTATAATATTCAAGTTAAAGCTTGCATTTTTGGGGAAAGAGGTAGATAGAGCTCATATAGTAGTTGGAAAATAAGTTATAATAATTGTGTTGAATATATATATACTATAATACAAATATTCGTGTAAGAATTTTTTTTCGTGGGTAATTATTATAATCCTTCAACCGAATAATAGGAAAATAAAAAGAATAAAAAAACAGTCATGTATACGTTAGTATCCATACTAAATAATATAATAAATTATTAATATATAATAGAAAAATAAATAATTTAAACTATATATACACATTTAGTATTTTGTTGAGTATCTTAAAAAATATAATATAATTCAAACAATTATACAGAAACAAACAAAAAGCTTTTGTTTAATTTAAACGTTTAAAAATAATAAGTTAATATAAATATTTAATTTTTAAATTAAAACATTATTATAGAAGTATATATATATTATGCATGTATTACAACATAAGTAAATATTGAAATATAAATAAATCACAAATGTATACAGTCAATAATGTAAATATGATCGTCATGATTAATATTATACGAATTTGTACACATTGTGTAGTTAATCATATTAGTTTATTTTCATAACTAATAATCAATAGCATATAATAGGGTCTCAGGCAGTACTCTCGCTGTGAGTGATAAATAGTTAAGAAAAAATAGTAAGTATACAGTCTATAAACTTGTATTTTTCTTGTCTTTTTCTCGAAAGACGATTTATAAAATATAGATTTTCAGACATATTTTGTTCATGTCGGTGGACAATGATATTTATAAATATTATTTACACATTTAATAAATTATTATGATCTTAGTGATCAAAAAACTTGGTCATTTTTTTTACAAACATTTATAATTTTTTTTTACAGTTTTTAAGTCGAGTCTACGTCAAAAACTCAATGTCGTGCAGGTCCTCTTGTATGGCAATAGTTCGGTAGAGATTGGCCATGAGTCCCAAAACGTCTTTGGGCTCTGAGTCACCGCTACCTTGACTGCCTGTTATGTAGCCAACCATTCCAGAAAGAAGCCCTCCAAAGGCGGTCACCATGTCAGGAACGTTGAAAGTGATTGGGAATATCGGTACGGCTTCTACCAAGTCGCCAATCGCTGAATAAAATATTCGAGCCATCGCGGGGACATCCGTACTGTAAAAGAAAAACAAAATTAATCCAAAATTGAAAAACGACATAACAACATATATTATTAATATGTACTGCGTATTATGTAGGTAAGCTGCAGTCTGGTTAAAAATACTTTAAAAATAAATTTGAAATACTGTATAATACTATGTAGGATCCAACGTCTTTTCCTTTGAGGGAAATATGGTATTTACTTTTTAAATCTATTTTGAAAAATTATAAAATTCTGTACTTGAAACTTACTTAATAGGAACACAAAAGTCCGATTTATCACAAAAAAAGTTTATTAGCTATTTAAAAGTCTTGTAGTTTCTTAAGAAAAATACACTGTATTCCTACTGTATAGATATGTATCAAAGTAAAAATTATTTGATGATTATTTTTAACCAGAGAAATCATACCGAAAAATTCACTTTCGGAATTCGAATGCCTTTAAATCCAAGAAACAGAAATCCTAATAAGATTTTTCTTCTCTTATATTTTCCTAATGTTATGCCTCGTACCTTTGTCTCGAAAATCGTATTTCCTTGTTTTATAATTATCGTCAATTAATGTTTTTAATTTGGTTGGTAGACTTATGACTAGAACTTTTAACCTTATAGCTTTTGAGTTAGTTGTCAAAATGTTAACCTTTATTCTCTTGAGTATCTTTAATAATAGTTGGTAAAAATCCCAGTTTAAAACATAAAATCTCAGTTTATACATATGGCAAAAAAACCACTTGATAAGATAATTTGGCTAAACTAGATAGGTTTAACTACACCAAATGTAATCTAAACCACTGTAATTATAAATTAGTAATTATTATTCTATACACTACAAACTTCCTGGATAAAGAACCGCGTTTACTTACATATAAATAGTATAATAATGCTAAACAAAAGTAGCTATAATATTGTTTGTCTGTTGCATACATACCACATAAAGATGCCCATGATAATTACATTAATTATGTATTTTATATTGTTTAAATGAATAAACCGTGTCTTAGGCATTGCGTACCCATATGTTCATAATTCGATTATTCCAGTATATTATAACTATACTAGTAAGATAGGACGCTCTCATTCATTTCTAAGTTTTGACCATTTGGGATGTACCTACCCATAAAATTGATGGTGTGTACCTAGTTTAATTTTTTTTTAAATACAATAAGATAGTGTTGAAATAAACCTGGTCTAATCTGGTTGATCGTTAAACATATTTTACTATTTATTTTTATGTTAAAAAGAAAATGGTTTTTATAAATATAAACTTTGTGTTGAACTGTAAACAAAAATTAAATTTTATAACTGCCATACTTTTTGAAAAAACAGCCTATTTTAAATGGGCGGTCACAAGTCACTATAAATGATGACTAAAAAGTTTTGATTTCTTTTAAAGGATAGTTGATAACATTCTCTGAGGTTTTGATTGCAGATCAGTAGGGTTAATTGTAAATAACATCTCAAGCAAATATTTTAGTAGCTTAATTTCTTTCCCGAATTGTTATAGAACTCTGTATTTGAAAGTTGGTGTGTTGTAAAACGTAGGACATTTTTCTTAGACACTCTGTTAATGGTTAAAACACATTTGGCAGCGGCAAGTCCAATCATTTTTTAAGTTACATTTTTAAACAATATTAGTTTTAAGCAAACGACTAACGTATAGTTACCAAAATAAAACATTTTTACTTGAATTTTTTGTAAATTTGTATTATATTATAACAATAATTACATCGACCATTGTAAACAATTTTGTGTCAAATAAAAATGCGTATATTATTTATGTACAAACAAAGGTTGGGTCATTAGAAATATATAAAACAAACAACTAATACTTACACAGTATTACTTATTTCCGTCGAAGGTTGTTTTGTTGGCATTAAACCCGATTCAATATTAAGCAATATCGACGAAATACCCGCTTGTACGTTGAACACTTGTAGACATAAAATTACTAAAGTTGTTACCTAAAAAAAAAAAAAAAATTATAAGATTAGAAAAATTAATGTTGATGAACCCACTGGCTTATAATGATGTTGTCTAGTACTTTGAACCCTGCAGTTTATCTTCATTTTTAACATACTAGATGGACAACCAGCTACATATATACAAGTTATAGCAAAATATAAATGTACCAGGTGCTTAATATGAAAGTTTGAGCTAATTGAACGTTTGCCTAACCAAAAACGTGAAAGTAGCACCGACATTGGACCAATAATAGCTGTTTTCAGGCTTGCTTCGCTTAAACTCTCAAAAAGTCGGAACCATACTACCTCATGATTTGTTTGAGTAGGGTTTACAGGTGAACTGTAGAACTAACGGCTATTAAATTATCTTTGGTACCAGAAATTCAAAAGAGCTAACTAGCATAGAACAGAATAAGGGCCTGATAAATTCAAATATTAGAAATCCTAATGAGAAAAATACAGCTAAATATTTATGGGTGTAAGATACCTTCCCAATACCATCGTAGTACATAAATTATTTAAATTAATGAAAATAACAAAAAATGTGTAAATTTAAATCAGTAGATGCGCTATTGTGAAATTTTAGTTGTAAAAATTATATAAATAAAAACAATTAAAAACCGTTGGACATATGATAATTTTAAATTTCACTTTTTAAATTTTAAATAAAAAACAGGTTAATTAACGAAAAAACTTGTTTGAAACGCCGTAAAAAAAATGATTTATGGGTTATGTTATAATAATTATAATTATAAATTGTATAAAAATACAGTTAGTCACAAATCGAGTAGATATTTTAATTAAAAATCTTATTTTATTACTAAGCGTTAAAAAGGGAAATCAAAATTACTGTAATAAAAATTGAACTGGAATATTTAGTTATCCTGTGTAAATTATGAAATTACATTTAACCCATGTACGATTTATTTTCTAAAAAAATAAAAATTATTACATGTTTTGTAAATTAATATTTTTTTATACCGTTGATTAAAGTTGCCGTTTTTTTTTTCATACTAAACTAAGTACTAACAACAGAAAAAAAACGATAAGAGTATTTCTACCGCATTCCACAAACAAGAACAATTTTAATATTGAATGTATTTTTGTATTTTGTCATAATGTTAAAAATATTTATTTATTATACAGTATAGGTAAACTCATCTAAATTTACATTATTGAAAACGTATGCTGTCTTATCTTCTAAAGTGAAATGATAACCGACAGTTTTCTCCGCAGCTTATTCACAAGTATAATGTATATTTTTATATATATTTGTACAACTACTAAAATGTGAAACAAATTTACAGGCTCCCGCATATTTAATTCTGTATCCTATACACATATTATAAACCTTCTTATTTATTTAGGTGAACCATTCCGTTTCCCTGGATGCGACCAATAGGAAAAAAACTGGTTTCTTCATCTTATCGTTTGTTATTTTTTTGTGTAATATTCTTGGAAAGTGGAACTGCTCTAAGAACTTGTTATTCCGTATCTAATAGAATCTAGGTAGATAATTTCATTAATGATTAAAAAGACCGTAATAGAGTATCGTCACTGATCGGAGTTACTGATTTGAATGTTTAACAAACAGGAGTTGAAAAATAATTACTATTATAAAATCATATTCTTTATTAATAATGATTTTTTTTTATTTAAAAGTTGTCCAAAGGTCAAATGCATTTCTTTAATGAAAGCTTTAATTTTTTACTCAGAAGACAGAAAAAGTTCTGTGAACATCCAATACGATCTTAAAACATGTAAAGTAGTATATCTCAAAACAATAATGATTTATATACTTAATTTTTTTTTTTTAATATTTCATTAAACAATTATAAGATATTTTTTAAAACACATTATTTTATTATTGTTAGCTAAATGTTTTTTTAAACATCCAACACATACTCATATAATATTAGGCTTTAAATTGCTATGCTGGGTTGAATCTCCAGCCATAAACAATTTTTTAAATAGTTTATGGCTGGAAATAATAAAATAATTTTTTGACCAAAAATGTTAAGTTTCAAATCAGTGTTCCAAATAACTATTCATAAAACTTTAAGTACAAGTTTTTAAAAATAAATTATTCAAAATATATTTGTATTAATTATCTCTATCGACAAATTTCATAAAAACGATAAAACTAAAATTTTTGAATAAAGGTTAAAATTCTATTAAAAACATTAATCTTTTCTACCAAAAATACCTCTATTGGAACCAAACTGGTGTAAATTTCACTTCAGCTTAATTTATATGCACAACATTAAAAAAAAAAAAACTTGAATAAGTTAAAACAAAACTGTTCTAAAAAAAAATAAAAGTTTGAGAACAGAAACTTTTACTATATAATCAAATGATAAGAACATCATATGTCTGTACATAAATTGCTTTTATTTAAGATTGAAATAAGAATCGTTCAATGAGGTAAAATTTTAATTTACAGTTTAAATTAAAGGTTAATAATTACATATGATTATTTATTAGGTGTCGTTGTAGTGTTGGAAATGTATTTGATTACATGGAATCCATTTGATTACAGTCTCGGGTGTGTAGCTTCCCTTGTCTTTCCATCAAATAATAATAGTAATTTAATTTCCTTCTCGTCGTCTTCGGGTAAAGCCGATGCACTGTTATTAAAGTATATACTTTTTGTTCGGCGGAAGAAAGTATAAAGTGTTAAAGCAAGCAGTGTGGTCATTATATAATTATAGAAAATATAACTCTATACCTCTTAAAGTGTAATTGATCAAGACTTTAAGTAGGTACTAGTCACGGCTGTTTGTGTGTAAAACTCGTTTTACTTTTTCCTTAGAATTCTATGGTAATTTAACCTTAACCCGTCGCGTCCTTGGGTAGGACTTCTCCTCTAGTTCATCAATCATTTTATTTTTTGAAATTTGTATTGTAATTAGATAAATTACATTTTTTAATTAAAAAAAAATATATATTTAATCGTCTTGTAAATATAAAATTAATAAAAAATCGTTTTGTACCGTGTTGGGATGCATCCACAAAGACCGGGTCCTTCCCGGACGTGCGTTTTGAATACCGGATCTTCTTTAAGTGTTTGATTATTATTTAGGCCTGAAACCGGTCGAGACACACAAACGGAATAAAAGACGGCCAATATCAAAGTATGAAAGCAATAAAAAAAAAGAAGAAGATAAGACTAATAATTTATGTATTTGCATAAATTTATAGACTAATAATAGGTGTTTAATTATCATTGTCGTTTTGTTGCAAGCTGTGACTTTTGACTATTACCTAATATATTATTATTGTGATGAAGCCTGTTTACACTCATCCTTGTGTTACACCGAACCAAATAACGTTTCTTAAATTAATCGGGTGAGGTAGAGTATAAGAAATATATCTACTACAAAAATAATGATAAGCCGATGGGTTAAAATACTTGTATGATTAAAATAACAAAAATAAGTGTTGTACAATTTAGAGCATAAAATAAAATTTTAATTTTAACAAATTAAATTTGATAACTGTTATATTTAAATCAACAGTTTTCATCTGTGTATTTGCAAAATTATTTTATTTAAAAAAAGAAATCGTTTTACTAAAAATATTATTATTAATACAATAAAACCATCGTTATTAAAATGAATTTCCCTTTATCTATAAGTTCATAGGTTTTTAGTACATTCAAATTTTTTAATGTTGTATTGGATGTAATATAAATTGATTAAGATTATATTTTAATTTTTAGTAAGATACTCGGTTGTGTGTTGGTAGGTCCTGGCTTTGTCTAAACCCTTTCCCTTCCACAAAAATCCAGATTCCCCCAAGAAACTTCTGGACTTTTAAAAGTACCTGACCTAACCTTGTAGTGATGTATGCAAAATAAATGTATTCATTGAAAATAGTATAAGATTTTTCTTATAATACTTAGTATTACAATACTTTAGGAAAAATCACTCAAATAAAAAAAAAAACGGATATCCTAATTTATCGGATTTGAACAATTTGTTTTATTTACAACACTTCTATTTACATATTTATTCTTCAATACTTGGGTCACTAAAAGTAGGTATAACGCGGTAATGATTTGAATAAATAGAAAAAATTATTATGGTAATTAATCGCGTAACTTAATAATTGGCTCGATACACGACTTGTATGGGCAATGAAATATAACATTGATTTATGTAAAACGTTATTGAATTATTTTAATACTTTCAATTTACAAGTGTTATTAAACACTGCGTGACATAATGAATTCCAAATTACAGGTAAGTGAATTAATGGGATTTATTTAGGCGCTGTTTAAAAATCATCCGTTTGCTCACCGCTATAATATACATACTGTATTCCCTTAGCATTGCCGTCTCAGCTTAGCAACAAAGCTAAAAAAGGTAATAACAAAACTAAACAAAATTGTATGTAAAACTTTCATTCCTCGGACAATCACTAAACGAACAGGTTTCACAATACTTTGTATATCTCTCAGCTCCCATTGCGATACTGCTTAGAGTCAAGGTTAAATGGCATATATATTTCTCTTGGACTTTTTTTGCATTAATAGTGGAAATCAATCGAGACATACTAAGAAATTTGCAAGGCTCGGAAAGTTTACTAGATTTCTTTTGTATTGAAATCGTTAAGGTAAAGCAAATATTATTATTAACTGGGCAAAACAACAAGTTTAATTTTATTTTCACTCGACTGGGTTTAGTTTTAGCACATAATATCAACTTAACAAACCAGGTATCTCAAGTTAATATGCAAAACAAACAAATAAAATACACATATAAATCCAAGATTTATGTTAGACATTTGTCTGATTTGCACTGGTAGTACTCGTAGTTATTACCATACTAAACATGTACTTTTGCTCCAAAGTCTCACATCAAAATATTATAAAAGTTATAACTAACATTGAAGAAATTATAATTCGAATAATAAATTCAACTTATTTTTTCAAATAATAAAAACTAAAAAATACACTCCGGTGGCTAAGAAATTATTATTTAATTTTTTTTTTAAACTAAATACTTTATTATTATTTTATATGAACAAAAATCCGGTTAGTTGTGTTCTCCCATATGAAATCCGGGAATGTATAAATTAAAATGTCAACAAATTTGAATAAATAGTTTTCTCTTACAGTGTTACATTACACTGTGTCCGAAAATCTTAGATTAAATACGAATGAATTAGAATAAATGTTATTTCCATATTATATTGACTACTGACATTTAAGAAAAATGCATTAATTAATAAATAATTTATTTGTCTGGCGTGGAATGAGTTGGACGGTACTTCATAAATCAAATCCTCACTTGAGTCTATCTGAGAAGGGAATTTCTGACATAAAACCGGAAGCTGGAATACATAGCTACAGAAAGCACAACAAATTATTAATAAAAAATATTTATTCATTTTCAAAAACAACTCTTGTAAGTAATAACCGAGCAATTTAATTTCAAATTAATCTTAACAAAAATCGTTTTAACGTTTAATTCAGTAAATTTCCTTTAAAGGCAGTATAAAATAATTCATTAATTTCTATTGAGTATATAAATGAGCACACAGAGAGTAGGATTTATCCTGAAATTAATTAGAGAGGCGCCTTAAAGTTAATTCTAGTTAAATCGGGGCAGCTGTCATTCCTTTTGGTCAAGTCATAGAGAAACCTAATACCTTCGATTGGCAACGTGCTCAACGCCGTCGTGCAATTTTTCAAGTAAAAAAATTAGTACACATTTGCTAATTTCTGAAAGCTATAACTCTTAAAACAAACCCAGATCATGTCACAGTGTGTTATTTGTAAGCCATTAAAGTCCACGCACGTTCTCGCGAGGTACATTAACGCTTTCAAACAAATCCAAACAGGCATTAAGTAACGAGTCTTAGATTCGAATATTTGTGAAACACTATCTTTGTTAGGTGACATAGTGGTAGAAAGTACTAAACAATTTTCGAAGAACGAATTATTTTATTTTATTTTTTCACTTCCCATAATTAAAATGCAATTATAAAACATTATAAATTCCTAACCCGTTGACATTTCAAATAACTCATACAAAATACTTGGGAGGCCCTCCTCCCAAATTTGTTTGCCAAGTCCATCCACCACGTTAATATTACTGACAGTGATGCTATATTATTATTGAACAATTGAAGCTAGCTCTTGTTTTGAGGATGTTGAGTATCTCTAAATTGTCGTTCATACGAGATAGGGCTCATATTTTCCTGTTTTTACAATATATATGTATATATTTAATGTTATTGCAGCTTCATCGCAACCGAAAAGAAGAAACTTTTAAAAGCGAGTCGTTGGGTCCGTTAAGCGTGGCCGTTAAGATTTCTACAGTCAATCAATAAACAGGCTTTCATTTTTATATGTATCAGAACACATTGTGATATGTAAATAGTTTGACAGAGCTCCAGTCTGTGTTTTTGAATATTAAGTATTTTATTATAATATCCCGTTGTTTTTATATTTTTTTTTGTAATGTGTCTAATAATAATGATTGACATTTGAAAGTAGGTTATCGTTTCGTGTTAAACTTTTACTCTTTAAATAAGCGAGAAATAATATAATATAATACATGAATAGGTGGCCAAAACTGCAAGTATGGAAATATACTAACAAACATATGAATGTAACTAATACTAATGAATATTTTCGACACACCTGCTTAATCAATCTCAAATCAGAAAAATAAGTATTTTTAAATTAGGTAAACTAAGCTTGAAACTATAATCAACTGATTATATTTGGGTTGTAAGATTTTACAACTTTTAGGTTTTGTGTTTTTATTAACCTACGGAGTATAAGTGGTTTACAACATAGTTCATACAATTTATAATTTCAATGAGTAATAATTATGTTTTTTTTCCAACATCTAACAAAACTAATAAACAAATAAAAGATCTCATATTAATAAAATATAATGTTTGATCAAAAACAAGTTTAAAAAAAAAATGTCTCATACCCTTTGGTTTTCAACACTTCAAATGACAGTGATGAAAATACACAGGTAAAATTTTTATTTATAAATGTTTCCTTGAATATTTACAATAATAATTGTTAAATAATCATTAAATGTTAAATAACGATGAAAAATATTTTTAAATCACGTTTTACCTTTTTGGCGAAAACTGGAATATATTATTAGTATCACAAAATATATTTGTAAACTATAAAAGTATCAGCTTATTTTTATAATTCTGGTAATAATATTTGTATTGAACCGTTGAATAAAACATTTAGTTTGAAGTTTGGCAAGACATTACATTATATGAGGAAGATTAATATAATTTTTTTTTAATGTAATTTACTGTGTGAAGTATTATTCGTTTGCGAAATTAATGTTTATATAATTTTATATGTTATATTAAATATTTAAAATACTAATAATATCGTTTGAATAATTAAATCAATCTTTTATCAGACACTATAACAATTATAAATACAACTTTGTTTTTCGACACAGAAAACCATTATTTCTTCATTGAATACTATTGATTGGCCTACTGGTTTTTTATACGGCTGTTAATACAACTGCGAACATTCAGACCTCAAATAAAAAATTATCTAAGTTATTTTTTTAAGTTTTAGAAGTCACACCTAATTTTCAAACAAGGATACACCATACGCCCGATGAGCGACAAGAACGCCTAGGTTTCACCAGTATTAACTATAGTAATAATAAGATTATAAGATATTAACATAATATAACTCGAGCATATATTAAATGGGTGTTTATGTATACATATATTTATACTTATACGTATATTCATGTGTATAAACACCAAAGCTTCTCTTCGACCTTGAGCTCTTTACTGTATACAGGCCATGACTGTTGGGTTGTCTTAAAAGCGAGAAAGATTAATAAAACTGTGTGTTAGTCATACAGAAGCGACTTAATAATTATACTCATCACTTATTCCAAGAGAAAGTTTAAATAATTCTTGTTGTTGGTATCATCAAGACAAAATTATTCATTTTATTGGTTTTAGATGTTGACATCCATTCGTGACACCCACATATAAACACCACCTCTTCTCTAATACTAAACGACCTTAGTGTAAACTTGAAGGAAAAAAAGTGGAAGTATTTGCCTGTACAATTATTTACCGAGACAAACCATTTTAGTGGATAATATCGTACATTTGTAGTAGGCAGTTGCTTTCAAGTGTGTAATTGAAGAGATTAGTTTGACATCGAGAAAAGTTCATGGCCTTGAATAATTTATTAATAAATAAATGTATCCTAGAAAATGCTATTCAAGTTCATTGCCAATGTCTGTCCTACCAATGTCACATCAGATAGCATTAAAATATACTTGTTGGACTTTATACTAGATGTCAGGTTAGGCTGGGCGCAGCATAACTGGAATTTGCAACATAAATTTCAGTGGCTACCCCAAGTGTTGTAAAAACTCAGTACGGGGCGGTTATCTAAATAAAATTCACTTAGGTTAGATTAGGATACAAAATATTTATTTATTTTTAAGTTTTAACGTGCCCAATTGCCCAATTAAAATGTCAAAAATAGTTTTAAAAAAACTGTTCAAATTGTGTAATTTTAGACCCTGGTATAATGGAGAAGTAATTTTGCTCAAAAATGTAATTTATTTTTAACTGTTTAGTTAAATTACTTAAGTCAGTAGGAGTTCCGCTACTGGGTGGCCTCTCCACAAGTTATTCAGGTTTTTTTTGTATATAATATCTTCTTCTACAAATGTTTATTGTATATTTTATACAGATTGAATTTTTATTTAAAAAAAAAAACAAAATTATTTAATATTAATCTTACCTAGTAAAATAAGTAGGTTTTTTGAAATTTGTAAAAATGTATTTTAAAACTTGGAAAAATATGTATAACAACTTGATGATATTTAAATAATATTTTTTATGAACAATACATAAGAAGTATCACAATTCTTGTTATTTGCCAACAAAACTTGTTAACCAACTTCAAAGGTTAAAAAAAATTGAAGTGTATTATTTTAAGAAAACCCTTGTCTTTATATTATTGAAATATTGTCATGCAGTGTGAATACTTTTAACGTTTTTTTTAAGTATAATTTTTGACCTATTTTATTATTACCAATTTAAAGTAAAAAATCCAATAACGACCCGTTGCGGTAGTTAACAGTTTTAGATAATAGATTACATTATACAAATCGATACCAAGTTTTTCCTCACATTTACATCTTGTAACGGCGATAAATATATAAAATCACAGTAATACCAAGCTGTTATGGACTTCACATAGAAAATAAAAATAATTTAAAATACACCATTCAATGCGATTACCATTTACCAGTTAAATAATCTGCTAATGACTCGTTATGTAAATGCTAATTTGAATATTTTGAAATATTTCTGATTTATTAGGATGACACCGCAAGACAAGCAAGTGTAAACTTGTAAACATAATGGAAAAATGATAAGTTTGAAAATATATTACACGTTTTTTTCCCCTTAGGTATATTCACGACCGGATTTATTCTTAAATAAAACTTAACTCTACTATTGTTTTAATAACGATAATATTACACTTACGACACAATACAGTTTGTTATACTTCCAATATCCATTCATGGTTGAGCGTTGCTTGTGTTGGAACTTGAAACGAAAATGCAATAATTTCAAGCACAGTTTATGACTAAACGAAAAAAATCCAAGTATAAAACCGTGTGTTTTTGTACTTAAACTTGTAAGTAATTTGTTTTTCCCGTTTCTGGTATTGCACTGCGTGTGTCACGTTCGCGCGAGAGTCACGTTAAGACTGAAAATACTTTCTTTTTAGCCGTTCCACCAAGAGGCTATAATATTATCATCAGATCAGGTTCTCGGGGTAAGCAGTATGCTCGGTAGTTTAATATTGAACATTCTATGTATATTATAAACAAGATAAAAAAACCCGTAATAAGTATAAATAACCATAATACTATTATTATTATTATTATTATTATTTATTTCAATAGGTACAACCTTGCAAATGGCAGAAGATCTCGGCGAGTGGTATATGTTGTTGTTTTTGTAAGTATATTATTTTTTTTTTATCAGGAACTTGTAAAATAACTTTTGGTCTTACCGGAGGCGTCGAATTTAACCTGTGGGTACATCATACTATGTACCCACAGGTTAAACTCGTCGGATTTTTCAAAAATAAAAGTAAGTATGTTTTTTTTTTTTTTACAAAACGGCACAAGTGAAATCGTCACGTTTTTTGAGATTTATTAGTGAAACTTACCGCGTACAGCTGTTTGAGTACACAATATTACAATACTATCAATTAAATACAATAAGAAAACTACACGAATCGTTAAATAAATAAATAAATAAATAAATTAGTCAATAAATAATTAATACACACGTGTAACACGGTTAATGGTCTTGGGTTTTTTCGGTGCTAAATTTTCAATAAAAAAAAAAAAATGTAAAAAGATGGTATAATTTTAGCAGAAATCGATTTTAACTGTTCTAAAATAAATTATGTTCTGTCAAAAGTCTGATCTATGACAGTGAACCTCAATTATATTATTAATATGTGACTTATTGTTGACAATTTGTCATATAACAATTTTTTTTCAAACTACAATTTCCCGGCTTTAAACTCTTTTATTTCAGGGTGATAATAATTATAAAATTATGAACTGTTTGGGAATTTCTCCAAAGTGATAGAAGAGTCGTTATATTTCTGTGGTTCTTGTCTCTTATGGTATTAGTCAAAAATACAAAATTAAATGCTTGAAGTAACAAATAGTATATTTTGTCACGCTTTTTGGTTATTACCAATTGTAAAATGAAAAGGTTTAATTTTAAAGCTAGTAAAAATTAAATTAACAAAAAGTTAAAAATAAAACTTTTTTTTTAATAAAACAATGCCAGTATTTTAATATTTTTAAATACCCGCTCTTCCAATCGTTTTAAGAACTTGAAAATATAATATTAGCAGACTCTATTTGAGGATCGGTTCGAACTTTTTTTTTTAAATACTACTTTAAACTTAGGATAAGTAATAATATATTGATAATTATGTCAACATTTGGTATAATTTTTATATTTCAATTGTTTATTATGAGATTCAAAGTTGATGAGGTGTCCTAGTATTTTAAGTAAATATTAAAGCTATCATCACCACCCCAAATTCAAAAGCAAAGTTCAAGTAGGTAAATATTCCACACAGCAAAAATATATTTTAAAATTGTTTACCTAACACTATTAGAACAAATATATTTAGTGTTGTAAATGTATTTCTTAATCATATTTTGGCAGGAAATCAACTAATTAAAAGCACATTAATGTTTCAATAATAATTCTGAAGTAATAAAATTGTCTTGCAGTAGAAGGGAAATATTTTAAAAATATGTTTTTTATCTCTTGCAGAATTATCATTTTAAAAATGTTTTGCAATATTGCAACAATTATTAAAAAGTGTTATAATTGTATAATATATTTTTGCTGCATGGGCATAAAAAGGCTTAAAATTATGAAAAAATATTCCTCTAAATGTGTTTGGAATTTTATCTTATTCACTTTTCCCCCCTATTTTAATAAGAAGCTTTTACATAGACTTGGCCACCGTTGGTATAACATATCTTTGGAGCGGATTGACAACCTTATCTCAACTATCATTCAAAATATTATTCGTTTGAAATCTATAGCTAAATGTTAAAATTTAATTTTAAAATCAACTTATTTAATTTATTCTAGAGTTTATTTTTATTTTTTCCATAACGATTAAACATTTATAAAAAGACTAAAGCAAGTCTGTGAATTTATGTGTGCTTTAAGTTAAGATGTGGTCATCACAACTAGATGTGCCGTGTTCCCATTTTTCGCTAAACTGTAGGTTCTTGGTTTATCGTGTTTTACTAATCGTAGTCTTACTGAAGGCCAAGACTAGTTAGGTAAAGTCTTCTCGTTGTAATAGGAGGACAAGGAGAGAAAGATAAAATTTCAAATCATTTAGAGGAATATTTGTTCACAATTTAAAGCCTTTTTGGGGGGCTTCGACTTTAATTTAAAAAAAAAAATAATAATAACCCCCATTATTTATATATAACTTAATATATTATTTACAGGGTGTACTCAAAATAAATTTAGCACTCTAAGAGTGGTACTACATAGGGGATCATAAGAATAGATTTTTTGGAATTTTTATTTTATGCCGACAACTTAGGATTTTCCTAAGGGTTTATTTGTATAAAAGTTAAAGTATTCACACTTCATGCGGACTCATCAATACATGGATGTGTCTTGCAATCTAGTATCTCTAATATCTTATCTCTAATCTTCTATCTCTATTAATTCACCTCCATACTCCTCTATAATTCCTTAATACTCCTCCATAATCCATTATGACATCAGCACTGTGACACTTAACATGTCGGACAAATTTTCAGAATGACCTCCATTTATAAGACATATCCATGCCAATATCTATCAAAACTAAAGAATAAAACTTACCATGAACATTTTTCGGGAAATTCCATGATATGGTTTATTTTTATTTTTGATAGATATTATACAAGATATTAACCCGGAAAACCCTAAGTTGTTGACATATATAGTACCTACCATCCCGTAGAGTGCAATATTTTTTTTCTGGTACACCCTGTGAATACATCGGTGGGAAACGTACACTTAGAAGAACCCAGGGACAAATATTATGCATTGTTACACGGTGATTGAAAATAATTTCCGTTTAAACTTAAATTTATATGCCCAGGTATGCGTAATATATGGTTAATTATATAACCATAAATACCTAGGTATATGTGCGGATGGCTTTGGTTCATTCGTCCGAGTGAAACGCAGCGTACAACCTAGGGAAGAGGATCTGCTTGAGCCGGAGGATGGGTGGCAGCTGTTTGGGCTTGTGCTGGTATCCGTCGTAAGGCGATCCGGTGTTGGCCACGTAGTACGCCGGAGTCGGTGGGTTTGGCGGTAAGTAAGTCGGGGCCGGCGTGGACGGCGAGACTTTCTTATAGAAGTAAACCACCGTGGATCCTAAAGGTTCGGCGACCAGACTGTTGGAGCAAGGCGGTTTTGCAGTGGTGGTGGTTGTAGTTGTAGCTTCTTGGCATTTGGGTTTCGCCGTGGTTGTAGTTGTAACTTCTGGGCATTTGGGTTTCGCCGTGGTTGTGGTTGTGGCTTCTTGGCATTTCGGTTTCGCCGTGGTAGTGATTGCGTCGGGACAAGGCGATTTCGGAGTGGACGATTCGGGATAACCCTGTAACGGTGTGGAAGGCGGTTGTTCGTACGATGCCGGTTTGTTGTCGTTATCGTTGTCGAGTCGGTTAACGTTGGCCGACACGGGCTTTTGTTCGAAGGCGAAGTTTTCGCTCTCCAGCGGCACCGGTATAATGACTATCGTGCTGGTACCGTTGCAAGGCAAGACGACGTGGGTGTTGTTGGAGTCGTCGACAAACGCGTCGTCGCCGTCGTTGTCCGGGTTGTTGATGCCGGGCCTGGACAGTTCGTTCAAATATTCCGGCGGGTTGTAAACGGAAAAGTAATTTTGGATTCGCTGTATGAAGCGCTCGATGGGCGTGGGGAACTTGCCTTTGAACTTGTTGGGCATGCTGGGGTCCAAGCGGATCAGCGTGGGCGGTGCGTTTTGTTTGCCCGACTTTTCCGTGTCCGGCGGAAGCGCCAAGTAAATCTCTGTTGACTTTTTGGATCTGAAAAAACGGTTTTAAAGAAAAAAAAATTGCTCACAGTAGGTTAAAGTTAAATCTAAGAACTTCAATGCAAAATGCTTCGACTTGGAAACAAAATTGATGTTAGCAGTGACTGAAAAACCGCAGCCATCAGACATAATCAAAATAATAAAAGTAATCGATGACGTCATTCCTACAATCGGCTAGTCGACAAACGACATTCCACCGTTGTACCCTTTTTGTATGTTATCCGGTATAAAAATATACCAGAAGCAAGTTATTGAGTAGAGTTTTTTTAATAATTCGCCACCTTAAGCTACGCCCCCGCCCCTGCCATTTAATGACCTGTTCGTCCACCGGCGAATCCGTGTGTTAAAATTCAAAACTTAAAATTATTACTATTATTATAATCGTCTGGGCGTCTGTAACGAGGTAAAAAACGAATTCACTTTCTCTACAACCTACACGGGATTATTTTCATAATCGAGTGGCAAAATATATACCACTACTGTTTTCTTTAAATAACCGGAACTAATGGTATACGGGTTCTTCCTCTCGCGCTATTTAGTAATAGTAAATTATTACTACAAGATATAAGTATACTTATGACTATATTTTTTATGTATATACACGAGCAATGTTAATGATGTTCACCTTGATCTGACGGTATGATTATCTTCGGGTACATTGACGTTGTCCGCATTGCCGGAACGTCCGCAGCAGGTTAAAAAAACCACAATAACCTAATAAAATTGATGTATAAATAAAAATTATTATTATTATTATTATATGGTCATGATATTATCATAATTAAAATTTAAATGTGCAGCCCGTCGGCATAGCCGGTCGGTTGATGCTTTGAAACATAAATAATAAATTATAAGTATTATAAACAGCAAGTTCATTTAATATAATATCAATTGTTAAACAAACAAAACTGCTAATGTGACATTTAGACATTTTTTGAAAAAACAAGACCACCGTGTATAAGTTACTTCTGTTTTAAATATGAAAACTCGGCTCTACTAGACTCAAATATATCGTCGGTGCGCAAAAAATTTAGTTTAACGTTAAAATGCATTTTTTATTTAACATATTACATTTTTGTTTTTTTATGGTAATTTGACCCATCAGTTTATTTTGGGGAAAAATCATTCATACATTAGATCAAACACCTCTTTCGCTTATTGTAGATAATAATTTTTTTTTTTAAAGCTCCACCTAACTTGTCACTTTGACTTGAAAAACAATGAAGCCTGAACTAGGTAAATACAATATAACACATCGCGCACAAATCGCGCACAATAGTGTTAAGTGCAATTTTTGTGAATTTTTTTTTTTAAAAAATTATGATTTTTTTATTAAGAATTTTGTTTAAATAAAATTTGCCATAATTTGAGTCATAAAAGTGTTAATTTGTTCAAATAAAAGCTACACACTAATGTTTAATTGTTTGAAGAATATTATTTTGTTTTTACACTACAAGTGTGTGTTTACTGCTCAAGTCTTAACCGTCCGTTATTAAAATCCGAAGACTGAAATGTTGAGATCCTAATATTCCATATTGAGGTAGAGATATTTTACATGCGGTTTCAGAATGCGAAATGACAATCTTTATGCAAATTCAACAGCCACAAGTCGGACGGGTGTTTACGATTATTCGAAATTTTCGGCACATTTTTTTGGGAAACCAGTTGAACTTAACCAGTTTGGAGAAACTCAAAAAAATCTGCAGTACCGTGTTGATGAGCAATTAAATTTACCAACCACTATAGTTTGTGCAAAGTGTGTCTCTACTGTATTTTTGTGTAGTCCAGCTAGCCAAGTGGAGCACGACCGTTGTTCGGTCAGGAACATGTTCACTCACCAGAAAATGTAATCACTACCACTTTGAGTGAAGCAAAAATATAGCTATTATAATTATTATTTTGTGCAGTATGTGCCAAGTAAAACACTTGCGGTGAAAAAAACGTATGGTGTATTTTCAAACAAAATCAACTAAATACGAATACCTACTTCTATTGTTGTCGATGTCAAAATGTTGACTAAACATTCAGCGTAAAATACCTAGCTTATAATACATTTATATATATATATTTTTATTAAATAAAATAAAAAATCGTTTTTGATATTGAATAATACATTTCAAAAAAAAAAAATATCTCTAAACCAGTCAGGTACACTCACCCATATCTTAACGAAATCCATGGTTCCTCGTTGTCAAAACACAGCAGTGTCTTGTGCGATAATATAGCGAAGACTGGTCCGGCTCTATCTTGCCGGTCTATTGGTTGCCCTTCCATCCTCCGACCGGCAAAGTTCATCGATCCTTAAAACTAAATCACCCATCGTGTGTGTGTGTGTGCAGCTTAAGCCTATACCATAATCTGGTCGAACGTGTTATGATGGTTCCGACAGATTATTATCTTTATTATTATTACTGTAAGCCGTCTTCTTTGAAATAATATATTACTACACTGCAGTTCTGATACGGTATTCCGTTACCTTCCTACGGGTCAAAAGTACAACACCGACCAACGTTATACTATTATTATAATACCTATTTTGCATTAAATCGAATACGACCCGGAGCCCGCTTTGTATGTTCATTAGCATCATCCTAACGTGCCTATCGAAAAAAGAGAGTACACACAAAGAGTATAGCTGGTAAATATTGCCACGTGTATACAATTTCTCAGGCCCTTGTTTCACACCAACTGTACTTGTCGGGGGCGGACAGGAGAGAAAAAAAACTAACTGTCCTGCAAAAAATATAGTTGAGAGCGCTATCAAAAGGATTATTCAGAAAAAAGGCTCCTTAGGAGAAAGACCTACTTGAGTAGGCTAGTATCAAAACTCACATGTTTCAAACTTCGTTATAAAAGAAAAAATGCTTATCGGTTAAGTTTTCGGTCCAAAATACTTCAAAATAATGTAGTATAGATTTTTTTGTTGTTTAGAAAAACCCACTCCCGGTTTTTTGCTGAAAATGTGATTTTTGAATCTTGTGTGTTTTGATTCTAACCTACTCACGTGTGCTAAATGCATCCATGCGGGGCAAAACATGCATCTTAATTTTTCTAAAAATGGGTAGTTCAAACTTTCAAAATCGGTTTTACGGTGTTACCAGCTTGCTTAAAATGTTAAAGACATACCGATACCTACGTCTCAAGTGCAACGCTTGATATAATTTCTATAAAAAAGACAGCTTGAAGTAGGTCTGCGCCTGCCCATGCTCAGTTTATCGCCATTTTAACATGCTACACGACCTACTCGTTACAAATGTTTATAGTTTGAAGAAAGATGTTTAGTAGCTAGGATAATATTATATTGTAAAGTTATCGAAACGATGATAATAATTATTACCGGTTTAAAAAACTGTGAATTCCTTTGAGAACATTTTAGAAGCGCGGTAACCACAATAACGCCCACCTATACACGTTTCTAGTTACCTAATCAAGTTACTTAAATTTTATAGTACATACGTTACATTTTGTATAAGATAATTCCATGTATATGTATAATATATGTATTTATGTACTTGTAGATGTTAATGTTTTACGAATTTACATAAGTATACAGGTGTCCAGGGTTGGACTGAATTTCATAAATTGGAAACAAAATCTTTCTTCAGAAGTTGTGTATAGTCATGGTTTGTCTGCTAAAACTAAACAGCGCATATTCATAATAGTACAATTAATAGTTTCTGAAAGCGGACTGTACAAATAGTCCACAAAATATCAGCGCAAAGACTGACCATGTCTGACCACCTCCAAACATGTGTGAAAACAATAAATATCCACGCCAGCCACGATAAAAAAATGGTTAAAAAAATAATTTAATGCCGAAGCAACGCTATTCGGTTAGGTTCAGTGGCCCCTAATACAACATTTTAAGTATTAAAAATTAAACAAATAGAAAAAAGTTGCAATTTATCGGAGTCGTTAGAATTTTAAATTTCACTTTTTAGATATATAATAAAAAAATAATTTAATACATATAACTTGTTTATCGCGTCGTTAAACTATAATACTAGGTTAGTACTAGGCGTATTACAGTACTGTTTGTCACAGAATCGGTTGATTTTAATTTGACATGTAACGTAATTATTTGCATTTAAGACCAGAACAGAATTAATTTAAACCGACTCAAGATCAGCCAACCCTAAAGATGTACATAAAAAATTTAAAACCTACTTTAGGTATGGGTGAAATAGCATAAGTCAGGCGATCCGTTAAAAATGAAGTAGGTTTTATAATATAAAGTGTGAAAGCGATAAAACGTTTGCGGTTTGACTACAATGAGTGGTCGACTGTAAGTAAATGTAAATATAATAAATTAACGGACAACTCAATACAAAACCATAGAATACAATTTTTTTAAATATTCTCATGTCATTTTAGTGAGTGCGGTATAATAAAATAAAAAATAATGTACAAAAGTAATAAATATTCCGTTATCGCTAATTCCAAAACGTATAAAAGCCAAGCTAACCTATTAACGAATTTAAACACCAGAGAAATTTTTTCTCGCGTTCAAACGTTAATAACTATCGAAATTTGTAATGTTTTTCGATTAAATTATCGGCATATATACATGTTGTCCTTGTGATTTGTGTGCATTATCGCGTATAATCATTAAAAATGAAAATCAAAATTTATTGATATATCAATTAAAAGAAAAAAAATTATAGGAAAATCGAGAAGAACATATTAAAATTGTCGTCTCTCGATATAACATCACCATAAATAATATCTTTATTAGACATAATTTATTTTATTCGAAAGTGTATCATTTCTATTGATTGAACATGTTGGTTATCATATAAATCAAAATTTTCGTATAAAATTATCTAAATTAACGTTGTACAACAAATATGGTTAATGAAGGCAAATTAATGTGACAACTAAATATACATAGTACCTAAAAAATTACTCTCTACTCTTAAGGCGAGTGTTCTTCAAAAAATTATTATCGGACACAGTACAAATATTTTTAAATTACATTTTGATAGAAAAGATTATCTTAACTTTATATAACAATATTGAAAATAAAAGTTTTTTGAAATTAGATTGTTGATGTGTGCAGTAACTGAGTTGTAGGGAGTGAATTGAAAGTGTCAATTTCTTAATGTTAAAAATTCAAAATCGATCACTGGAAGATGAAAGCGGACTCGACCAGCTAACAGAAAGGTTACCAAAAAATTCTTGTCTGCAAACCCGGTAACTGTATTTTGAGTTTTAGAAAATATGTAAAATACAAAATTGATTTTTTTTTTGTATATATTACAAAATCGTTATGTGGTATTCAAGTATTCGGAAAAAAAAACTTCATAAAATAACAACTGTCAACTATGCACACGATATTTTTAATATATAAACAGTTTTAAAATGTTGTGTCCATATTTTGTGGAAAATATTATAAATATGTGATTTATTGAAAATAGTACATGTACAAGTTTTGATTAAACTTACAATATTTAGGAAATATTATTAAAACATTGAAAACTGTGACACTAACATTTATTGAGTATGAGCCATCTATTTTTCTTTTGCAAACATAAAATAAATAAACTAATATTAATTAAAATAGATTTTCTCTTTCAATGCTTCTCTTTGTTCAGCAATTTACCATACAAAACCTAATAATAATAATAATTTGGTAAAATTCAATAAAATACGTTTGTACGATTGTTGTCGTTAAAAGTAATATCACAATTATTCACATCAATGACTAATAATTAATATAATTAATGACAATAATAATTTAGCTAAAACGTACGCCGTGATAATCACATAATAATGTAGAGACGGGCGGTGATTGGGTTTAACCAATGGATAACCAGAACTAATAATAACTAATAATCATTTAAAAAAAAAACACAAAATGGTAGTTCGTAATATCGTTGAGAATTGAAAAAAAATCACGGCAAGATTTTGGCGGTTCTGTAAGTAAAATTATTGTTGGCGGTTTGAGCAGTTTAAAACGAGCAGTCCAGGAAGTCAATCGAGATTCCTTTTGATTTCGGACACCTTGTAAGTTCCCAATTCGGGCGAATACTTGGCCACGTAAGCAGAAGTCATTTTGTGCACTGGCATCAGGCTAAACGTGGGCGTCTGGTCCAAAGAAACAGCGGTGGCTTTAGGTTCGGCAATGGCGGTGGCGTTATTGCCCACAATCGCCGTTCCCACAGGCCCTGCCCCGGCACGGCCACCAGTCCCGGCAAAGGCAACGCCAATCGGTTCGGCCACAGCCTTTGTTGGATCTATTTTACACACACACACACACAATTTTAATTTTTGGTTTGTTATAATGGCTTATCGTTATTATTGTTTTTATTTTAGCATTTTTTTAACGGTTCAACCGACAGTCGATATCTGTCTAAACTAACATAAATATCTAATTATATGGTGACGTTTTACCCGAACGGTGGTTCGAAACAATTACAAAGACAAGCCGATGAAAAAATAATTTGATTCTTTTTATATTTCAACAGTAAAAAAAAAAAAAAGTATAAAATACAAATACATACGAGTATATAGAGTCTTGGGGTCGTTATTAATAATTATTGACAAAATATGTCCCCAATCATATCATTATGTTTGATTTCATCAGTTGATATATTATAATATTATATAATATATATTTATACATTATATATATATATAAGTATATAAATACATGAATGTAATTTTACATATAAAACTACATTTTCAGTGGTTTTTTTTTTAAATAACATTTTTATCGTATATAATTATTTATTTTTATAAAGAAAAAAAAAATGTTTGGACAGTTTTTTATTTAACAAAATCAGTCGCGATAAATCGCCAAATTAATTCGAACCTGTGGCTAATTTAGGTTGTGCCTGTTGTTGATCTCCGTTTTCCGAGTGACTGGCCGAATCCACTACGACCGAAGAGTCGTCTTGAGACTGTTGTTCGGACTGTTGTTGTTGTTGCTGTTGTAGAAACGGTTGTTGCTGCTGCATCTGCTGCTGTTGTTGTTGGAACGGTTGTTGTTGTTGTTGTAGAAATGGCTGCTGTTGTTGTTGAAACGATTGCGGTTGAGCTTGCTGGTACTTTTGGTACTGCAAGTATCTCTGGTAAGCTAATGCTGCAGATCCCGGGGCGGGTTGAGGTTGTGATGTTGGATAAAATTGTTGACCAACAAACTGCAAAAAAAAAATCTTGTTAAGAATATATACAAAAATAAGATCTATTACTTAACGGAAAAAATATAGTTTGGTCCGTTCTTGAACCAAAAATATTATAAAATAACCTAGTGTAAAATCTCAAGTAAAGAACACCAGGTAAAACCCAAAATGGCCTTCAGTATTAACAAATAAAGAGAACACCAACGTTTGTGTTATAGTCGAAAGGTTTTTAGATTACCTGTTGAGGTTGTTGGTACGCTTGTTGAGGTTGGTTTCTGTTGAACAAGAAGTTAGAAATCGCACCGTTGTTGACGGAGTTTATCCTCGTCGGGTCGTAGAAAGCGGCTTGTTGGAACGGCGCCTGACCGTAAAACTGGGGTTGGCCAAAGTAAAATAGCTGAGACGTTGTTCCAAACGGTCTAAGAGGCACTGGCACAGGTCGCTCAACACCTGCGGGCTGGTCTTCTTTCTTTTGTTCATCACTTGGCTTATCTACTTTCACAATCCCAGCTTCAGGCCCAGCTCCAGCCCCAGCTCCAGCCCCGATCCCAGCCTCAGCCCCCGACTCTTGTCCTTCACCTACTCCGGCGCCCCCGGCGGCACCAACTGTAAAGTAAACATACATAATGTTCAACGGTTTTATTTTGATAAGATAAACAAAATAATATATCTTACCACTTGAGGCTTCTTGTGGTCCTGCTTGTGTTTCTGGTGATTCAGAAGAACCTCCAAAACCTTGGAAATAACTTCCGTAGTTACTCAAATAGTAGTTCATCAACTCGGTAAACGAGTTTCCATACCCCTGCGAAGCTCCGTCATTTGGCAAGTACGGGTATTGTTGTGGGTAAGCCGGGAATACTCCATAGCCTCCATGGTAGTAAGGATTGTAGGCAGGATTAGCTCTGTAGCATAAAACACGGCATGTAAGTAATGATATTAAATGTAGTCAGAAAGAGTGATAGATGTAAGGGAGAGGGTCGTTTAGAGATAGCATATCATAAGACATAATATAAGGGTAGTTGACGTAAGTAACAGGGGCAAAATATGCTTTTATAACATTTATAAAATAAGTTTTTGTTTAAAAAGGTGTGAAATTATTATTATAAGAATAAAACTAATGCCATTCTAATGCATTGAAAAAAATGTTGGCAAATTTTGATGTTTTATCTAAATTAATTAAATCGTGTTACCAAAAATTTAACCACCAAAATAACCTGTCCGTCGTTATACATGGGAATTAGGTCTAAAAGGATTAAATGAAATTGGACCCAATACTTAAAAAATTGTCAAAACGTATATAATATTATATTAAGTATATTATGTTTGGAAAAATACTGATAATGTTTTTCACAAAACCTTAACAAACTATTTGCAATGTAACTACAGCTACAATCTGCCAAAGCGGAGCAAGTTATTCTGTTCAAGTAAAGTTCGTCGAGACGCAAGTTACTGATTTTCATAACTTTGAAACTACTTATTGCTGCCCACCTTTACGATCTACCCTGTCTAAAATATCCCACATAATTGTTTAACACTGATTTTTATTGTTTATTGGTTTTCAAAAAAACGTAAGAGTGTTTTAAACGGACCAACAAGAGTGTTTGTTTAAAAACTGGAGGTAAAGTTTTGGTCAAGGTCTTATCATTGCCAAGAGGTTTTGTGTGTGTGTTGAGAGGGGGGGGGGGGTGTAAATTTGTATAGTTAAAATTTATTCACGGTGCATAAACAGCTTGTCTGTAGTAAGTGCCTGGGTAGTAAGGAGATGCTACATAAGCGGCGGCTGAAGCTACACCCGGTGGTGCATTAATGTATTTTGGTTGGACGGCGTTGGCTTGGGGATAATACGGTTGAGGGTAGAACGGAACAGCAGGAACCGGCAAATTTGGCCTTATGTTGCTAACCGCACTGGTCGCTACTGCTAACAGGCAAGAGAGAACTAATAACTGAAACAGAACAAACATAATATGATATTACAATCGTGAAACCCAGTACATGGTAGTGTATGATAAAGTTTAGATATTTATTGAGCAACCAAACAATTTAATAAAATTATAAATTAATATCGTTTCTTTTTAATTGAACTCAAAACGCAACCGCACTATGGATTGTTATTGTACCTTTAGAACACAATCAAAACACATTATCGCCAAACCGCTAGGTTTCTATAGGCAGACTTAATATTATTATGCATCTACTTGCTATAAGACTTAACAACAATACTCTACCAAACTCATTGGGCAACTCATTGTATGTACATAGGTACAATAAATATATTATATTGAATATTACAATTAATCTTATATCGGTTATTATAATCTATGTTATGTACTCCGGTAGTTATGCAATTGTTTAGTTAGTTTTCATAATAATAATATTACCCTATCCTAGACTTCCTTTTTTTTTTACTAATTATTTGTGTAAGTGTTATTTTTTAAACGAGCCGTTATGAAAATAGCCATAGTTTCCTAAGTAGTCCTGTCTAAAAGTTTAAAAGTTGAAAAAAACTTGTTTTGTGGTATTGGGATTTAATTGAGGTTTGTTCGATAAAAAAAACAATTTTTTTTTAAAGAAAGGTCTTAGTAAATCACTGATTTTGTTAATAAAAATTCTTCAAAGTGTGCATTTAAACGGTGATATAATTTTGAAATTTTTAGGAACTTTTTTTTTAAATTTGTACCCTGAAAACCCTTTTTTATTTTATCAACCAAAATGTTTTACCTGCGTAATATTTTCAATTATTTTTCTAATAAAAAAACCTTACCATACATAGAAGAATACATTACAACCATTTATAATTGAATTATTAAAAGATGTCTTGAGTTATATTTTTTTGTACGTTCAACCAAAATAACGGTTTTCAGATGTAAAAAAAAAATGTTTTTTTGTTTTTATAAAAGATGATTACGTTGCTATTTTTTTGTCAATATTTTTATTTTTGCCTTAAGATAACTGAATTGTTAAGTCATGGAGGCATCTCGAATCTTTTGAAAATGTTCACTGTTTATATTATATTTTTTTATAATTAAAACTACTTGTTGCTATTATACAAAATTTTAAATTGTATTCAAAGCGTCGACCAGAGGTTTTTTTAATTTTGTAGATTCACGTGCATAGGTATAATGCCGTTGTATATATGATAATAAAACTATTCATAAACTCGTATTAAATATTTAAAAAAAAAAAATAAATGAACTCGAGGCGTTGGTATAAAAAACAAATATTATTCATAATATCATGATAATAACTAATCAGATCCGAACGAAACTGGTTTTTTCCTTTATTTAAACTTGATGCGAATTTGATGGCGTGTTCGGATACGACCGTGCAATTGTATGAACCGTATTATCTCAATAACAGTATACCTACCTATATAATGTCTTGGAGTAACCGCTATCAAAACAGAGTAGGTATTCGTTTTAGAGCTGATCTCAACAGAGGTTATTGCCATTGCACGCTACCATAACCGGAATTCTTTATAATCATCATTAGTCCTTAATAACAAGCAACCGCGTGTACTTGTATCTATGTATATATGTATAATTATATATATATATATATATATATTATACCTACTTAAGAAGATTGAGATGAGCTGTAATATTATAAATTATAGTATAAAAAAAAAACAAAATGTCCTTCGAGTATTAACAACAATATTATGGTAAAAAAAAACTACCTTAAAGGCAATTCAAACAGCCGTTGTAACGCGTGTTAATGTTGTAGACAATTTTGACGGAAATACGTTGTGGATATTTTTTGAATTTTATATACTATTGCTTGGAAAATACTTTAAAAATTGATATTTAAAACGTTTTTATACGAGATTTTTGTTATTAAATTGTATTGTGTTCTTTATTTAAGATGTTAACAATTGATTTGAATGTCGTTTATTAAAATTAAAAGAACATACGAATAAGCTTGCATAATTTCGTTTGATTTTTTTTAACGATACATTATTATCTGATACTTAAATACGGAATTAAGTAATAATTAAAATCGTTCTAACCTAATCCAACCAAACCTAACCTAACCAAATCCCCTAAACCCAACCTAACCAACTTTTTTTAACTTAACCTATTATAACTATTATAGTGATTTCCTTGATTAATAAAATAGATAAATTAAACATTTCCTTTATGGCGTCAAGCATAATTTACTTATTAAACTAGAATTCTACTTAATTTTTTAAATGTTTTGATCAACAAAATACATTTTCCATTAAATATAAATGACGATATCGATATTGTACAAGAATTAAATTGTGCTATTGCACTGAAAGACTTACTGATTTAACAATTGTGCTTGTATATTTTTTATTTTTTACGAATAGTCTATTTTATATTACTTAATCGAATTTGAACTTCATAGATCACAATAAATGGCACGACAAACTAGATATATTATTAATAGTGTGTTTGAAATTGAATACTTAAATATTTTGGGGTTTTTTTTTTTATCAAATCATATTAAACGTATTTAATAGTAGTACATACCTTAATCATGGTTGCAGACTTGAGAAGATCAGCCCGGTATGGTGTATGATTCAAGGCATGGCATACAAGGCTTATATAAAGGAACTCGGCTCCCTTCCATGTCGACCAGAGGTAACTGCCCAATGATTCGTTTCGGTGTATTCCAGCTAAAACCGTCTGTAATAAAATCAAAAAATATATATTCATATATATATATATATTCACTAGGTACATGAACTCTACAGGAAACTAAAAAAATAAATGTAATTAAAATACTTATAATATGTTACCCGAAGTAAATTATTTATTACAAAAATAATGGTATAACAATAAATTAGATTATCGGATGAGACATTCTTAACGAGTTTTGTCGACTAGTTTTGTTTCAGTTCAAATATTTTGGCACAAAGTTATTTTCAACAAAGAACTAGATTATTATTTTATTAACTACTACTATTTTATTGACTAAAACAAAATGTACATAAACAATAATTATAACATTATTTGTACATGTCAAAATCAAAGTATACAATATTATTGCAAAATGTATTGGCTTGGCGTTGCATCATTTGTAAAATTAGATCTGTCCATGATTATCGTCATGGAAATTATTTTAATCATAATTATTATTCATTGTTGCTCGAATCTTAATGACAATTAACCTATTATAAATTTAATATCAAGTCTGTTATACGATTTAGTGTATTGTGATTTCAAAACAATACTACTGGACACTGACCAATCTAATATAAGAATGTGCAATAGTATAGAATTATTGTAACCTCAGTCAAAAAATATCATTAGTCTTTAAGACTATTATTTTTTTAACCTTCTCCGACAATCCACTTTAAAAAAAAAACAAGAAGAAGGATAGAAAATAATAATAATAATAAAAGAATTTCATATTTTTATAACTTTCATGTATTTAATCTGAAAAATCGGATAATTGTTACTGAATGTGTTTTTATTGATAGGAATTTATTGCTCGATTTAAGTTTTTTGTAAGTAACAAAACCCGAATTCAAAATCGAGAAAAACATTTAAAAGTTTACTTCTACTTACTATTATTACTACTATTACTTACTATGACTACTACTTACTACTACTACCCACTTAAGTATAAAACTTTCTTACTGCGCTGTTTTATATTGTATCGGTTTGAACCTTACATCCACAGATTCGCATTGATGCGTTCGTTTAAAAGTGATTTTATCACTTTCAGTTTTAATAATTCCCGTAGACCCGTTACCTCCCCGTCCCCACTATGCACTTAAGTTGCAATTTTACATAATATTAGTTTTTACACTCTTGCCGCAATCGAGTGCTGCAATAATTACAGCTTTTGAAACTTGAGAGGAAGATGTCCGTATAATAAGTAATTTTTTTCCCCCATGCGTGACATCATATTATTCATCATCATCATCATCATCATTACTGGATATTACATTTTATTTACTCGTTTTCCATTTCTATACGTATGCTATTAATTTAATGGCCAGCCGTCTGTATACTGTCAAGAGACACAAGGTGTGTGTAAATTTTTAATTCTATATACATATATATATTAACATTAACCTTTACCTAACCCACGGGCGGAAATTTATGCACCTCAGGGGATGTCAACACAAGCGGTAACATCATATCGATTAGGCTTACAGGTACAACTCAGGGGAGGTCGCATGCATTTTATTTCCGTAGGATTTGCGGCCGAGATAGGCTCTCTTATATAGGTGTAATATATTAATAAGAACCGGTATGCAAGATAGAAAACACATAAACTCCGGCGTTGTGGTTATACAACAAATAATAACAATAAACAGTAAATACGGACATAAATTATGTAAAAACTGTCCGGGGCTTAAGTTCGGTGCCATTGACCGTGACCGAGAACTTAAAAAAGATAACCGGCTACAGCTATCATATTATACAATTTTTTTTCTTCTTTTTACACGTGTCCCCTCGCGTTTATAATATAACAAAATATGTGAATACTATACACTATTATAATAATAATGTGGTACTCGTGTCACACAAAAAATAACTTTACAATGATACTTTTTCAACCGCTCCCACATTTAAAAATACAACCTATAATATACTCCTATTTCATAACTCGATTATGATCATGTTCTATACTTACACACCTCCGTCGGATAAGTACGACTTCAATCCCAAAGAGAATTGCTTTAATACGGGTTTATCTATTTTCACTCTCGGCCAAGGTCTCCCCTTGAAGCGATTAGGTCTAAAGAGCATTACTATGATAATATGACTGACTTCCTGATCGTCTATAAAGGAACAATCCGTTTTGGGTTTTATTAGAAAGCGATTTTCCAGTTTGCTTTTCCAGTTTTCCCTTAAATGTTTCATGTTTTGTAAAACTGTACAAGTGTTTTTGCAAAGGTGATCATGTAATAAAAAGATGACACAGTCGAATATAGATATGTCCATAAAAGTTCACATGCTACATCATTGTACGTTGTGAACAGTAAATATAAGCTGTCAAAATACAATTTATCGAGTACACTAACTAGATTAGTTTGTGGTTTTTATTGTCGGTCTAGATATTTTTAAATATACTTAAATAAAAATAAAAATTGATAAATACCGTAAATAGTTCTTTCAAATTTACATCAATAACAATATTGTTGATTTTTGAATATCATTTGAACACTAGAAATACTGTTTTTTTGTTTAAATCTTTTCTTTTGATACAATTTAAGATTATACATAGATATAGGAGTTTGGCTATAAATTACTTTTCTTAAGACATGATTTGTTTATCACGCACATTCGTTTGATAACCGAATGCATCAAAACAAATCTTAAACGTTCCACACGTGTTTTACCCTTTTCCAATTTTGTACTGTAACAAATTTTGTACTTTACAACCAATCAGAGTATGAACTTTTTCATTTTACTTTGGAAAGAGTTAAAATGTAAAAAAAAAAATTACAAACGATAGCGCAAATTTAAAGTAGCAACTATTTGATCAGCTTTTTTAATTTTCTTATTAAACCTATTTCTCTTGCACATTAATACATTTTTTGGACGCATACTTTATTTTCTCTCTTTATCAAAATTGTTGACATATTAAATATTAATCATTGTCTACCATAATATAAATACTGTTAACATATAATGCAGTTGACATGATACACATTTGAAAGGTTTTTGACCCGTAGGTCGGTACACCGTGCACACATTGTGCATTATCTACTGCGATAGTGTACTAGATGAATATTTCAATTTAGTTTATTTCACCGTTTAGCCTTTAATTTTATTCTGTCGGCTTACGCAGCCGAGTGGCGTGAGCCAAACTTTGCTGTTGCCAAATGGCTTCTTTTTAAACGCGGTCGTTCCCACCCGATTAAAATCCTACTGAAATAAAAATGTACTCGACCTGACCGTGATTCGGTATACCGCCGGGCCAAACCACCGAAAGAGGTCCGGAGAGGCGAATATAAGCCTAAAAATATACTTCTCAGTCTCACAGTACAATAACCGATTAGAATCTACCGGGCTCAAGACAAACGAAAAGCACTTGTGCCTATCATAAGACAGTATGTGTTTTGCGATTTCGCAATCAGTGTACTTGCCGTATAGTATAATGGATAACCGCCGCCGTCTCATTTGTAATGTGTCCAAAAAAAAAAAAAAAAAATGCTGGCCACAGAAGCTTACAAAATGGTGATAATAATACAGCTGTAAATAAATTATTGAAGTCGGAACACTTGGGGCGCGTTCGTGCAAATTATATAACGCAGGTATCGCGTCTTAGTTCATATAGATAGGTATAATTAATAATAATAATATAATCTAAGCGATTGCAATGATCACACGGTTAATGTGAAAGTAGACGAAATTTATCATCTTTAAATGTGTTAACAGCAGAGCTGAGTTGAGCAGTACATATTAGGAATGAGAAAAACAAATTGCTACTAAATATTATGCACTCAGTTCGGTTAGTATGAAAACTACTTTTGTACATTTTGTAACAAAAACTTAGCCGTGAAAATATTGTTTTAACAGAGTATAACATTTTTCTGTACTCTATAATTTGCAACATCTGTTGTAATGTTTATAAATAATATTTATTTTCAAAATTATGTTAAAATGTTTGTTAATACATTTTAAATGTCAAGTTTTGGCAATAAACGTTACAGTTTTATTCACAAAATACCGTTTAAGTAATATGAAAATGTTTCCAATATTATTCTACTTGCATTTGAAATATTATGATAATATTTTCTAGGTTTTACCTTTTGATTTTATTATTTTTAAACGTTAAATCTCCTGTAATTTATTGGTGTGAGTAAGTTTTTAGATTATTACATTTTATGTTGTTTCAGTTAGATGTATTATAGGATATATTATTATTGCTGGAAGTATAAATGGTTTAAAAAATGTACATTATAGTGTGATACACATTTAATTAATTTTTGATTTACTGTGTAATTCTACTGTCGAGAATTATGTACATGAATAATATCTGTCAGAGCATTTTTTTTTTAATTTACAGTTGTGTACTTATTTTTTAAATACCTACCAAACAAACTCTTTTGAGATTCATTTTTCATTTAATTTATCATCACATAAAAAGTCGTTTAACTGGTTTATTGTTTAACACAAAATATGATTTAATCTATTTCTTCGTGTACAGTATAATTGTTTTGGGTTTAAGTCCCATATTATTTAATTAAACGGTTTTATATCAAAATATATTACGTGGTAAAAGAAAAATATAAGGTGTTCAATTAGTGGCTTTGATTGTATGATTTTCAAGTTATTTTCACAAGAAGTGAAACTGATATTTTGAGGTTAATAAAATATTTATATTGTATTACAACCTTGTCACATAAAATTGTCTTAAATTATAAATCACTTAGGTTGCAGCTGAAAATATAATAACAATAATTTATCCTCGACGGTCATCTTCTGTTTTTTTCTTTTTGCTAAGAAAAAAATAGTTTTGATTCTGATGTAATTCAATAACTCTAATCATAGCTTTTTTCGTTTATAATGATTTGTCCAACAAAAAGAAATTATAGAATTGTAAAAATGTATTAACCTTACAAAAAATAGGTAATTATTCAAAATAAATTATAAATGTTAAGTATATAAATATTTGTTTAGATTACAAGAATATTTGCACTGCGTTCGTTTGTAGCATTTAAATGGTGATTTGTGTATGTATTGGAAAAAGTGATATTTGAGCAACAATTTATATGGTGAGGTAGCTGCAAATAAATAGTGTATGCTATATTTAAATCGTATCGTTTTTAATTTGGGAAATAAAAATTATAAAATACATAAATCAATTACAATATCACTTCATACAGGTAATAAATGTTTAAAAAAAAAAATTGTTAAATAAATGTTAATTTTGATGGCAAGTACACTCGTTTAATACGATAAAAAATTCAACCTTCAAGTGCACTGGGCCGGTACGTGGGCCATTCCATCGTGCCGCGGCCTCCATAATACGGGAGGGACCTCTGGGTCTTGCCGGTAGCTGGCTTCTTGGCGGGCGTCGGCGGTGTGATCTTCTGCTTTTGTTTACCGCTGCCCATCACGCCGACCAGGCTTTCGGCACCCTGAACGCCGGCTATGGCGGTGGCCACAGGTTTGGCTATGGCTAGGCCGCCCGGTCCGACCACGGCAGTGGCCACGGGCTGGGAGATGGCCTGACCGCCGACACCGGCAATGGCCAGACCGACGGGCTTGGCTTCGGCCAGCGACACATTGTCGGCCGGCTGACTGATGCTCACCGATTCGTTGGACGGATCTTCGGACGCATCTTTTTTGCTGCCGTCGCTTTCCTGTCCCACGTCATCTACGTCGTCGTCGTCGTCGTCATCGGGGCGCATGTCATCCGGCTGGTGATCCTCCACTGTGGTCTTTCCCGAAGGATTAGTGATCAGGTATTTGCCCTTGCCACCGCCGTAGTAGGGCAAAACCCGGATATTGTCGTCCACAGCTTCACGGTGCTCGGCTCGAGTTCTGCAACAGCAATGTAATTGCATTTGTTAAAATAACGTTTTTTTATAAGTCATACAAGTCTGATGACACTTAAAAAAACAATACTATAAGACGTACATGATGATTTTTTTTCGATCATGACAGGTGATTGAATACGATTTATTAAAGTAATTAACAAAAAAAAGTAAATTTTAAACGATTAATAAACAGTGAAATATTATTACTGATGTAGTGCGCTGTAAATTTCTGCGTGTAGGTTTTTAGATTATTACATCTTATAAAAACGTGCAATTTTTAATTGAATTTTTTTAAAATTATAATAGTTGTACAGGTTTACTGTTTTATGGTCAAACAAATGTGTCTGCTATACAAACTCTAAGTATATTCAATGCTGTTAAATTATATATCGCCCCGGTAGAACAATGACTCAACTGCAAAAATGGAAATTTTATAGAAGAACGAAAAGACCAAATAATTTTCACTAAAATGTTATGTGATGTAATTTTAATGGAATGGGAATGCTTGGGAAATTATTAGAACTACAGTTACATCGTTTTTCTACCTTATGCGTTCGATATATTTAAACACATTGAGCATTTAGCCCATTTTACCAAATTTTGGAGTTAGGTCATTGTTCTACCGTGTTTTATGAACACACACTTATCAACTTTAAATTACCATCGACCAAACTTAATAAAAAAACAAATGCTTACTCTCGTTTTAATATAAATAATTTGATCAAATTATGTTTTACGCTTAAAAATACTGTCAACATTACAACTAGTATAATATATGAACAGCCTCTCCCTTAAACTCGTCATTTAATTATGAAAATCCACTAAAGTAACTGTTTATAAATACATCAATAACGATGACATATTGTAGAATATTGTAATATAATTAACTCCGTTGAGATTTATTTTTCATTTAACTTTTCATCACACAAAAAGTAGTATAACCGGCTAATTGTTAATTGTTTTTCACTAAATATGATGCACTCTATTTCTTTATTATACAGTAAAGTTGTTTTGTGTGTAAGCCACATATTATTTCATTGATCGGTTTTATAATGCACTATGAGTAATAATAAAAACTACTGAGATGAGGTAGTATCTATCTATATACATTTCTCTATCTTCTTTCTCTCCATTTCGAAGAGGCAGTGGCGATTATTTTAAACCAGAGTGCCTTAAGTAACGTCAAAACAAAAATAAAATCACCTTATATCTTAAAATATATTATGTGGTAATATAAAAATACATAAATCAATTACAATTTAACGTTGTACAGCTAATAAATATTTCTTAGAAAAATGTTTAAATAAATAAATAAGTATTGATTTTGATTGCTAGTTCCTTCGTTACATTCGTTTAGTACGAAAAATATTCAACGTTCGAGTACACTGGTCTTAAGATGAAGCCCCAATTGTGGGATTCGGGTATTTTGTACAGCGGATACGTGGGCCAGTTCATCGTGCCGCGACCTCCATAATACGGGAGAGACCTCCGGGTCTTGCCGTTGACCGGCTTCTTGGCGGACGTCGCCGGTGTGATCTTCTGCTTTTGCTTACCGCTGCCGATCACGCCGACCAGGCCTTCGGCGCCTGCAATGCCGGCTATGGCGGTGCCCACGGGTCTGGCGACGGCCAGGCCGCCCGGCCCGGCCACGGCGGTGGCCACGGGCTTGGAGGACGCCTCGCCGCCGACACCGGCGATGGCCAGGCCGATGGGCTTGGCTTCGGCCAGCGACACGTTGTCGCCCGGCACACTGACGCTCACCGATTCGTTGGGCGTCTCTTCAGACGTGTCGTTTTCGCTGCCGTCGCCTTCTTGTCCCACGTTGTCCACGTCGTCGTCGGGTCGCATGCCTTCCGACCGGTGATCCTCCACTGTGGTCTTTCCCGAAGGATGAATGATCAAGTATTTGCCCTTGCCGCCGCCGTAGTAGGGCAAAGTCTGGATGTCGCCGTCGTCCACAGCTTCACGGTGCTCGGCTCGAGATCTGCAACAACAAAGTGGTCGTCGGTTTTTTTCCATCATGTAATTAAATAAGTTTTTACTAAAGTAATATTAACAGAAAAAAGTCAATTTTAAACGATTCATAAAAGTTAAGCTATTTGATGTATCAACCAAATCGACTACATTCTTTGTTTAATATTGTTTTCTACACAAGTAGGGCATATATTTTATTTCTATACTTTAGAAAAGATTATCTGTAATCAAATATCTAGATTAATTATTGTATACTTTTGTATTAAATTTTGTTTAATCCCCCGCGATAATAAATGTATGTCATATTCAGTAATAGTACATTACTCCAATTGTTACTTAAAAAGTGTATAAATGTCAAAAAAAAAATAAGTTTGGAAGATTATCCTACAAGGGTATTTGGATTTTAATTCGCATGACAATTTTTAACTCAATCATAGAACGAACACAACATATTAGAGTTGTCGTTAGAATCGCTGAAGGTGTTTTACATTTGACTGTAATAATTTTATTAGGAAAATAATAATAATAATCAATTATAATGACTTTTTCGGCGCACCCGTCATGCGAATGTAATATATACATTATACATGTATATAATACCTAGCTTATATATTTATTTTTATTTTTTTATTGTGGTGTAATGCGTCGAGCAGAGTGTTTTAAACATATTTTCATTCATGCTTTTAGCAGACAATATGAATTCTACGCACGTGCGTGCTGCAGAGAGCAAAATATAACTGTTCATGAACTGGGCACGGCTGTTAAAACGGGCCACCGGTTTTGGCATATTGTCAATAGGTACATTTTAATTATCACATTATTGACATTCACCGTACTGACTAGTGGGTAACCTGAAATTACAAAAGTATGTATGTTACCAAGGGAATTTTCGGTTTTGTGTGTGACCAAGTTGGTTATTTTTTAGCTTTGACGCGAAACTGCGAAGTCATTGTTTTTTTTACAATGATGTGTTTTTGGTGTCTGTTTTTTCTTTATTTCTCTTTTTCCCAACAAACTTTTAGGACCTAGGGTAAATCTAGAACGGATACATAACACATACAAATACATTATACAATTACAGTGTTTTTATTTTTTAGCAGGCACAAATCTCACTCGAATTGTTAACAATTAACTACAATAATAGGTTATCTATTTTTTAACTAACACTTACTGCTTGTGTTTTTTTCAAAGTAAAAACTATGATATTTGTAAAGTTAAACGCTCAATAAAAAAAAAAATGCCAAGAATCTTGACTGATAATAAATAAATAATAAAAAATATATATATTATAAATCGTGTTATGTTTGTTGTGTTGCAGACATTGTTCACGTTAAGGCTTAGAACGACATTCGGTTATTAACTATTATGGTACTTAAAACGATATAATATGTATTTATCGCCATAATAACACGGTACTAATCTAACTAATTGAACTAATTTATATCCACAGCGTAAATTAAACATAATTTACATATTTTGATTAGTTTTTAATCAATTTTATTATACAGCACAAACAAAAAAAAAAGCAAACAAAACGCAACCGCATACGTACAGTCATCGTTTTCGTTCGGTATAAATAAATTAGCATACAATCATTATTTATTATGAAATAGGAGACCGCAGAAAATAATGTAAGTACTTAGTATGGGTGTACATTATATAGGCTGGAACACAATGGATACGAAGCACAGAGTCCATATGGGATTCCAGAAGCCATTGAAAATGCGTCCTGTTTTTTTTTTCTACAACCATCTTATGCATGTTATTATTATTATTAAGCATACTCAGATCAATGATCAATAATTTCCCGTTTTTTATGTACTTTGTTATAACAAGAATTCGGGTTTAACAATAAGTCTGAAAACGTTCGGATAACCTTGTACGGATACACAATAAAGTGTCTCGTCATATCAAACGTCAAAAATCAAAATGAATAAAACATATAAAATAATATAATACGTTACATTACACAAAACCATTATTTCACCTGAGTCAGGTCAACGTTTTGATTTTTTTAATATTATTATTTAAATACGAAATCTAACAGAATAATTGTTTAATTAAATATTTTCTAAACTATTTTATAACACAACTTAACCTAATGTATAGTGGATAAAGTGAAATAGCAACTATTGTGTCAAATGTTGATGGATACATAAAAAGCGGTTAGATTAAGGATAATCAAATTGTATTAAAACGACAAATATTATTTAAAACATTTATTTCGATATAAAAAAATTATGACGAGGTTAAAATGTATATTATTTTTGTTCCAGAAATTGTTTCATTTAAGAAAAAGCTCTATCAGTTATAATTATCTACTTATTTAATCTTCACAATCATATAAAATATATTATAAGTTCATATTACAAAGATCCAATAAGTACCGTGTATCGCAAAATGTACATGTTTTTTTACATTTTTATCAACCAATATAATATTAAAAAAACGGGCTTATCGTAGTTGGAAATAATATTAAACAGTCAGTCTTATAACAAATTTAATTAACCGCTATAGTACTTATATAATATTAATTATTTATCAAAAAAAAAAAAAAAATAGGAAAAATTATTAACTCAAATTTTACAATAAGTTTTGATTTACAATAGGTAGATTTTGTTTGTATTTGATTAAAAAAAAATAGTTTGCAAGTAAGTTATAAAATGGTAATAAAATATTTTTTATTTTTATAATAGCTTTTGATCTTCTTCGATAAGCCATCATAGATTCCACAGTCACAAGTTCCCATAATCATCCCATAGTTTTATTTTGGTATAGTTTATAACTGGGCCCAAATCCCAAAATTCAGAGGACTTTTTTCACCATTTGTTTGGTATTTAGCCAAAAATATCGGTTTAAAGTCTAGAGGTGGGCATGTATCAAAGAATATTTTAAGGAAAATGTTTTGCTAAACAAAGTTTATGAAAAATATTTAAATAAAAATATATTTTCAATATTATAAGAATTTTTTTACATGCAATTTTTTAATTAATCTCTTTGTTACTTGGGTTGATACGAAAAACGAATGTACCAAGTATTAAATGTCTACTGATACATTAAACTATTTGGGAAAACCATAGTGATAACTACTGGGAACTTCGACCATCCGGGAATCTGTGACCGACGGCCGTTTCTATTTCAGTCCACGAGCTGAATGATAAACTCTGGACGAGAAATGGCCACGCCGCCCGCACCGGCTTCGGCCGTAGCGTCCGGTAAGTACTCGATGCTGACCGTGTCGCCCCTCCTGACCACTGCGGTGCTGATGGGGTTGGCCAGTGCCACGCCGCCCGGACCGGCCTTGGCCCTGGCCGCCGGCTTTAGGTATATCTTGGTGACGGGCCGTTCCGTCGACTGCGTTTTCTTCAGCTTGCTCGGTCCGTCGACGCTGGGCGTGTTCGGGTGCTTGTTGTACTTTTGGAACTTCTGCAGCGGAATCACGCTGACTTGACCCCGGTCCACGTCCACGCGGATGCCCGGGGACGGCGGCGGCAACGGAGCGGCGGCAGAAGTCGTCGTCGTCGTCGTGGACCCGTCGGGCCAAACGCCTAAGGCCGGCACGAATGCCCAGTAAGGCAGCGGATACCTGCGCATACAAAAGCACGGGTTAAGCGTTTGGCCCTTTGAAAGCGTTGGGTAAGGTTTAAGTATGTCCAGCGACCGACGCTTTTTTATATTTTACACTTTCACCGAAGGAACCAAACGGTAACAAAAAAATAATAATAATACTGATAAAAAAAAACCATATTCCCATCAATAATAATTTTGGCGAACACCAAAAACTAAACACGAGATCAGCTGTTGTTCAACGCTGAGCTAAGTACGAGGTGATAGTGGTAATGGTTAATATACAAGGGTGTGTAAAGTGGCGACACGGTTCGGTTAAGGAACAGGAAAGATGTATGTTGGTCGTAGAAAAAAAAAAAGGAAAATTTAAGTAAATAAAATGAGAATGTTCAGGTTAATTCTGTGTGGCCGACTATAGTTTAGTAAGATTAAGAAAAAGTGTACAATGTGTTTATTTTATGAATACTTAGTGTATGAACACTATGCCAAGGTTGTAATTACACCCAATAGGATTTAAAAAATTTGGTTTTCATGTGATTTCTCACAGAATTTCCATACAAAATGATCTGTCACACTACCATGATTGATTGTGATACTAACGCACTATAATTTAAAATAGACAATTTGGTAATTTTGGTTTGAAAAATTGGCAAGAAATCCGAGTACATGGGTTATTCTTATTTTTCGGTTATCTTTAATGAATAATAGCGTGGAAAACACTGAATTTTTTAAGATAAAACAAATCTATTCCAGTTTATAAAATAATTTATTGTATTCCAATATTATAGTAATTTATTTTGTTATAAACGTGTTGGCCGTTTAAAGTTACTAGGTAAACCAATGGCAATGCAGTTTACAAGTACAAAACAAATAGTAATTCTTTACATTAATTTTAATTTGAAATAATGAATTTTTTTTTTTTAACTAAATAAACATATATATCACTATTGTTATGTATGCACCGATGTAAGTTCTATATAAATTACAAAACACTCAATATTTTATGATGTAACGTTAGTTCTACTTATAAAAAGCTAAAAAAGCAAAATCTATAAGATTAATAATATAGCTATGCATTGATAAATAAAAAATAAATAATTATAATATAAAATCCAACGATTTATGTATAAATTAATCTGTGTAAGAGTTTGCCTCATAGACGAATGGGTTGTTTTATAAGTTATATTTTCATCAATAATACAAAAAATAGTTAATAGGTACGTAGAAATACTAAAATCAATAAACTCAACTAAACATAATTGAATAATAAATGTTCTATCTTATATTATAACGATAGCGGCTAAAACTATTTTGGCATGGTAAAACTACACTAAAATAGTAACTGTTATTTTGTTAGTATACATAATAATGGTGACGCTAATACAATATCTTATACCTATACAGCAAGACAAATTGTGATATTTTCAAAATGTGGTTTTAACTTGAAATTAAGTATGATTTAAATATTGGACATATTTATTTTCGAAACGTTGATACAATGTTTTGCAAATAAAATGTTTAAAACATTAAATTTCACATCAAAATATCTTAAAATCTTGTTTGACAATATTTTTAATACATTTCAATTTTATTGCTGTATTTTTGGTTAGTTTTATAATACTAATATTGTATATGGTCCAAGAAGACCATATGCAATTCACATGTAAATAAATTAGTTTATTAAGTGGTTATTGATTTTATAAACTTTAAACATAATTTTAGGTATTATTTACAAAACTTTTGGACAAAAAAACAGAATTGAATGTATCGTATTCGTAATATAATACAATCTTTACTATTTATTACGAGCGAAGATGTACCTACATTTAAGTCGATTTTTATTAAAACGTTAGGCACGTGCTTGTTTTGGTTGTAATAATAATATGTTAATATATATATAATAAATAATGGCCTTCACCTTAAAACTATATACAATTATTAAAGAGTTAACGACTAATCTATGTTAAGCTACTAACGTAAAAAAAAAATATGTATATTTATGTGTTTCAATAAGGATGAATAAATAAGAAAATATGATTATGATGAAAAAATGAAAATGTGTGAAAGTCTACATGGGGTTGATCGAACTAACGGACATATATATATATATATATATATATATATATATCAATTAGTAATTAGTAGTGTTAATTAACCATAATCAAATGAGCAGCAATGGAAATATTATTATAGTGAATACAGTCTTGTATCGAGGAACAAACAAAATATGTTACATATGTCGTTAAACCGATTGTTGTGCGTTTTGCATTCGTCTTTGACTGTTAAACTTTTTCGATATTTTCGCTTTCCTCGACTTCTTTTTCGACGGTTTTTCTGGATTGTAGTACACTATGGGTCCCGTGGCTATGAGCTTGGCGCCGTCGGGCAGCCTGATCTCCCTGGCCGTGGACGCCGAATAGGGACGTTGCTCGCCGGTGACGGCCGTCAGTCCCCGGGACGCCACCGGGAACGAGTACGCCACTCCGTCCGACGACAGTATGGCCGTGGCTCCACTGCTTTTCGACGGGCTGCTGTCGTCGTTGTCCGTCAGGCTCCGGCCGAAACCGTTCTGATGCGAATACCCGTAGTAAGGCGGTGCGACCACGTGCGGCCCATAACCGGCCATCGAAAGGCCCTGAGGCCCGGCCGGCACGTTGTCCGACGTGGAACCGGACGCCGTGTCCTTGGACGTGTACGCCGAGCCGCCGGCGCCCACTATGGCCGTGCCGCCTGACCCGGCGGTGGCGATACCGCCGGGCCCTGCGATCGCCACGCCGCCCCTCCTGACCACCAACCGCTTGATCTGAGGGCCCATGTCGCCGTTGTGCTCGTTCGGGTTGACCGGAGTCCAGTGTTTAGTGATTTTCTCCGTCGTCGTGGTGTGCGGACGAAAAGGTTTCACGTGGTTCAAAACTCCTTTTTCCTCGTCCGTGTGCCTGCGGGAACGCTTTAGCGCCACTTCGGGTACGGTTGGCGTGACGGCGGCCCTGCCCCGCCTGGACCCATCTTCCGGTCTAGCCAAAAACTGCCGTCCCGTCGTACCGTGTCCGACGACGGTGTTGTGTCTTCCAGTTCGTTCCGGGACGCTTGATCATTTACGTGTCTACACACGTCCGCTTCAGGGCCGTATTCGATGATCTCGCTGAAAGAGTTCAACATCGTCTGGAATGGGTCCCTGATAAGTATAGGAAAGTAATCGGCCCAAGGCGACACCCAGTCGATCCTGGACGCCTGATCGCCGTTCTGGCCGTACATCCGATTCAGCATGGCCGGATTCATCTGGTAACCGTAACCCGGAGGCGGTCCGAACACCGTGTGTCTAATGATTTTTCTGCGAACAGGAACGCTCATTGGTGTTCCTTCTCCGCGGATGCCGTTTTGGCCGCCCTTGTGTCCGTTCAGGTTGTCCAATATTTGCCCTATATACGGGTCGTTGCCCGGACGTTTGGTTGCCGACAACGCGTTGAAGTTCTGATACTTCTGCAAGTTTTTGTCCAGCAGATCTCTGAGAGCTTCCATTTCCTCACGGGTAAGAGTCGGCGTCGCCGGATCTTTCCGGTCCGCCATCCGCAGACGAGCAATTGACTTCAGTTTTCCCAGCACTTGACTGCTGGTCGAAGTATCCGTCTCGGGGACTTCCATCGTGGTGTCACTAAAACAGAAAACAGAAATAAAAAAAAAACCCAACAAAACTTAGATCATAATATTATATTTGTAGACGCATGCAATGTCCAGAGGATATTAATCTCCTTTAATAACGGGTTTTCCCCATACAGCAATGATTGGTTATTGGTAATGAGGTTATGAGGCTAGTGAAAATACATATTCCTTAAGGGCCCGAATTAATTAAACGGGATGACTGTTAATTTGTATGTGTTGCATTGTTTTTAAATAATTTTTTACTTTGTTGATTTTTAGAAAATCAAGTATGATAATTGAAATGAAAAAACAAAAACCGTGACTCTGTAACTATAAGAGCTTGTTGTCAATAGGAAAAAAACAAAACCCACTAAAAACGAGAAGATATTTGTCTTAGCTTAAAAGATAATATACAGGTAGATCCGATTTCATACCCAAGCAGTATAATTATTTGAATTTGAAAAAAGTCAATGTGTTACGATCTTATAACGCTAAATTTGTTATGTTTTCTTAAACTATAAGAAATGGAAAGTTAATACTAAGCTTATTAGAAAATATAAAAATTTTTACAATTAAAAAAATTGTCAATTTTAGCTATTTACTTAGTAAATTTACCTAACCAAAACCGGTGAACAGATTTTGTTGTTTAGAGCCTTATTAGAATTAGTTTCAGAGTTTCAGAACTTGATATAGTTCATTCACTGCAGAGCTTTAAAGTTGTGTATCTTAAATAAACATATTTTTTAAAAAATTTTTAAATAATTCTCCAAAAATAAAAAATTAAGAAAGTCGACATTTTTTTTATGAATTATGGTGAAATTTTGATGCAAATTAACTTTAGTAGTTAGGTATTTGCTGGTGTATTGACGGCTTACAATACTTTTTTTATGAAAAGCTTTCTCTATGAGGTTAAAACCCGGTGTGTAATTTATTTTTTAAAAAAACTATAAAAAAAAAATTAAAAACAAACACCAAAAACTAAAACTAAAAAATCGGCCTTTCATCCCCCACAGATGAGTGGATAAGTTTTATAACGATGACTTTTCTTTTAATCGGTTTGGAAGATACCTCTGAAAGAGACTTCACGTTTTAATCTTTATTTGTTTGTAACTATGCTTAATCTTTCATTTTAAATAATATTTTGGATAACAATTTTTAAAAAAAATGTTTGCTGTACGGGGTTTTCTCCTAAAAAAGACAATCTAACGCTAAGTAAACATGCAGCGCATGCTTTTTTTTAATTAACTTTTTAATTACATTAGTTTGGCGGCGTTTTTGTGTTAAATATATTTTATAAACACAAATTGCTATTCATAGCAGTCAATAACAAGCTGATATTTTTCACTGGGAGTGACTAATTTTCCAAAAAGATCAAAACAATAATTAAAAAACAGACTATGTTCGATTTAAAAACAACAACCGATTAATTATTTACATATATTATGGAAATCCTACAACTGACATTATTTAAGCTCGGCGATTAACGATTACCATGTTATAATGGTTTTGCATAAGAAACATTCTTAAAAACAAAAGTAATTCGTCGGTTTTTTTTAAATTTTATTTAATTTACATAAACCATTAAAATTTTAGATCAGTTATATTGATATTAACTCGTTAGCAATGGGTTTTTTTTTGTGTGAATATTACAGCTTAACGTGACACGGTTATATAAGAAAGGAAATTAAAAAAAATATATGAATTTTTTGTTTCAACCGATAGACATTGGCATCATACTACTATTATAGATAAAAAAAACATTCCATTAGAATAAAAAAAAAATTGTATAATTCTGTAAAGAAAAAAATGGTACGTTTTAAATTTATTCTGTGTATATATTTTGCTCCATCTAAGAAAGACTAGTCGTTAGTTTGAAAAATCACCTTGTTAATTGTTACAATCAAAACTATTAGAAATGTTAGTTAGCCAAAAAATACCAACAACGGCGTACGCAAGGGAAGCGCTTGTGATACATTCAAATATGTATTAAGCTCATCGCAAGTAAAGTGGTATATATTATAATTTATCCCATCTCTCTTGAAAATTTGATTTTAAGTAATGTGTAAGTGTTCGAGAATCGTTTGAATTTCAACTTGCACCACTTTATTTTCGATCTACTTAATTTTCCGACATGAGGTGAACACAAATTGTTAATTATGACATAAAATTTTCCTTAACGTTTTATTTGTATTTCACAAAATTGTTATTATTTAGACAAATAGTTTAGTTGTGTTTTTTTGGGGGGAAAAAAATAAAAATCATGCGTACGCCACTGAAAAAAATGTTATTTTTGTTTTTTTTTAAGGTTATAAGCTTTGTGTAGAAATGTAATATAGCGGAATATACAAAAACTGTTTGAAAAATTAGCTTACCTTCTATACTATATGTTACACGTATCGACCGATCCATTGCTAAAATTGTCACAAAAAAGCACTAAAAACCTTAACAATAAAAAAAAATGCCACCAAAAAAAAAAAAAAAAATAGTGCACTGTGAACGAGTTTTATAAAAAATACATTCTACCTTAAGTTTTTTTTTTCCAAGTGTATTACTTTTCGCTTACATACCTCGACTTTATTTACTGTTTACCATCATTTAACCAAATGCGTTAATAATGTGTTAAATTTTTTTCAAAAAACCCGTGTGTTTTACAGTGTTTATTACAGTGGGTATTATTTTGTATTATTATTTTAATATGTACATTAACAATAGTATTATTATTTTGTTTTTTTTTTTTTTAAAGTCCAGCACTCCAATATTAGGTACTACAGAACGGCTACTGCGGTTATACAGTGTGTTTGTGTATGTGTGTGTGTGTCGTACTTACTGTTGGTAGTGTTTTTCTCTTTTCGATTCCCTCACGACATCTTCGGATTCCTCGGCGTCCGACGGCCTACCAGCTCCGTAAGCTATTAGACAACAGCACAACAACACCTGAAAAAATCATTATTATTGATCAATTGGAAAAAGTCATAAAAAAAGTAAAAAAAAAAAGAATAAAAATTATCATCCCACACAATAATATTTTTAGTGAACAAAAAAAAAAAAATGATTTTGTCAAAACATTTTTTTTTCAACGAAGAAATATTCTTATTGTTTTTTCTTCTAATATTGCCGCGTGGGATGTAAAAAAGTATTTTTTTTTTTCACCTTAAAAAATATCATACTAATCAACGGAGAACTTGTTAATAGCTCGACACTCCAAAGTGCTATGGCCGGCTCCCCGGACTACCTTTCACTATATTATTTTGTCTACAACACCGTCTTCAGCAGCTACTCTATACCATCTCTCCCCGTGTAATATTTTATTACCATTATGTTATTACTATATACGGTGTGAATGATGATGCTATATCCACTACCGATAAACATATTATTATTATTATTATTATTCTTTAAGAGACATATATATTTTTATTGTCTGTCCGTCGCGCGTTATACAATGGACGGGTACTTAATGGATTTTTTCATACTTGTTTTTTTATTATTTTTTTTCAGGTATTTACTTCCGATTCGTCGCGTAAACGGCCTAAATTTTTATCGTATTATTTTCTTTATTATTACCATTATTTTTGACCGATTTGTGAAATACCTATTTTTCACGTCGCGTACCTATCCGGTGCTTAATGATGAGGCGTTAGCTGCACTCGCGTTATGTCCCCTCGGGCGACAACAGGACTACTCTTCGCGGTGTTAACCAGCAGCATTGTCGTCGGATATCCTAACCGAACAAAAACAAGTGGATGCTTTTCAATCGAACGGTCGTTTCACGGTCGGAACGTTAATAATTTTCCACAAGAACCGCTCGTAGACCGCATAGTCTCGCTGCTGCTGCAACTGCAGTGCTGTGTTTTCTTAGCCGTCGACACACAGACCCGCTCTGCACGCTGAGTGTGTAAATATAATACAATCATTTTTAATAAGCAATCATTCCAGTACTGGCGAGAACAATGCCTGGAAGTAATTAGTACCCGTCCGAGTGAATATTATACACACAAATTTCCATCGCGAGATAGTGTAATAATTTCTAAATGGCAATATTAAGCGCCGCCACCCCCCACGTCGGGGCTTCCCGCAAACTAAACTCACACGGTTAGACTATGATACCGAAATATATGTATATACATATATTTTGCATGTAAACGAGTACTATTGTTGACCCGTTTCCGTTTCGTGTACTTTTTATAGGAAGTACAAACGCGAAACGCCGTGATTTTGCAATTAAACCAACCAGGTCAGTGGGTGATATACGGTTGCTGTGTTTTTACTACACACGCATAATAATATAATATTATTATATTTATTAACTTTTTCATTTTCACCTTCCGGCCAGTAGTTGTGTGTTTGTGTAGGTACTCTAAACGGTTCAGATGCTTATCGGTCGAGTACGATTGAGTTGAGTTAATAATATCAGCGTCATCGCCATATAGTATAATATCCAACTGGAAAGCGAGATATCTCTTCTTATTATTTTGTGCAAAAGATTTTTTCTAGGTATTGTCGACCGAACAACAGAGGTCTAAAACCGCGTGAAGCATTGGAAACGCGAATCTGTTAATTAGGCATAGGAAGATGTGTTACATCAGTCCGTATCAGACAATAATAATAACAATGTCTAATATATTATTATTTATTATTATTATAATTATTATAACAGTGCGGTGGAAGGAAACAGCGCCGGTTTGCCGGAAGACATTTTATTATTATTACACCTTTGGGGGGCGGTCATCTCCGTAAAAGTGGTTTTGTTTTGTTGTATACAAAGAAGAAAACCAAGCATTATATTAATATATCCTAAGCACTGCCGTAACGGTACACATTTTATAACATGTTTTTTACTGTGGCCAGTTTTAACCCGCCGCCACGCATTTGAATAACATAATATATTTTAAAATAAAAAGTGAGACGTTTTAAAAAAAAAACATTAGACCCGAACGATAATAATTATTATCATGCGATGTGCGTGTGTTTTCATAGATCTTACAAGCTGCTGTGATGTGACTGATATTAGGTTGGGTAAACCAGTTGTTATTTACCAAGTACAAGAGAGGATGTAAAATAATTATTATTCGTCATGTCCAACGTGTGGAAACGACCAACAAATGTGTGTAAGCGGTGACCTTAATCTATCCAAACGGTTTTTTCGACGCATGAACATTGTTTAAATATTTGTTTGTTTAAAATAAACAATTATTAGCTATTAAAAATCAAAATTTGTACCTAAGCAAAAACTCAATCAATCGGTGTTCGAAAGAACTAAGAAACTTTGCATATTAAATCCCATTGAACAGCTGTTATTTAAAAACATTTAAATAAAAGTTCCAACTATACCTACAATTATTATAAAAACAGAAAAGTTTAACTTTTCAATTTTAAAGTAATAGTTACTGTAATGACATTAACATAAATTAATAGTATAACCCTGATCAATGTGCAATAGGCTCATTACATTACTAAAATATGTATAATAATTTTTTTAAACACACATTATATAGTTAAAGAATAATGTAAATAACCAATAACGCTGTACATAACGCTTTTGGAACCAGAACAAAAATACATCTAAGTTTTGGGATATTTTTCGATTAATCCTAATCTAGTTACTGATTTTCTTTGGCATTTCTATATTTTTTTTTAAATCATCTCCAAAGTTATAAAAAAAACCTTTTTGTGGTATTTTTAGATTATTCTGTAGATTCGAATAATTTACTAAAATGTATTTCAAACGGATTTTTTAATTTTAAATATCTTCGTTAAATTAAGATCTATGAGCTTGGACGTATAACTCGTAGTGTTTTTTTTTTTTTTGAACACAAAAGAACATTAGAAAATTATTGTGATTTTTGTTTTGTAAGCTGTTTAAAGGCAATTTATTGTTTTTTTTTTTTGGGGGGGGGGGTTATCTTTTGAGATATATAGATTTATCTGAACATAACAAGGCTCTATCCCGATGGTACTCGACGACGCGACTCTGTTAATACGCTGTTATCCGCTGGCCGCCGTTTATAATAAGGTGCGCGACACACGTTAAATACCTTGCATGAAATCGCATTATATTATTTATTTTTCACGTAGTCTAAAGGATGATGATTTTCAATTTCTTTTTGAAACCCGCAAAACGATAGACACGCCAAGTATAATATATTACAGTGTCGGGGAATAGCAATATAATGGTGGTTAACTCGTTTTTGCGACACTGGAAAATATTTAAAGAAAATTAAAATACACATTATTTTTACTCTATTAAACTCTTGCGGTCCCGGATGCAAAATAACTTAAAGCGTGTCTATTATTTATTTATTTTTTCATTTTTTTTTTTTCAAAAGAAATGAGAAAAATCATTCCGTTGTAATCAGAACATTATGTATTGTGACCATCTACTTATATCGTATATTACCTATTTTCATACGGCTCGACGGTAACCTAATCGCGCAGCCATATACGTTCTAGATAGATGCGTCTGCACGGGCTCAAGAATTCTAACCCGACCTGTCGCCGATGTTCTTTTTAGCACAATAAAGAAAAACAACACCTGGCCGGTCAACATGTTTCCCGAATAGCTATGTTTCTTATGTTAAACAAAAAAGCATCCGTAGGTACAAAAAATATGCTCCATTGCAGCGTCGGGTTACCCTACAGGCAGAGTAAGCAGGCGATTAGAGCGGCAAATTTTCCGCACTTAAAAAAAAAATGTATATATAATATTATATTATAATTTATGGGTTATAATCTAATGGCTAATTAGGTTATTAACACACTGAAATGGTTCCGGTGAACGCGATCAACTCGAATTTTTATTATTAGCGAAACGATGTTTTTCTCGGAAACGGCTTATTTATGTACAATTACCTAAAGCTATATAATATTGTGGCTATCCGTGATAAGACGTTGTTATTGTCAATTATATATTTTTATTTTCGTGATTCTATTACTTACAACAAAGAATGTTTTACACATTCCTTTAACCATAAAACTATTCTGCTTATTAGTAGACGGTGTGCGCGACGACCGCGACAGTGCAGCTAACGACGTGTTGTCTTTATTTATTTTTATTATAATTTTTCAAATTACATCATAAAGAGGGATGGTAGATCGAAAAAAAGTGGCGCAAAATATAAAAAGCTGCGAGAAGAGCACGAAGAAAAGGAGAAAAGGGTTGTTCAAAAAACAAGAAAACTTGATACTTTGTTCACCGCGGCAAAATTAAAAACAGGTAAAAACAATTTACTCTATAAAATAAATATTTTTTTTTAAATTTTTGGTGACACTTAAAATCAGTAAGCAACATTATGCATTCGAGATTTTAACAAATGGGAAATAATAAATAAAAAAATTTAATGCAATGAAATTAAATACAAATAGTATTATAAATAATTTATAAATTATGAATTATAATAGAAAAAAAATAAATAATTACAACTCTTGTATGATAAAAATACAATAAAACAAAGAATAACAATATCTGCCTAGTAAAAAGTTAAAACAAATCATTTGTTATGATAGTAAAAAAAAAAAAAAAAATGTGTACCTACCTAACAAAAATTTAATATTGAAAAAATTAAAACCAAATGTTATAACTAGAGCACCGATTTGTATGCACTAAAAAGTATCAAAATATGTCGTATAATATACAATCAAAATCGTGAAAATATGCAACAAATATAACACGTAGACATATAGAAAATTATAATAAAGTAAATAACACTTTTAAGTAGTTAAAAATAATAATAAGTTTTTTCTATTTTGTATGGTAATTTGTAAAACAAACTCTACTTTGGTAATGGTTAATATTTGATACTGAACATTATTATATTTTTATAGACTCGTCTACTTCAACTACTACTATCACTTTAACTACAAGTACTATTACTTTAGCTACAAGTACTTCAACGAGTTCAACATTTTGTCCGTTTCAACAACTTTAGAACTAGAGA